TATTCACCTTATCACGAGGACGTGATTCAATCTGGGAGGGGGCCATGTAGAGCATGCAGATTCTTCAACCTTGTACCTGTTGCATTGTAGTCTAGTGCCTGTGTCACTGTAGCTTGGTGTGTTAAAACCTGTACAGTAATAGGACTAGTATCCTTTGCATGTGAAGTTCGAACCTACCTTTTTCAGAAGCTTTCCTTTTTTCTTTACTTTCTTCCAATACATGTCTTCTGATTGGCCGAATCTGTGCCATCTCTCTATCTCCTGATTGGTCTAAACCGTTGCTCGTTGTTATGTGAAACCTGAACTCTCTTAGTCTTGGCACATATAAAAAGCTCTGTCTCTGAAGAAAGATCATCCTTCATTTCTTCAACCACTTCTCCTTGCTCTGGTGAGACTTGTTGGTTGTTGTGTGCCCAACCACTTGGGCCACGCTACACCTACACCTGCACAGGTAAAATTCAGTCAAGCAACGATCAGCTATTTCTGTATAGCATCAGCCGAGTCTGAGCAGAACGCCCTTTTTTCTCATCCACAGAGCCTCCTTTCAGCCAGCAATGAGTTGCTTGTCAGCCAAAGCCACAATGGTGGAGATGTCTTTATGGAACTGGATTTGCTAATACTGTAAGACATGTATATATTACGAGGAAGCAAATCTAACGTTTTAACGGATGACATTTCTTCGTTATAATAAGATCCGTTGAGGCCGTACTGCTTCATATATGCTGTGTGTGGATATGGCAAAATACTGCAAGATCGTTAAATGACGGCTTTGAGCAGCAAAGCCAAGTTAGCCCACGCATGCACGTGTTTTGTCACGGTTCGTCACGCGGCACATGAATAAAAAATATTTTTTCCGAAAATGGTGGATGAAAAAATAAATCTTGCGTGGCCGGTTTGCCCTGCCTCGCGTCAGCAAAGCAACTTCCTTGTCAACAATTTCTGTCATCCAGCTAGCCAAAGTGACTCAAGGTTGTGTTTTCTCCGTTTTCTCCTTTGTCTCTCCGCCAAGCTGTACAAGAGTATTAGTTGTGCTAGTCTGCGTAGACAAGCGCTGACTCGTGTGAGCTGGAAGCGCTTGAAAATTCACAACTTCAAACAGCGATCGATCGCGCTTGGTTGAAATATTTATTTGTTGCGTGGGCAGATAGAGTAGCTCATGGTCGCAGTAGTGAATTTCCTGGAGTTCATGAGGCCAAGCAAGAACTACTCGAAGCAGAGGACCAGTTATTTAGGCCTCGACATGGCGAGTGGCGTTGACGCCAACTCAGAAATGGCTGTGATTACCTGTCAAAAAATCTAGCCAAAGAAGTAGACAAGGAGCAGAGGCATTTACATGGACAACGTACGATGGTGGTTTGCAACATGCTACTACTGCTGGAGCGACGTTGAGTGCAGGGACGATCGTTGATCATCTACGTATCAAGTGTGGTTGTCAAACGCTTGTGGCCTTTGATGTGGATATGAAGATTTATGCCCACTGTGCGTTCGTTATGCACCACATCTGCTGTGCACGTGGCATTACCCTATCTCAGGGAGAAATCATCAACCCAGTCATTCTGGGTAAAACTATTCCTGATAGCTGTGCAGGCCAGCACAAGAACCAGTACGCTGCACTTAACAAGGTGCTTATGTTCGTGTGCTTGATGGTCAATGGAATGAGTTCAACTGAAAGCAACGGTTCCGCAGGTCTTCGACAACCTCAGCAAGGTGGTCGGCCCAGCAACAGTGGTGACGGTACTTGGCATAGAAGTCGACAGCGAGGACCAGGTGATGCGGCTACCTGACAAGAAGTTATTTGCCTTTCTAGCGGCTTTGAGTGAGTAGTCCACGCGCACTAGCTACACAACGCCGGAACTGCTGTCGCTGATCGGAACCTTGTCCTTGCCGCAAAGGTGGTTCCTCCTGGCAGGACCTTCATCCGTCAACTCCTGTATCTTAGCTGGACAACTGTCTCAGTCTCTTCAGTCAGTAGTCAACATCAACACGAAAGCTCACTTGGACATCGAATGGTCGCGCTCCTTTGCCGCAAACTGGAATGGCCAATCCTTCTTCTACGATGTCGAGTTTTCAAAGTACCCTGACCTTGAGCTATTCACGGATGCCTCTGATGTTGGCTTCTGCGGTTTCTATCAAGGACAATCGTTTTTGGGGCAACGGGCCGCTGAGATGCAGCATGAACCTATTGTGATTACTCGCTTCCGAGAACTGGCTTCCACAGCCAACCAGTGCCTGGTGCCAACTCCTCCGCTGAACTCGCCGCTCTGATTGCTGCCAGCAATGATCTCATGAGCGACTCAGACCTTTAAGCCCGGTATTTGCGCACACATAATCTGATGTACCCAGTTTCGGCTATGGCCGAGTTCCGGTCCCTGACCGCTACTGCCGGCAGCTCACGGCCAGTGTTTGTGTTCGTCGACGGCGGCTACTTCTCCCGAGTTTTCTCGACTAGGATCCTCAACTGCAACCGGGTGAGCTCCCATTCTGTGCGCATTGGCGGGGCCACACTCATAGCTCACCGGAGTACAAGTGTCTGTGAAGCAGCCATATGCCGTGCAGGCTGCTGGCGAAGTGCAGCATCCGATCACTATGTCAGGCGTGCAGCCGGTATACCCTCTGTGCAATGGCTAGCAGCAAAGACTGGAACAGCCCACGCCCATGTGGTGTTGAGAACAGAAGTGAGGTACATTTGTAGTGTTGTACAGTGTTGTGCCTTCCGCTTGTTGTGCAGTCCTTGTGCCGGTGTGGCTCTGTGGGTATCACTTAGGGGTTTGCCATGGTTACTTGCAGGAAGTTATGCTAATGAGCGATGCCGTGAGAAATGCTTGGTCGTAAACACTGGTTTTTGGGAGGGTCAAATGCATTTGCCTCTCAGTGTTGTGCTGTACTGTCTCAGTGTTGTGACACCTGTATGTTGTTGTGTGGTTGACCCGCCGGTTTGAGGCATGGGTGGTCAACTGTGTATGTTGTATCGGTGTGTTCCCGTTTGAAGTTGCCGGGCCACCATGTGGTTGACCCGCCGAAAATGGAGGCATGGGTGGTCAACTGTGTATGTTGTATCGGTGTGTTCCCGTTTGAAGTTGCCGGGCCACCATGTGGTTGACCCGCCGATAATGGAGGCATGGGTGGTCAACTGTGTCTATTGTATCGGTGTGTTCCCGTTTGAAGTTGCCGGGCCACCATGTGGTTGACCCGCCGATAATGGAGGCATGGGTGGTCAACTGTGTATGTTGTATCGGTGTGTTCCCGTTTGAAGTTGCCGGGCCACCATGTGGTTGACGCGCCGAAAATGGAGGCATGGGTGGTCAACCGTGTATGTGTATCATTGAAGTTGCAATACGTACATTGCTGTGACTCGCCCGATTGCTGTTGCCGGGCACCTACGCATTTATTTGCCTACTTGTGAAGAGATATCTCTTCTGGTTTATTGCATAATTCTTGGCTCAATGTTATCCACGGTGTCGCTCGATGCAAAGTCTCGTAAATATTTATCAAACAAAATTGAAAAAAAACTATGGCAAACCCCACTTCCTTGTATTCTATCTGCTTGGTGTACACGTGTCCACGTTTTGTACGTTTGGCACGCACATGCGTACGTGCGTGCGTATGTGAGAGCGTGTCTGGATAAATGTGCATATTGATGTTTTGGTTGTTTTAAGTTTTATTGTGTGTATGCGTGCATGCATGTGGGTTAAATGACGGCTTTGAGCAGCAAAGCCAAGTTAGCCCACGCATGCACGTGTTTTGTCACGGTTCGTCACGCGGCACATGAATAAAAAATATTTTTTCCGAAAATGGTGGATGAAAAAATAAATCTTGCGTGGCCGGTTTGCCCTGCCTCGCGTCAGCAAAGCAACTTCCTTGTCAACAATTTCTGTCATCCAGCTAGCCAAAGTGACTCAAGGTTGTGTTTTCTCCCCTCCCTCCCTCCCTTTAGACATGACACGTCGGTATCTTGTGCCACATGACGAGGCCCCAAGGAGGGTCAAATGCATTTGCCTCTCAGTGTTGTGCTGTACTGTCTCAGTGTGTGACACCTGTATGTTGTTGTGTGGTTGACCTGCCGGTTTGAGGCATGGGTGGTCAACTGTGTATGTTGTATCGGTGTGTTCCCGTTTGAAGTTGCCGGGCCACCATGTGGTTGACCCGCCGAAAATGGAGGCATGGGTGGTCAACTGTGTATGTTGTATCGGTGTGTTCCCGTTTGAAGTTGCCGGGCCACCATGTGGTTGACCCGCCGATAATGGAGGCATGGGTGGTCAACTGTGTCTATTGTATCGGTGTGTTCCCGTTTGAAGTTGCCGGGCCACCATGTGGTTGACCCGCCGATAATGGAGGCATGGGTGGTCAACTGTGTATGTTGTATCGGTGTGTTCCCGTTTGAAGTTGCCGGGCCACCATGTGGTTGACGCGCCGAAAATGGAGGCATGGGTGGTCAACCGTGTATGTGTATCATTGAAGTTGCAATACGTACATTGCTGTGACTCGCCCGATTGCTGTTGCCGGGCACCTACGCATTTATTTGCCTACTTGTGAAGAGATATCTCTTCTGGTTTATTGCATAATTCTTGGCTCAATGTTATCCACGGTGTCGCTCGATGCAAAGTCTCGTAAATATTTATCAAACAAAATTGAAAAAAAACTATGGCAAACCCCACTTCCTTGTATTCTATCTGCTTGGTGTACACGTGTCCACGTTTTGTACGTTTGGCACGCACATGCGTACGTGCGTGCGTATGTGAGAGCGTGTCTGGATAAATGTGCATATTGATGTTTTGGTTGTTTTAAGTTTTATTGTGTGTATGCGTGCATGCATGTGGGTTAACATATCTTCTCGTTAACTTATGAATTTTGGACAATCGTTAAATTTGCGACTCGTTATAATAACATGTCTTACAGTACATGTACATGTTTAAACATTGCTGCACCCAGCGGAAACACCCAGCGGAAACACCTAGCGGAAACACCCAGCGGAAACATAGCTACAACTAGCGGAGACCTACCTAAGTATGTCCCAGGGCACGGCAGCATGCTTCTCCTTCAGTGCTTTAACAGTTTCCGTGCGGCTGGCCTTCCTGCAACAGCGATTGGGTACGCGAGACACAAACACAGAAAGAGAGAGAAAGAGGAAGAGAAAGAAAGAAAGAGAAAGAGAGAGAGAGAGAGAAAGAGAGTGAGAGTGAGAGAGAGAGAGAGTGTGTGTGAGAGAGAGAGAGAGAGAGAGAGAGAGAAAGAGAGTGTGTGCGTGAGAGAGAGAGGAAGAATCCTAGCAGCACGGCACGCAGCATATAGTGTGAAGCAGAAAACTCTTTCGGTGTGCAACTTTTGCATTTTTACAAATTGCACAGGTTTGTGACAATAATACTTCACGATTTCTTCTCCTCAGTTGGACCATGTCATGTCCATGATCACTGTACTAACAAGTTTGTGTTGATTTACATGTGGGAATGTGTCTTGGTCACAAACCCAGCAGAATCTAATCTCTCGCAAAAGCTTCCCACTTTAGTGACTTCACACTGCACAACACCCCACAGCATACAGCATACAGCACACAGCAATTGCCACTGTGACAGGAGCATCACACCTCACTGTAAAGCCAGCTAGCGGGCATTGTTCAACGTGTCGTCAACTGGAAAGGCAATACATGTACCTGCATTTCTACATGACTGAAAAGCCAGGCTGCATGGGACTGTGCAAGATGTGTGTGTTTGTGTGTGTGTGTGTGTGTGTGTGTGTGTGTGTGCGCGTGCACGCGCATGTGTGTGTGTGTGTGTGTGTGTGTGTGTACGTGTGTGTGCACGTGTGTGTGTGTGTGTGTGTGCATCCTGCTTGCAGTCTGGTTTTCTGTACCCTATAACAGAGTGGCCAAGACATGGACACGGTTTCAGAGTGCTGAATGATGAGTTCGTAGCTCTTACTTGTACATCTCCTTGTACTGTTTCATGGTTTCAGCACTACGCGGCAGATAGCTTGCTACCCACTTGGAATGTTTCCCGGCGGCAGATCTGAGCACACAGCAACACAGGGAACGAAGCGCAGAGATGAAAGAGAGCCTGAATGTTGCTCGCAAGATTATGGACAGGGACAAAAAGACATAGATGGACAGACAATTGATAGACAAATAGACATACGGACAGACGAGTATTTAGTATTTAGTACAGTTTGCCTATCTACTGTTGTGTGAGATAGAGAGAGAGAGAGAGAGAGAGAGAGAGAGAGAGAAACAGGTGTGCAGAAAGAAATACAGTAAAACCAGTGACTAACGACCACCCCTTAGGGCCCAGAGAAAGGGGTCTTTAGTGGCAGATGGTCCCTAGTCAGAGGTTTGCACCGCACAACCATATATGAATGTGAGACTGTCCATGCCTGGCGAAGTGGTCTGTAGTACCAGGCTGGTCGCTAGTCACGGTGGTCTTTAGTTACAGGTTTTACTGTAGCAGGCAGGCAGAGAAACATACCAGACACGGGCAGCCTTACACATACAAATGACAAGGACACTGGGTGGGTGGAAAGATGTACAGATAGATAGGCAGGGCCTGATGACAGCCAACAGTAATTGACTGCTACCAGAGAAGAGATCGGGTCAACAAAAAGAGAAAATAAATATACACCCGGCATAAAACTATACATCAACTTGCAATCCGTGTTCTTCAGTCTCCACACAGAAAGGAAGGTACACACAAAACTGACACAGACACACAGACACACAGACACACATCCACACAGACACACAGACACATACAAACAGACACACACACACACACACACACACACACACACAGACACACACACACACAAACACGTGCACACACACGTGCACACACACACACATGCACACACACACACGTGCACACGCACACACGTGAACACACACACACAAACACAAACACGCATACACACTCTGTATTCTGCTAACCTGGAGGGATCATGGTGAACATTGAGCTCTTCCTCCGTCATGGCCGACAGCATGAAGTCCTTCAGAGGCACCGTGTTCTGCATCCACTCTATCATACCAACACTGAAACCAAGATGAGAAATACGAAAACAGCAGCAGCAGCAGCAGCAGCAGCAGCAGCAGCGGCAAACAAAGCAACAACAATAACAGTAGAGATTAGGACAAAGACAATAGAGACGTTGCGCACAACGAAACTTCGTAAGATTTTGACCGTCCGGGTTCGAGTAACGAAAGTTCCTACTAGGGCTGAAACGAATATTCGAACTATTCGAATATTCGATCGGAGCACGCCTTGTAACGAATATTCTTCATTTCGCTTGTATTCGAATATTCGAGGAGTACAGTTCGATCGGGGTTTGTAGTACCTTGTACTATACTGCCGTGCATCATGTAAAGTACGTGCATGGATGTACATCCGCGATGCATGCAGTGCATGTGGCAAACCAGGTGACAAATCGAGTCAATCGCGTACTGATAGCTGCTACTGGCAAGTCTGGCATGCATATTTGCCACCTCTACTGTACAAGTACTTGATCGGGGACTCCTTTCACAAGTTTTCTGTGCGAACTGCATTCACACACGCAGCCGAGAATGGACCGCGGAGCTCTTCGCGGGTTGAGTTGCACAGCCCAGCGCCCAGAATGGATGCGAGACGACAAACACAAACAAGCGCGCGAGGCATTTTGGTAGCCGAGAAAGGTACAACAATCCGTAAGAAGCGTGAAGCGAAGTTCGTGGCTAAGTTAGTTTGAGAGCCGAGAAAGGGTACACGACGACAAAACAAGCGCTGGCAAATCTAGCTCCGCTCGCGACGAGTTCCTCTTTTCAATGTTCGCTTGACTGTGAGTGCGGTCATTTCGTTGCTCGCGCAGTCTGGAGACACTCTCTTTCCTCACCTGGCGCAGTTGTACTTGTAGTTTTTGTTTCCACTTCCTCAGTTAGTCATGTCTGTTCATCCCAGTCATGTCTGTTCATCCCAGTCGCTCGTCTGTTTGGGACTATAATTATGCTGAAAGACGATCCCAAAAAAGGCAAGGCAAGTGTAAGCTATGCTCTAAAGTACTTACCTTCAATGGATCGACAACGACGAATTTGTGGAACCATGTCCGAACCGCTCACGACCGCGAGTTATCTGGAACTTCGGAGAGCGATAAAAAAGTCAAGCTGGAAACAAACGTGAAGCCACCACCTCCTGGGAGCGTGGCGTCGTTCTTTTCTAAGTCCTCTTGTAGCGATGCCCGGTCGCGACAGATAACGGACCTGCTTGCGATGTGGTGCGCTCGCAATGTTCGTCCAATGTCAATAATCGAAGACTCTGGCTTGAAGGACGTTTTCAAATTCGTTGAACCAGGCTACTCGATGCCATCACATCCCCATGTGACAAACAATCTGAAAAGAAAATTTGATGTTGTGTTGGAGAAAGTGAAGGATCTCCTGGCTGATGTGGATGCAGTGTCCTTCACCACTGACATATGGACTAGCCATGCAACACAAGGGTACATGTCCCTGACGGCTCATTTCCTTCGCGATTGGTCCATGGTGTCGCTGTGCCTTGGTACCGTGTCATTTCCTGAGCGGCACACGGCGGATAACATTGTGGACAAATTTGCTGAGTTGACAGCCGAGTTCAACATCCAGCCATCAGCTCAGGGTGCTCTTGTCCATGACCAAGCCTCGAATACAGAAGTAGCTGGTCGGCGTCTTGAAGTTGATCTGCCGAACTTCTCCAGTGTCACCTGCGCAGCACACCGCCTGCAAAATACAATCAAGCGCGGCCTGGAAACAGCTACTGTCAGCAAGCTATTGGCATCTGCACGCCACTGTGTATCACATTTCAAGCGCAGTGTTGTGGCCATGGAGGGTATCCGGCATCATCAACAACAGACTGGCGACAAGCAATTGAAGTTTGTCCAGGAAGTCGCGACTAGCTGGAACTCAAGCTTGCACATGCTTGAACGGCTCATCCTGCTGTATACACATTTCTGCTGTGTTTACCATGGTTGGCTATCACCCATATCTTCCCGTTTTGGCTGCCATCGGAAGCCATAAGATGTTGAATAAATAAATAAATAAAATAAGCGACCCTGCCGTGACCAAGCCAGGTGACCAGGGACTCGGTCTGTCTGCCTCCCAATATACACAAGCCGAACAGCTTGTGGCATTGCTCAAGCCATTCGAGGTGACCACAATTATCTGGAGTGGAGAGTCATATGCCACGATTTCATGTGTTGTCCCCATGGCTATGGAATTGGCTGAACACCTTCAGGACAACGATGATGGCATTGCTGCCATTGCACGAGCCAAGAGTGCGATGCGCATTGACCTGCTGAACCGCTTCCATCTCCAGGCTGACACAGTGAACTCGGAGAGCATTGCTGCAGCACTAGATCCACGCTTCCACCACCTCGACCGGTTTGATGCCGAGCGCTGTGAGGCTATTGTTGACGAAGTGCGAATGAAGCTGCGGGAAGTGAGCACGATGGCCACACCATTGCCAAGTACTGCCAACCCAGCAGCAAATGAAAATTTTGATGTATGATATGGGTAGGTCGCCATTTGAAAGTATGGAGACCGATCGCGGCAAAAAGTGTGCTTCGCAAATGCAGCGCTCTGCGAAATATTTTGGCAATTTTGATTGTGTTTTCGTTCTGTCACGCTGCTGCTAATAGAGATATAGCCTTCTCCAGCTAATGTCGACATCCTCTAGTCGTCGTAGACACCTGGAGAGAGCTGAAGTAGCGATATCTCCTCAGGATCTGAATCGAAACTGCCAATTTTCATCGCTGAAGCCATCACAGCATTTGCTCTCCAAGTAGCAGCGAGAGGGAGGGCAGCGATGGCATAAAATCACCAAGGCAGGCAGAGGTCAGCCCCTAGTAACTATTTCTTGTCTTCTCAATCTCCAATCCTCGCTGGACGTGAGTAGATCAGCAAAAACTACATATTTCAAATATGAGTTTCATGCCGTTAGGCAATCATCAGACAACTGATGCTATGTATTTCAAATATGAAATAATTGCAATAGTTTGAACATTTGACGCAATTGTTTGCGTCTGGTATTTAGACGATACATCCGTTTTTTGCCCCTTCTGTTGCAGTTCATGCATGCAACTAGTGCCTGTGGTGTCCTTCTGTCACTGGGCGTCCCAATGGCCGTCCCTAATACGTCTATACTTTATTTCAAATGTAGCGATCTCAATTGTCAGAATTACGCACAATTGGCTCATAATTGGGTATTCCGTGTATGCCCTCTACTTATAGCTGCATGCTGGATTACAATATGTTGACAAATGGACCCATTCATTACTATAGATTCAGAAAAACATAACTTGCACACACAAAATGCGTCTAGATTTTATCCTATAGGTCCATCATTGACGAGGAGTACCCTACGCATACATTAGATGCGCGGTACATAAAGGGTTAACCACTTGAAAATGGCAAAGAATATTCGGAATATTCTTCGTTTCGCAACATATTCATTTAGAATATTCTATTCACTTCGATTGGTATTCGTTTCAGCCCTAGTTCCTACGAAGATCTGTCCAAACGCGACCGAAACAGAGCAGATCTACGAAAATATTTTTCGTCACTTGGAGTACTAAAATACTGATATTTTACAACTGTCTTGACTTTTCGCACCCGCGCGGTCGCTGTGTCGACCCACTACGAAATAGTTCACGCGTTGTGCGCAACCTCACGTTTTATGGATATTCGTTAGCTTTTTCGTTAAAATTTCTCGTTACGGTGCTACGAATTTTCGTTGTGCGCAACCTCTCTAATAACAGCAACAGTAGCAGTAGCAATGATTGCAAAAGCAAACTGAAAACACAACGGCACATTCCTGTAGTTCCTGTAGCTTACCGCGGCTTCATGGGAATTACTTCATATGTGCGCAGGCGAAGATTGCGTAGCGAGCAGGCTGGATCACATGCCATTATCTCATTCATCAGCGTGAACAGCTGTACACATAGTGGCACACACGGATGTACCCCCCCCCCCCCCCACACACACACACATAGAGGTAGACACGCCCGCACGCAAGCACACATACCGACACATAAGTATACAACACATACACACACACCGCGCACACCGTAGAACAGAGCACACAGCTTAGTTAGATAATGCGCAAAGTTGCACTAGGAGAAAGACCGCCACAAAAAGACTCACATACGTCAGGCGAAATAGCACGTCATAGTACATTTGAGATCAGCGGGAAGAAGATGACGACGTCCACTAATTTAGTATCTGTGCACACGAATCTGCTGTGTGTGTGACTCTGTGTGTCAGCTATGATATCAACCCCTGTGGTTCCATGCCTAGCATGTACGTCTGAACCATCCTGCAAAGTTTGAATGACGTAGGTTGAGCGATCGCTCCGCGAAACATACTTTTTGAAATTCTCTTCATAGTATATCTTCCATCACTGAAATTTCGAATTTCTTGCTGAGAGGGGTGGCTTGCAACCTCGATATGGCTTGTTCCAGGCATGCTTTGGAGCCATCCCCTGTTGAAGTAGTGGCGGGGATCTGCCCTGCAACTGCTACAACAAAAAAATGATTCGATCTGAGAAAGGGTGAGACCGCGGATCTCGGTTGAATATTGAGTATTTCAAGCCTTTTCACGACGAAGATGGAGTTCTTTTTGGAGATGGACGTCGCGGCAAAGGACATGGTGTCCGACTTCTGGCGTCTGGTGAAGCCAGGGATCATTTCAGTCAGGTCGGCAGCCTAACCGTCGGTAAGCTTGTGTTTGGATCCCGTTCTGCTCGATGTGGTAGATCACAAACAGTTTGATATCGCACAAATTGATCTCAGCATTGTGCGTACGGTATTTCATATTCAGAAAATCCCAAAAAGTGTCTGTGTGGCCGTCCTATGCCACGAGAAACTCCAATCAGGCTCCTATGTCCTCTGCCTTCATGATTGAATGTCCAATTCGTTTGAACAACGAACACAACAATCAAGGACGGCTTTGCAATGAAAAATACAGCTATACTGGAGCTGAAAAGAAGAAGAAAAAAACGTGCTCAGGATGAGACTCGAGTACACGCATACTCTCCCAGCAGGTGAAACGCAAATTTTTGTGAAAAATGCGTGTCGCCGACTGACCAGTAATTTCGCCTGACGTACACTGACCAGAATGAATCATGTCTTCCCACCTACTGTCTGGTGCAACACGACATGCTTGAATGTAGCACACAAAAGAGTTGAAAGACATGCACACACGCACACGCACACACGCACACGCGCGTACACACACACACACACACACACACACGCGCACGCGCACACGCAGATGCACACACACACACACGCAGTGTACCTGTTCAATGCGCTGGTCCAAACGCAGATCTTCACCGCCCTTCACCAGGAACATGTGGTCTTTCTCGTCATTGCCACGGATTGTCAGACGCTTTGGCTTTCGCATGGACGGCAAGATGAGAATCTGCAGCGTGGTACCAAATAGGACACAGGATGATTTAAAATAGGACACAGGATAATAGGACACAGGATAATAGGACACAGGATAATAGGACACAGGATAATACCAAATAGGACACAGGATAATGTCAAGAGTACATAATCAAGTGTGCAGAAGTCCTATCTTGAGCGGCGGAACTTTTTATGGTGTTATTTTTTGGCAAATGTTTGATCAAGTGCAAAGGCTGAATGAAAGGGCAAAGGCTGAAATCATAAACTAAACTTCCACTGTGGGCTGAGGAATGGTCGAGTTGCACACTGTCGGCTAGGCACTCTAGACAATATCCGGAGTTGCACACTGTTGGCTAGGCACTCTAGACAATATCCGGAGTTGCACACTCTCGGCTAGGTACTCTAGACAATATCCGGAGTTGCACACTCTCGGCTAGGTACTCTAGACAATATCCGGAGCAGAGCACGCAGTACAGTACATGTACATCACCACATTCTCACATGTTGCTCGGTCATTCCACACGCCATGCACCTTCAATCATGCATGTGCTTGGTCATGTGACAACGGCATACCTTGGTACTACTGTACAGCAAAGCTTCATGTAATACACAGTACCAGTTTTATGTCCCTTTTAATAGAGGAACATTACACTGTGTGTGTGTTGGTGTGCGTGAGTGCTTGCAAAGCCTTGCATGCCTGCATGTACATACAGTTCTGTTGGGGTTTCACCAAGTTCAACAGCATACGCCATGCCGGTGTGCACGCGCTGAGTTAGCTTTGCCCGCCAATGCTATACAGGCCGCAGCGGTGGCACAGACAAAGTGAAACGTGTACACAACACACAACACTGCAGACACTAGTAGCCGGAATACTCACACGCTCGTCAAAGCCGGCAATCTTGACATGGTACTCTGGCAGTGGCTTGGAACGGCCATGGTACTGTCCTGGATGTGGCACAAGATACACAATTTGAAAATTCAACTCTGAAGTGAGCAAGACCTGCAGAGAAATAGACAACCTGCAGCATATACTAGTACTAGTACTCGTAGTAGGTGATTGAAACTATTCTTCGGCATGTGGGCGGTATCATATGTGTGTGTGTGTGTGTGTGTGTGTGTGTGTGTATGTGTGTGTGTGTGTGTGTGTGTGTATGTGTGTGTGTATGTGTGTGTGTGTGTGTGTGTGTGTGTGTGTGTGTGCGTGTGTGCACGCATATTCGCACATTCGTGCATGTGTACGGGTGTGCACACATACACATCTTACCGGGGATTTCCAACACCTGTTGGAAGTTGCTGGCTTGGAAGTCACTGAGCCATGGCGAGTACTGCTTGAGCAATGCGGGGCCAGACTTGCGTTTACGCACCTCCTCATTCATCTTGCCGTAGATACCGGAGCACACTTGGACAAATTCCTAGAGACAACACAAACAAATTCAAAGTTCGCGCGAGACTCGGCTGCAGGCCGAATTTTCCGCATCCGTAGGGACGCCCTCCTAGAAGACCACTGAAACCAGGACCAAGGGACGCTATTTCCAGTCAAATGGCCCTGGATAAGGAGACCACCTGCTAACAGAGACCATGTTTCGAAGGTCCCTTGAGTGGTCGTCTTAGAGACAAGTTTCACTGCGCACGTCTCCAAAGTGAACATACCTTCATAGTCATGCGCACTAGCTTGTCACCATCCTTGCCAAACTTGGTCTCGAGGTTACGCGAGTAGCTCTGAGCAAACTGACGCTTGACGGGACCTGCGTTGACACTTGACGACTGGGACTACACACATGGTAGGTAGATGGTGTTGAGCAACATATCCACACGTGCAGACAGACAGACAGACAGACAGACAGAGAGGCAGACAGAGAGGCAGACAGAGAGGCAGACAGAGAGGCAGACAGAGAGGCACACAGACAGAGACAGACAGGTGGATAGGCGGATGATGGACAGACAAAGCAATACAGATGGACGAGCAAAGAGAATGCAAATGAACGCACGATCACACGCGTGCACAGACACCGACACAGACACAGATACAGACAAGTACACACATATCAGGGGGCTAGAGATGAACTAATCATTGACAAAATGGAGACAAACACGCACACACTCTCAGCCAAGGACGTGCGCATATGTGTGATTAGTAGCCATTATACCGGGTCAGGCATGCAGGCCATTGCCTGATCAATTTCTGGCTCAAAAAAGTGCCTCAAATCGTTATCACTTTGAAATTCAGCATTTATAGTTCCCAGTATGGTCTATTCCGGGGTGCTGGCCTGGAGACTGGGTACTGGGCACCTGGTTAATCTAAATCCTGGGATTCCAATGACCCTGTGTTTCCGACAACCTACACAGTGAGACCTCGCTTAAGCGGGACTCTTTTATCCGGATCCCTTGGCATCCGGAAGAAAATCGCTGGTAATTGTTTGACAGTATGCATGACGCATACAACATAACCGGACCTTGCGATCCGCATACCGGTGCATGGTTTTGGGTACAGACGCCGGGTTCAAATGTGTACAAAAAGCTTCGTCGCATCCGGTTTTGATGCGTGCAACGTGTACAATATTCACACATGCAATGGGATTCGCATGACCCCTGTGCCCTAGCTAGCCCGAACCTACATTGCATGCAAGAACTCGATTCCATGGACTCATGGAAGCATTATAGCTTGCTTTTGATAATCGTTACTTTCCCTCGTCCTTTGTTTGGTCCTTGATTAGATTGCGTGAATGTCTGCTCCAAGTGCCAAACGAGCGCGGATTGTCCGGAGCGCCGCTCAGAAAGAAACACCTCTGTGCCTACAAGGAGAGCCATAGCAAAGCGTCCTACGATGATATCCAGCGGCACTTCCTCGAAGCTTGGGGCATACGTCTCGGGACATCGACAATTGGCGACATTCGGAGAGACCGGAACAAGTGGCTCTCAAAAGACGACAGCGATAAAACAACACGAGCAGGAGTGGCCAAGCGCACGGACCTCGAGGCAGCGCTATCGTTATGGTTTGATCGTGTTCGAGCGAAAGGTGTTGAGGTGAGCAACTTCATGCTCTAAGACCAGGCCCAGGTCTGATCGTGTTCAAGCGAAAGGTGTTGAGGTGAGCGACTTCATGCTCAAAGAACAGGCCCAGGTTCGATCGTATTCGAGCAAAAGGTGTTGAGGTGAGCGACTTCATGCTCAAAGAACAGGCCAAGGTTTGATCGTGTTCGAGCGAAAGGTGTTGAGATAAGCGACTTCATGCTCAAAGAACAGGCCTATGTGTTTGGACAGAAGCTCCACATAACGGATTTCCTGTATTCACACAGCTGGCTTATGCGTTTCAAGAAACGGGCACGACATCAGCAGCCACAAGCTGCAGGGTGAGTTGGGCAGTGCCGGCAGTGCCGGCAGTGCTGACATGGACGTCGTAGATAAAGGTCGCGCCGACCTCCGTGAGCTGCTTGCTGCACACGAGCCAGACTGTATTTACAATGCCGACGAAACGTGTCTCTTCTACAGACACTTACCCGGACCAGCACTCTCGCCACTGGCTCTGTTCGTGGTAAGAAAAAAAGAAAGGACCGAGTGACTGTGTTGTGCTGCGCCAACGCCACAGGGACGCACAAAATCAAGCCTCTGCTCATCGGCAAGTCAGCGCGGCCTCGAGCATTCGGATGGACTTGGTCTCCGAACGTTTACGTTACGTACCGCAACAATGCGAAGGCGTGGATGACGGGTGTCCTATTTCTCGAGTGGCTTGATTCGTTCAACGCAGAGATGGTCCAGCGCAAGAAGAAGGTCCTTCTTCTCCTGGACGATGCCAGCAGTCACGGCCATGTCCCACAATGAGCCATGTTGCAGTGAAATTTCTGCCACCAAACACCACTGCTCACCTGCAGCCCATGGATGGTGGAATAATCCGCAATGTCAAGGCCTTCTATCGCCGCCACCAGAGCCTGCTGTTCCTGCGCTGCCTGGAAGACGACAAGCCTCAAACTGCCGACCTCAAGCAAGCCATCACCATGCTCAGTGACAGCTGGCGTGAGGTAACATCCACAACAATCGCCAACTGTTGGAGGCACGTTGGGATTCTCCCGCAACAAGAGGAAGGTGACGAAGAGGGGACGGCCACAGAAATGCAAACGATTCATGCCAGTGTTCAGCACGACATCAGCGAGGCAACTCAGCAGCTAGGCCTTGAGAGCACAGCTAGGCCTTGAGAGCACAGCTAGGCCTTGAGAGCACAGCTAGGCCTTGAGAGCACAGTTTCTGCGGAAGACTTCCTTGCTGTGGACGATGGCGTTGCGACTGAAGAAATGATGACTGACGACGAGATTGTTGCGTTCGTGACGGACACCAGCGAAGGCACGGACAGTGGGGATGACGACTCGCCTGTAGTCCTGGAGTGCATCGTCACAGCAGGAGAAGCAGCCTTAGCAGCTCACACAGCGGTTTCCTTCCTCGAGTCTGTCGCCAGCAAAGACCCTGACTTCGTAGCGCTTCTCCACGACCAGAGGAAGATCCTGAGGCAATTCAGCGAAGGGCAACAGTCACTGCTGCACAGCAAAAAAATCAGTGACTTCTTCACCGCAAAGTCTTCCACGTGAACTACAGTGCAGTCGTGTACTGCCGCTCCGTGCTTTGTTTTCTCCCCTGCGCTGGCTGTTCACTTTATGTACATGTTCTAGTACAGGCACGCACTCGATTTTATTCTTCATAAAACAGAGAGGTTCCAGGCTGTCCAAGAGAGTGCTCAATACCGAGAGGCAGAGCTAGTTCAAGCAATAATAAGAGAACGGAAAACGTGTTTTAACTCTGAGTTTCACGCACTGAGCGATCATCAGAAAAAAGCAACAGTCTGACGATCGCTTAGTGCGTGAAACTCAGAGTTAAAACACTTTTTCCGTCCTCTTATTGTTTGTTTTATTCTTCATACGTAGATCGACACAGCTTGCCGATCAGTGCTTGCAGTTGCACTCACTTGTGATCAGTGCTTGCAGTCGCACTCACTTGTGATCAGTGCTTGCAGTTGCACTCACTTGTGATCAGTGCATGCAGTTGCACTCACTTGTGATCAGTGCTTGCAGTTGCACTCACTTGTGATCAGTGCATGCAGTTGCACTCACTTGTGATCAGTGCTTGCAGTTGCACTCACTTGTGATCAGTGCATGCAGTTGCACTCACTTGGGATCAGTGCTTGCAGTTGCACTCACTTGTGATCAGTGCTTGCAGTTGCACTCACTTGTGATCAGTGCTTGCAGTTGCACTCACTTGTGATCAGTGCTTGCAGTTGCACTCACTTGTGATCAGTGCTTGCAGTTGCACTCACTTGTGATCAGTGCTTGCAGTTGCACTCACTTGTGATCAGTGCATGCAGTTGCACTCACTTGTGATCAGTGCATGCAGTTGCACTCACTTGTGATCAGTGCATGCAGTTGCACTCACTTGTGATCAGTGCTTGCAGTTGCACTCACTTGTGATCAGTGCTTGCAGTTGCACTCACTTGTGATCAGTGCTTGCAGTTGCACTCACTTTTGATCAGTGCTTGCAGTTGCACTCACTTGTGATCAGTGCATGCAGTTGCACTCACTTGTGATCAGTGCATGCAGTTGCACTCACTTGTGATCAGTGCTTGCAGTTGCACTCACTTGTGATCAGTGCTTGCAGTTGCACTCACTTTTGATCAGTGCTTGCAGTTGCACTCACTTGTGATCAGTGCATGCAGTTGCACTCACTTGTGATCAGTGCTTGCAGTTGCACTCACTTGTGATCAGTGCATGCAGTTGCACTCACTTGTGATCAGTGCTTGCAGTTGCACTCACTTGTGATCAGTGCTTGCAGTTGCACTCACTTGTGATCAGTGCATGCAGTTGCACTCACTTGTGATCAGTGCATGCAGTTGCACTCACTTGTGATCAGTGCATGCAGTTGCACTCACTTGTGATCAGTGCTTGCAGTTGCACTCACTTGTGATCAGTGCTTGCAGTTGCACTCACTTTTGATCAGTGCTTGCAGTTGCACTCACTTGTGATCAGTGCATGCAGTTGCACTCACTTGTGATCAGTGCTTGCAGTTGCACTCACTTGTGATCAGTGCATGCAGTTGCACTCACTTGTGATCAGTGCATGCAGTTGCACTCACTTGTGATCAGTGCTTGCAGTTGCACTCACTTGTGATCAGTGCATGCAGTTGCACTCACTTGTGATCAGTGCTTGCAGTTGCACTCACTTGTGATCAGTGCATGCAGTTGCACTCACTTGTGATCAGTGCTTGCAGTTGCACTCACTTGTGATCAGTGCATGCAGTTGCACTCACTTGTGATCAGTGCTTGTAGTTGCACTCACTTGTGATCAGTGCTTGCAGTTGCACTCACTTGTGATCAGTGCATGCAGTTGCACTCACTTTTGATCAGTGCTTGCAGTTGCACTCACTTGTGATCAGTGCTTGCAGTTGCACTCACTTGTGATCAGTGCATGCAGTTGCACTCACTTGTGATCAGTGCATGCAGTTGCACTCACTTGTGATCAGTGCATGCAGTTGCACTCACTTGTGATCAGTGCTTGTAGTTGCACTCACTTGTGATCAGTGCTTGCAGTTGCACTCACTTGTGATCAGTGCATGCAGTTGCACTCACTTGTGATCAGTGCATGCAGTTGCACTCACTTGTGATCAGTGCATGCAGTTGCACTCACTTGTGATCAGTGCTTGCAGTTGCACTCACTTGTGATCAGTGCTTGTAGTTGCACTCACTTGTGATCAGTGCTTGCAGTTGCACTCACTTGTGATCAGTGCATGCAGTTGCACTCACTTTTGATCAGTGCTTGCAGTTGCACTCACTTGTGATCAGTGCTTGCAGTTGCACTCACTTGTGATCAGTGCATGCAGTTGCACTCACTTGTGATATTCCTCACTTGTTTTACAGTGTGCTCATGGAATTGTACTGCATGGGATTGTACTGCATGGAATTGTACTGCATGGAATTGTACGCACATGTTCACACCTTTTGATGTGCCACATGCATATATAGATAGTGGGGTATTCAGCTATCCGGATATTTTTGTGGAAAACGGATGTGTGCGGTTAACTTAAGCAAGGTCTGACTGTGCTTCCAACGACCTGTGCTTCCAACAACTTATGATTCCAACAACCTGTGCTTCCCACGGCCCCGTGCTTCCAACGGCCCCGTGCTTCCTACGATCCCGTGCTTCCTACGACCCCGTGCTTCCAACGGCCCCGTGCTTCCAACGGCCCAGTGCTTCCCACAGCCCCGTGCTTCCCACAGCCCCATGTGTCCAATGGTCCTGTGTGCACCCCACTCACTAACCTGACTAGCTCCCAAGGCAGCAGCAGCTGACATAGAGCGATGGTCTAGGATATCAGAGTACAGCTCTTTCCAGCATTGCTTGATGGCAGCCTGATCACGCTGTGACAATGGTACCTCCAACAGTGGACGCATCTCGTGTTCAAACCAGTCCTGAAATTACACACACGCACATGCACACACACACACACACACACACACACACACACACACACACACACACACACACACACACACATACATACATACATACACACATGCAAATGCATACGCACACACAAACATGCACAAACACACACACACACACAAACAGGCACACACAAACACACACAGACACACACACAGGTACAGACACACATATACACAGACACACAGACACATACACACATGCACACACGTGTAAACGTACACACACCGACACACAGACACATACTGATCTTCCTAGATGGTACGACTCGCTGAAGCATGCCATCACAAACTATGCAGATCAGGAGAGATAAATGAAAATAAAACAGACTGCTGGAGCACAGGAGAAAGACGGTGATACATACCTTGAACACATGCTCTGGGAATGTCAGGTGGTCCAAGGCCTGGATGAAGTCGTCCACAAGCGGCAAATTAAGAATCTTTTTCAACCTACGAGCAGCACACGACAAGAGACAACACCGGTGTACGCTGTGTCAAGTCTGGGTACGGTGACACGACAATGAGAGGCTGTGGATAACATACCGGCAAGAGTACATAACCCAAGAGTGTGCAACTCCAGCTATGGGGTCTGCGACGGCAGAACTTCACATCACGTGATGAACCCGTGCACTCTAGTGCATGATAGATACTGGGTTGTACGCAGCCCAGCTTTGGGTACAACTCTCTTGTGGTCACTTTGCACTGTTTGCCAGCATAACCTTTTGAACCATGTCACGTGATGTGAAGTTCTGCCGTCGCAGCACAGCATAGAGGTTGTGCAGGCAGTTGCACACTCTTGGTTATGTACTCTTGATACCGGTCAGGGCGTGTATAGACAATTGGCATATATACAACCTCCACAGAATGTGTAGACAAAATCAGGAGACTGCCCAAACACACACATTTTTAACCCTTTGGGGCCCACAATTATTTCAAGAAATGCACTGCATACGCGAGCCCAGTTACTTATCTGGTCGTAACTTTGGTGTCCTTTGGCCGATTTTGGTGATCTTAGGCTTTCTGGAAAGCTCTTGGCCAGAGGAACACAGCGATAGCCAGCAATCCATCACTCGATCCACAGAACCAGCGCCGCAGCGCGATACGGCGCTCCAAAGCCAGCATTGCGAGCACCCAACTCAAATTCTCTGCCATTTCAACAAATTGCATCGCAGATCGCTCAATTTTTTTTACTGGAGAGCTGAGAAACATGTATTTACGATGACGTGAACTATCTGTAGCTGCGTGGGCCGCGAGTCAGGGAAAACCCCTAAAAACGAGTTCAAAATGCACGCGCTCGAGTTGACTCTGCTGAGCGAATTTAGTTCGAGTCTCGTATCTCCGCTCTCCGACCTCGGATCGCCTTCGGATTTTTTCGAGCCGATAGCTGAGAAAATTCTAATGTCGATAGCTCTTTCGATTGTCCGATTTGGTCAAGGGACAGCCGAGTTACGCCAGGTTGCGCTTTGAAAAGTATGCACTGTACACTGGTACGGATATATCCGTACTATGGGCCTCAAAGGGTTAAAAGCCTCTTACTCTTCGACAGCTTCGTTGCACTGACGTCCTTCACGCGTCTCCTCAAACTCAAAGTCCTCATAGCTGATCTTGAACGGATAGCACAGAGCCTGTGAAAACACACACACAAACATGTATATACATGCATATACACACACATACATTTACATGTATCTCTTAGCCTGTCAAACCCTATATATAGGGTTTTCAGCCGCGCGTTCTATCTTGAGCTCTCTTGAGAGCCCACTTGGCTGCTATGGCAACTAGACGCCTGGGCCTACATACGTAGAATGTACGTACGGTTCTCTTGCTGAAGACCGTGATCATTTTGTTGCTGTTTTCTTCGAGTACGGTTAGTTTTAGTGCAGCGCTGTCGTAACATTTTCTAGACCCTATATCTAGGGTTTGATTTTTCACAATGGAGGAAGAGCAACTTGAGTTAGTGGAGACGAACTCGGGCGATGAGAATGTTCCTGGCGACCTGGTGTCGACTCAGGATGATGATGTCGATGTTCCAGCAGCGTCGGATGCTCCTGAAGAAGAAGGCGAAGCAGCAACAGCGGCTGTCGCAGCTGCCGCTCCCGCCATTGCCGTTTCTGCATCAGCTGATCCACACGTGGGTCGGAAGCAGCAAATGCGGCGACACTCGCGCACGTCGTAGGAGCGCTCCTGCTAACATCAATGGCAATGCAGTGAAAATATCAAAAAAAAACAAGTGAAACTGTGTGTATTGTGTGCCCAGTTGTGAGGACTGATCAAACCCTTTCTTTAGGGGTCCTAACCCTATATATAGGGTCTTTATGTGTAGCGTTATGTCAAACCCTATATATAGGGTTTCCTGGTGACAGGCTAAGAGATATACATGCATAGACACACATACACATACATGTACATATTGCACTCTCATATGCCTTTGCTGTTTGCGTTCGGCAGAGCTCACTGACTTGTCAGTTTGAGCACTCTGGCGAGGTACGGTCGGGCTTGGTTTAAATCTGGCTTTGGAAAATTTATTTTTCCCAGCTATCAGGTTCGGCCTCATTTCCTCTGTGCTGCGCTGATGAGTCCACAAAGGACGAAGCAGTTCTGTCTGCAGATTGAGAAGTACATGTATATACATGCATGGACACACATATACGCACGCATGCACCCCCCCCCCCACACACACACACGCGCGCACGCACGCAAGCTCGGAACGTCAATGGCAACCGAGGTAATCGTTGGGCAATGTTGACCTACCGGATGGCTCTCGCAGTTTTTACTCGCAGCAGATCGGCCTACGAACGTCTTCGAAGCTTTGGTGTACTGCAACTATCCAGTGTGCGTTCTTTGCAGCATTTCACTGGCGCCAACAATGATAGACCTGGTTGGTGTGAGGATTCGATTCATGCTCAATGACAGCGCTATACCCAGTTTGCTGAGAAGGTTGCTGACGGACGCAGGAAACCCATCCCCGAAGGAATTCTGGTGATGGACGATGTGAAAGTTATATCGAAGGTCCTATGGAATTCTTCTTCGGAAGAGATTTACGGCTCGAGCATGACTGATAATGAGCCCGCAAGCCTACGTGACGTGTTTGAAGTGGTAGACTCGGACAGCACTGCCCGCGCCTCTTTCATCCTGCAGTTCTTATAAAGAGATATGTCAAGCTCATTCGATGTGCTGGGTCCATAATTATTATACTGCTTCAAGAACCCTCGACAGTAAATTCCTCATGGCATGCCTGTATGACTGTCTTTGCCTCTTGTAGATGTACGACTTTCAATCGAGTGCCATTATTTGTGATGGAGCAGCGACTAATCTGTCGATGATCAAAGCGATGCTGGGGAAACGAGGAGCCTTTGGAATGGCAGCTACCAGCACCGATCGTCACAACATCGAAGCATCAGTTGACCACCCTATTTCGCCTGATAGGCAGCTCCACTGTATTATCTGCCCTAGTCACCAATTAAAGAACACGTGCAACTCGCTTTTCTCCTCAAGACCACTAGGAGGGAAAGGATTCGTCTCCGAGGAGGGCATTTCATTTGGATGATCAGTCATCATGGACATGTACGGTCGTGAATGTGAGCGACAAGACGGAGTCGCTCGACATGTACCTGGCCTTCGGAAGAACTATGTATCAAGAGACTAGCGGACGACATTGAACGTGATGCCCCCCGCGAAAATCATGCACCAAGAGAAAGTCATCACCGAGTTGCACAAGTACTGCCTTTCAAATCCGCCGGACAATAGAACTGTTCAGGCCACTATCAAAATCCTGCAAGCCTGTAAAGGGGGTATTATGGACTCTTGGCTATACTAGTAGTACTACACTCAGACCTCGCTTAACCGCACACATCCATTTCCCACAGGAATATCCGGATAGGCAAGGGAGCCGTATAATCGAACGCACATACTGTATGTATGCGTGACAAAATCCACATATCTCCAGACACTGGGGTGAATAATGGAGTGTGGTGGTGGGGCCCATTAAGCTCCGCCGACCAGAGGTCTCGGCTTCATAGCTCCATGCGTGACAAATGCTGTAAATCGGTAACCAACGATTTTCTTCCGGATGGCGAGGGATCCGGATAAAAGAGGGCCGGAAAAAGAGGACCGGATAAGCGAGGTCTGATTGTAGCATAGGATGGGAAATGGTCCATTTTTCTCTCCTATAAAAATATGTACATGAGACAGGCTTTACGGTCTGTATGACATACACACACATGCACGCACGCACGCACACACACACATACACATACACATACACACACACACACATACACACACATACACACACACATACATACATACACACACACGCACGCACGCACGCACACACACACACATACATACACACACAAAAACACATACACACACATACACACACACACACACACACACACATACACACACGCACGCACGCACGCACACACACACATACATACACACACAAAAACACATACACAAAACACACACATACACACACACGTGCACACGACATACCTGTGGGTAATGATGGGCAATGGCTTTGAGAATCGGCTGCACGGCCATGCTCTCCTCCTTGTCCAGTATAGCGACCATCTGACTGATCCAGCTGATGCACATCCAAGACGGTAAGCTGGCTGACAGAGAGCGGAATGTGCTGAGCGTACGCTTGCTGTACGCATAGTGTGCTGGGCTGACGAGCTGCAGAAGTCGTGGGAATCGCTGGCGTGCTTCAACACTGCCGTGCTTCATGGCGGTTAGCAAACACTCTACCACACACTCAGGATAGGCCTGGGATAGCGGGCACAACAAGAACAGAGAGGAGAAAGAATGCCAGACGTGCTGCCTGGTTATTGCTTCTGCACAAAACTACATTTACAGCACCTAGGTGCAGAGTCTAGTACACCAACTTGAAAGAAGGAAACAAAGCATGGTGCATATTCATTTAACATATAAATTATCTCACCCTATGGACCACTTGGTGGTGGGTCTGATCTACTCACCTCCCACCGTTTAGGCGCTGCATCTGCGCCTTGATCCTAGAGGGTGGTGGCGTTCCCACGGCGGATGCGGAAAACACCGAGTCTCACGCGAACCGTGAAATAAAAAAAAATCTCACCCTATACTTGTAACCTCCCCCCCCCCCCCAAGACTGTTAACCCCCCCAAGACTTGTACCCCCCCCAAGACTTGTACCCCCCAGACTTGTACCCCCCCCTCAAGACTTGTACCCCCCTCAAGACTTGTACCCCCCCCCCCCAGACGTGTACCCCACACATACGCTCGTACTAGACTCTTCCTTTCATCTCCTCAAACAATCTCTCCCCATCAAACAAAGCAATACAGAGCACCGAGAGACTACGGGACAGACTGCAAAGTACACACAATGCCAGCATGACCTACCCTCAAGTCGAGCTGTGACGATGGACTGTCGTCAACTGCAGCGCAGAGAGCGAGGACATACACAACGTAGACCAACCCACACACGGACACCGGGCATTGCGCACACGGACACCGGGCATTGCGCACACGAAATGAATTACAATGCAGTAGGATGATGCCCTCACGGGTGAAAATATGGAAACAGTCGTTGTACGTAACCGAGGACTTAGTGTGTTGTGAATTGGAGGTGTAGTGGAAATATGCAGTCGGGTGTTTAAACAAATTGGACTTCACTGAGTACGACTGCCACCATCATCAGAACAATATTATTTACTGCTGTCATGTTACTAGGGTGGAGCAGCTATGAACTACCACTGACCTGCCTCGGCTGCCTCTTCTTGACGCCTCAGTGCAGAGTCGCAGAAGTTTGACAGCGCCACCAAGGACTTGACAAAGCCATCACTACATGCACACGAACAGCAATGGTGGCAGCAGCAGCAGCAGGGTGAGTGGGAGAAGGGTGAGGGAAGGTGTGAGGAGGAGGAGGAGGATGAGGAGGATGAGGAGGGGAGAAGTAGCAGCATTAACAGTGGCAGCGGAGACAGAATGAAGTAAACAGGAACAAGAAACAAGATAGGCAATCCAGCCACCATGAGGACAGAGAAGAACCAGTTGTACTCCCCAAACCAGCATCGTGAGGACATGAGACCAGCTGCATCCCCACACCCGCCCATGTACCACACATGCCCAAGGCACTTATAACCACTCACCCCAAGGCTACCCATGTACCACACATGCCTAAACCAATCACCACTCACCTGCTTATTTGGCCACGGCCGACAGCATTAGTGGCAACCTTGACCGATTCTGAGTAAAAGTGATGCCCTCTGTTGAAGAGATCCCTTGCAATCTGCCAAGAACACATACAGTGGCCTTACGTTAGTCGGCGTTTACACAAAGCACAGCCAGTTTTCCATTTTCGATCCCTTATTTCTGTTTCTGTTTTTGTGTGTCTACACGATCCGAGCTAATCCGAGCTGGTCTCGGTTTGTGCCGTTTTCGCGCGTCTACACCGGAGCGCAGGACCTGCCAACGTTAGTCAAGTGTCAAGTGTTGTAGTGAAAGTACCAATCACAGTCAAGTAGTAATAGTTGAAAACACTCCACACGACAACAATCGTCACACCCCCTCACATTGCCGGGTCCTTCGCAAACCGTGTGGACGCGCAAAAACGACACAAACTTACACGGCACGGCACACCATTTCGACTGTTCACACGTCCAAATTTACCCCGGCGGAACATTTCCGTTTTCACTCTCTTCACCTGGCTATTATTACCCACGTTCGTAAAAAGAGCGGAACGGAAAAGCGGACTTTATCATGTGTGTCAATGTAGTGTGCAGATTTTGTGCAGTTGACAGTGACCCCCCCCCCCCCCCCCCCCCTCCGCAGGAACCACATTACGCCCCAGAGGGCTGCGAGTGGTACAATTCAGCCAGCGCTATAAGTAAAACACTCGTCCCAGTATACAGCCTCACACATGTCACTAGTAACTGGCTACATCATGCCTACACTCAGATAACAAGTATGCAGCTCTACTTGAAGCAGGACTTGTAGCAGGACTAACCTGATCAGCATTGCTGTCTGCTGGACTGCCAGCCGCCTGCACTAGAACCTTCTGCTGATCAGCACGGAGAGAGCTGACAAGACGACCTCCTACAGTGCACGTACACACACACACACACAAACACAAACACACACATACACATACACACACACAAAAAAAATGCTCGACAGAAATTCCGGTAGAATTGCAGAGGAAGAAGAAGGAGGGTAGAGGGGAGAGAGGGAGAAAGGGACAGAGGGAGAGAGAGAGAGAGAGAGAGAGAGAGAGAGAGAGAGAGAGAGAGAGAGAGAGAGAGAGAGAGGGAGAGAGGGAGAGGGAGAGGGAGAGAGAGAGAGAGAGAGAGAGAGAGAGAGAGAGAGGGAGAGAGGGAGAGAGAGAGGGAGAGAGAGAGAGAGAGAGAGAGAACGGCGACGACCAATAATAAGGATGTACTAAAGGAGTTAACGCACAAGACCGATCAACATGATGCACTTTACCAACTACAAGACACACACACACACACACACACACACGCGTACGTGATCAGCTATCAACTCACCATCATTATTGATCAACGTAGAGAGTAGATCCAGAGCATTGGCCGTCAGTAAGTGGTGGTGTTGACAGAGCTCTGCCTCACGCTTCAACACACCACTACCAGAGTACTTCACTGTATGAGCAGACACAGGACACAGGACACAAGACACAGGACACAGGACACGGGACACGGGACACAAGACACGGGACACAAGACACAAGCAATTACTCATTACATACATCATGCCTGTGGTGTAACATACATCTAGTGCATACACGTACACGCACATCGGCACGCACACATGCATGCATGGCTGGATATTCACACGATTGCTTACACCTCCACACAACGCATAAGTTACACATGACTGTCTCTCTCTCTCTCTCTCTCTCTCTCTCTCTCTCTCTCTCTCTCTCTCTCTCTCTCTCCGTCTCTGTCTCTATCGGTTTCTGTAGCTCTCTCTCCCCCCTCTCTCTCTTCCTCTTTCTTCCTCCCTCTATCTCTCGCTCTGTCTCCGTCTGCCTCTCTCTGTCACACGCATGTGCGCATGCATACACAAGCACGCACACACACACACACACACACACACACACACACACACACACACACACACACACACACACACACACACACACACACACACACACACACACACACACACACACACACACACACACACACACACACACACACACACACACACACACACACACACACACACACACACACACACACACACACACACACATCCACTGGCACTTGACAAGCCATACCAAGCCATGCCACTTACACATATCATCCACCACTGCCACCAGCCTGTCGACGCGGTTCACAGAGCGTTCCTCGCGAGCCAGCTGGCATCGCAGCTGTGTGACCTCGTGCATCCATTTCACTGTGAGGTCCTCACTTCCGGCCAGTTGCTACAAGCACCACATTACAAGAGTAAGACACACAAAAAGTCAAAAACCCAACCAATGCATTGCCCAGTGACATCATTGCCCAGTGGCATCATTGCCCAGTGACATCATTGCCCAGTGTCACCATTGCCCAGTGAAATCATGCACGCAGTAGAGACTCAGGAGCAGCGGAATCAGCTTGTGATTGGTCCAGTAGTATCATGGCATTTGGTACAGTTTGTGTATGATGTGGCGGGTACACATGCCCACCACAGCAGTAACCATGTGTTGGTGGGCAACAAGTTGGTCCGGTGATAACCTGAACAACTGGATTGGTTGCGACGGGCCTGGAGACCTAAGGCAGATAGCATGGAACTAGACGTGACGGGAAGTTGTGGACAAGCTGACATGCGCGGACAACGCACGCTACAGTGCTGGCGGGCGCCGAGACCGGACCAGGCTAGAGTTTCACCAAGCACGACATACCAATGTATACACGGTAATTCAACGGTGCAACGACTATAATACATGAAAATAAGAACGGCCTAGGCTACGAGGCTGACCCCCAGTTCTTCGGCGACCGACAGTGCTATGACTGTCTTTCCTTAAATATACATGCAGGTTTGAGCCTGGATTAAAAATCTGGCTTAAGAAATTTTATTTTTCATTGCCATCAGGTTCGGCCTCATTTCCTCTGTGCTGATGAGTCCACAAAGGACGGAACAGTTCTGTCTGCAGATTGAGTACATGTAGTTTACATATTTTCCTAATATTTTTTTAAACTAAACTTCAAGGTCAAAGAAGAGGGTGAGACTTACAATCGAGCAGCAGGACTTCCTACTTTAGGTGAATAGATTGAAACAATATGGCCGAGACCTGAGAATCAAGAGCTACTCGTAATTGGGGAAATCCGGTACATGCACAGCCCACTCCCAATACAGTGCAGTGATTTGGCAGTGGGTCTATTGATCAACGGCATTGTCACAATAAGGCTGAATAAGCACATCGCTTAGCTGCAGTGGGTTCGGTTGGTGCAACTGAACCAGCACGACCAGAAGACATCTTACATTCTTGACAACCTCCTGTGTGTGCTTCAGGTACTTGCGAGCGACAGAATAGTTAGACTGCACACAACACACAGGATAATACCATTAACGGAACACACATGCATGTGCAGACACGACACACAGACACACACATGAATGTATGCACACACACGCACATGCGCACGCACACACGCACACACACACACACACACACACATTGTTGTTGAGAAACATACATGAAGAAAAATCGGGAGACTACAGCTTTGCAAAAGGAGAACCCAAGACAACTTTATGCATGAAACATAGCTGGCACCTTTGCGGGGGGGGGGGGGTCCCAAATTCACCAGGTACAAGCAGCTCTAGTGCATTGCGAGTTGTAGTGGAATTGTCCTGTACAAGCAAGTGGTGGGAAGCCTACTGGTACTACACCGGTGGCCACTGAAACCCGACCCCCGGAGCAGTGCGTTCACATTCTAGCCGTCTCTATTTCGTAGGGTTGCTATCCCGTGCTGGGTCTTTGCGATGTGAGCACATCGCTCAGGGGGTCGGATTTCACTTGCCAGCACTGCAGTATGAAGATTACATGAAACCTGCACTAACTTATTGCCCGTATGTACTAGTAGAGGGAGTAACATTAATTCCAAAATGAACTGCTAACACTCTACCTGAACACGTGCACTACCAGCAGCTGTCAGGTACAACGCCGTGCGCTCGCGCAGACACAGCTCTCGGAACGCGTCCAGCGACGTCACCGTATCCACGGCAACATAGCCGCCGGGTCCGCTCACGTCCATCGGCGCGTCGTCAAGGAGACTGTCGTTGAGACTACAGACACAGAACGCCAGAGTACAGAATGCCAGAGTACAGAATGCACAGTAGAAAAGATAAACAAGGATCAGGGGCGTAGCTGGTCCCCCTTTTAGGGGGGGGGGGGGGGGGAGGGGGTGCACGGCCGCATATCTACATGTGTAGGTTGGCTGGTGCATGTCATTCATGGTCATTATGTGCGTGCTGAACCTAGGTGGAAATTGTTAGGGGGGGGGGGGGGTGCACGCGTCCCCCCCCCCCCCCCATGCCCATGTACGTTACGAAGGCCTTGTGTTTCATGTAGGTTAGACTTCCAGTCAAATGAGAGAATTCTATGTGTGCACGCAAGAAGCACGAAACGGGGGTTGATTTTTTGCACCTAAATCGGGCAATGTTGGTTAGAAATGGAATACGTTTGGAACGGTTAAACCATATTCTCACTAGCTGCTTACCTAGTACTGGATGCATTGGCAGCAACACCAGCTCCATGCTGCTTCTCAAACACAACCTGCAGCTTGTCCATCATTACACATCTGCATTGGATACAACAGTGCATTCAAACGTACCAGGTGTAAATAAATCCACATCCGCGCCACGCTGGTTAACATTAACACACGAACAAAAAACCATGAATCCCCCCCCCCCCCCACACCATGTACCATGCATACCAATACACACGTATACGCACAGTGACCAGTATGACGGAAATAAAGGGACGCCAAACACTACATATTCTCCTTACGGAGAAGATGATGAGAATGAGGAAGGCCAGACTTACCTGTTCTGAACGATGTCATCCCAGATGTGTATGGGATCCAGGCGATTGTCAGGTAATCTACACGACCACTTTCTCAACAGTGTGGCAGCCGGTGTGAATCCATCCAGGTTACCTGTGGAAGAGTCAGCAAACGGTACTTGAACGTCTTCTTCGATAGGCGGAGGCCCCACTGGAGCCAATTAATCATGTCTCAATCTGCTTCTTCGCCACCACGATCTTATCTTACACTGCAATCGTCGTACTAAATATCTCTCGAAATGTTCGGCCTTGGGGCTTCATCAGGGAGTACATGTACTTGAAAATCCATGGCAAAAAAAGTTTCCCGCATCAATTCGATGATGAACAAAATAAGAACACATGCTATCCGAAAACATACTTGCGGTAGCAAACACGTCCACTTGACTAACCGCCATGACCATGGGTATTACCTTTAATCTCGGACGAGTAGACAAGAGTGAAGGGCATAATGGTGCTGGTCCATGGCTACTCCTTCCGATGCCACTCAACCCCTCGTATAGTCCATCTACACCACACACTACATTCTACAGACTTTCAATATTCACAACATCCCCACACACACACCCACCCACCCACCCACACGGTCCACACGGTCCACATCCACACGCATACACACCCAGGTACTGGACACACAAGCACACACTTTCACTCACGCGTGTTCTCGACGAAGGCAAGGAACTCGTGCATCTCTGTGAGGCGTTGCAGAGACTGCAGGCGGCTTGTGCGACTGTTGACCATCAGTGTGCTCAAACTGCTCCATTCCTATAAGCACACAGAGTCGAAGGCACATATAACGTTACAACAGAGGCGAAAGGCTGTGTAGCTCTAACTTCAAGTTTCATGCATTTCAGCCATCATCATCATCATCATCATCATCATCATCATCATCATCATCATCAGACAGCGGCATTTGCATTCACACGGCGTTGAAGATGCAATGATCACACAGCAATGAAGCAAGCACACCTTTTACCGCCGTTACTCGGAGTTTCGTGTGAAACACTCGTCAGACAGTTGAAGATAAATATACAGAGGCAGGTGTGTCACGGGGTACAAGGTACACACACACACACACACACAAGAACACACAAAAGAACATATGCTGACCGAGGAATACGACACACAGCGGTACAGAGATAGATAGATAAACAGCCAGCAACACTGACACACATATCACACTGACCTGACACAGACACACTGTTATATATGCACTCTGATGTAATATATTATGTACTCTGTATGCATTTGTATATACTCATTGCGCATGCTCTGAATCATGGTCTTACTCTACATGTATCCATGCCGGCTGGTTGACTCTGGTGAGCTGCGTGTGAGACTGCATGTAGGGTGTACGTGGATACACAACAAATGGCGACGAAGATGAAAATTTTGTTTTGAGATAATTTGTTTAGTTGAGTGCTTGCGAGAATTTGGTAAACCATGGCCTCTTCAGGGAAGGCCACCCTGGAGCAGTTTTCTGGCGGGGACTTTGCGGAGTACCGGGAACGGCTTGAGTTTTATTTTCTCGCAAATGACATCGGTGTTGTTTCAGCCAGTGCAAACTCATCGGAGAAAGAACGCGTACGTAAGAAGATGATTGCACATCTAATCTCTTCACTGTCGAAAGACGTCTACTCCACTTTGCGGAACCTCTGTCTGCCGGAGTCAATATCGGACAAGACCTTCGAGCAGATTTGTGACCTACTGAATGGATATTACAGAGTGGAGCGTTCCACGATGACTTCTTCTTTTCAATTTCGCGATTGCAACCAGAGACCAGCGGAAAAGCTGGTAGATTACGCAAATCGTTTGAAACGTGCGGCAGTAGCCTGCGACTTTGGGTCGCATTTAGACAGATCCCTAAAAGATCAATTTATGGCAGGAGTCTACAGTCAGGAGATCAAGCGGACGATTCTGACTAGTCCTGACAGCAAGACGAAGAAGTTTCAGGATGTGCTGGATATCGCTTTACGGGAGGAGCGCGCCATCATGTTTGCTGAGCAGCTTACTCCAGGTACTACTACTAGTACTAGATCAACATCTACGCCGTCCGAGTCAGTCAACAAGATGAGAGCTACCACTACCAGTAAATCCAAGTCAGCAAGTGCATCTAGAAAGCCAAATCACTCGCAGGACCAGAAAGGGTCAAAGTCGACGAAGGGCAAGGTTTGTTATCGTTGTACATCTGATTTGCATATGGCTGACAAGTGTCCTCATCGATCTACTACTTGTCGATACTGCAAGAAACGAGGACATCTCGAAAGAGCCTGCATCACCAAGCAGAAACGAGGTGAAATTCACCACGTGGATGACGAACCTGATGATCGAGGTGAGATCGTTTCTGATTGTGATGTTGATGATATGCCTATCTACAAGATTCGATCGGGTAGTGGAAAACACCCTCCGTATACTGTAATGGCGGAAATCAATGATGTTTGTTCACCAATTTGCATGGAAATCGATACAGGTAGTGCTGTATCCATCATCACCAAATCTGATTACGAGAAATTGGGTGCACCAGTGTCGTCTCTTGTAACTCAATCAGTCCAGCTCATTGGGTTTTCCGGTTCCATCATCCCCTGTTTAGGTGAAGGGAAATTTCCAGTGTCAATAAATGGGCAAAAGCACACTGTTCTCTTGCGCATTGTCGATACAAATGGTCCATCTCTGTTGGGCAGAGATCTTCTCTCACTTTTCAAACTAGAATGGAGGGAAATATTCTCGGTGAAGTCTGAAATTGATAATGCTCTTATACGCGCAAAGCTGCAGGAGGAAATGCTTCAGAAATTTGAGAGTTTGTTTGACACGTCAACTGTCGGCAAATTAAATTCAACTCAGGTCACTTTGCGTGTAAATGATTCAAAACCTGTGTACATGAAGGCTCGTTCAGTACCATTTGCAATCCGGGAGAAATACGAGCAAGGCCTCTCTAAACTGGAGGAGGAAGGTGTAATACGCAAAGTTGAATTTTCGAAATGGGCTTCACCTACGGTTCCGGTTCAAAAACCAGACGGAAATGTACGTATCTGTGCTGATTACTCGCGCACCATCAATGCTAATTCGGATTTAGAAAAATATCCGTTACCTACCATAGACGAAATTCGTGCCAAGTTGAATGGTGGGCAGAAGTTTACGAAGCTTGATTTATCTCAGGCGTACCACCAGCTAGAGCTTGATCCTAAGTCGAGGGGGTATACTACAATCAATACCCACCGTGGTCTGTTTGAATATGTACGTCTACCGTTTGGCATTCATTCAGCAGTCTCCATATTTCAGCGTACTATGGAGACTCTCCTGGCGGGTATCGATGGCTGCATTGTGTATGTAGATGATATTCTAGTCACAGGTCGAAATGATGCAGAGCACAAAAGAAATCTGGAAATGGTTTTGCAGCGGCTACAAGATGCGGGCATGCGTTTGAAAGCCACGAAAACCGAGTTCATGCTACCGCAAGTCTCGTACCTTGGTCATACTTTGAGTGCGAGTGGTATGGCGCCTTCGCCAGGAAGAATCGAGGCTATGGTTAATGCCAATGCTCCTACGTCCGTCAGTGAGCTTCAATCGTTTATTGGGTCTGCGAATTATGTTCGCAAATTCATACCCAATTTTGCTCGGATTATGGCGCCACTTTACGCTCTGCTAAAGAAAGATACTGTTTGGAGATGGTCAGATTCTGAACAGACAGCGTTCCTTACGATAAAGAATGCTTTATGTTCCACGGAGGTTTTGGCGCACTATTCGGCGGGTCTGGAGCATGTCTTGCAATGCGACGCATCAGGAACGGGTCTTGGTGCGGTTCTTTTACAGAAAAACGAAAATGGTGATTACCAACCCATTTCGTATGCGTCTCGTCTGTTGAATAAAGCGGAGAGAAACTATTCAAATATTGAACGGGAGTCACTCGCTCTTGTGTTTGGTGCAACCAAATTTCGCCAATATCTCCTGGGAAAGAAATTTGTCCTTGAAACTGATCACAAACCTCTGGTGAAATTGTTCGGCATGCAGGAAGGTGTTCCGTTCCTGGTTTCTTCCAGATTAAAGAAATGGAAGTTATTACTTTCAGCGTATGACTACACCATCCAACACATTGCGGGAAAGGCAAATGTTCTGGCAGATTTCATGTCTAGAAAACCAATTTCTGGAAATCCTTCTACCCCGGAACTAGGTGAAACACGTGTACTTTTCATTGAGGACGAGCTCATTGATGCTCAAGTTGTATTGAATGCCACTGGAGATGATCCAGTTCTAGAGCGTGTTCGTCACTACACTTTGAATGGTTGGCCAGAGCATGTGAAAGAGGTGGAGTTACAGCCGTACTTTGTAAAGCGCTGGGAACTATCTATTGTAAATGATGTATTACTCTGGAATGAACGAGTGGTAATCCCCATGGCTTTGCGCGCGATGCTCTTGAGTGAATTGCACTCGGAACACACAGGCGCTGTACGAATGAAACGTATGGCACGTCGATATTTCTGGTGGCCAAAGATGGATGACGAAATTGAAGATACCACCAAAATGTGCGCTACGTGTCAAGAACAGGCACGCAAACCTAGTAAATCCTATGCTACCTGGTCATGGCCGTCGGGTCCATGGCGTCGTCTGCACATAGACTTTGCGGGTCCATTCATGGGCAAAATGTTTCTGGTGATTGTCGATGCGTATACGAAATATCTGGAAATTGTCCCGATGACACATGCTACATCAACGGGTACTATCAAAGCTTTGAGACGTTTGTTTGCCACATTCGGTCTACCCACTCACATCGTTAGTGATAATGGGACCCAGTTCACTAGTGCTGAATTTACCTCGTTTCTCCAGAAAAATGGAATCGCACACACTCGTTCAGCTCCAGGCCATCCGGAGACAAACGGTCTCGCTGAGCGATATGTCGGTCATTTTAAAGCTAAAATGAAAGCAATGGGAACAGAAGGTGACGACCTAGATACACGACTACAACGATTTCTAATGACATTTCGGTCAACTCCTACGGCGAATGGTAAATCACCGGCAGAAATGCTATTTAATCGCCAACCACGACTACGTTATGATGCTTTGAAAACAACACGGAATGCGGAGGCACAATCTTTCAATCAAAACCAGCATTTGCTACCAGAATACAAACCGGGTGATGCTGTGTTTGCGTTACGTTTTCAAAACCATGGTACAACCTGGGTCCCTGGTGTTGTTCTCTCTATCTGCAGTGCTATGAATTACTCTGTCCAGGTAAATGATGTGGTCTGGAAACGACACCGTAACCAACTCCGGCCACGTTCAATACCACTTTCTCAGTTAGCAGAACAGACACGTTCTGCACCACAGCAGCAACAACTCCAGCCGCAGCAGCAACAACTCCAGCCGCAGCAGCAGCAGCAACAACAACTGTCACCACAACAGCAACAGCCTCAGCCGCAGCAGCAGCAGGTGCCACAGCAGTTGCCGCCTCAGAAGGCTCAACAGCCGACGACTTCACAGCAGAAAGAGCAGCCCATGCAACAGTCGCAGGATGAGCAGGGTCAACAGTCGTTAGCTTCTACAGCCCCAGCTGATGCTGTACCTGTTGACCGGCAGGTGACTCGATCTGGTCGGTCAGTCGTAAGACCAGCTCGGTATAACGGATGAGACATTTTATACATGTAGGATATGTAATTATTATATTATTTGCATGGATTGATTGAGATGATCGTGAATGCATGTACGTGGTTCTCTTGTTGCATTTGTATATATCAGTATAATGCTCTGTATAGTACATACCACACATAGAACATTGAACTTTGATAATTGGCACGTCAGACGATGGTACATTATTACATTGTCTGTTCTATGCTATTATTCCTTGTCATGAAAATGTTTTGTTTTCGGTGTTACCTCTTTTTGCGAGGGGGATATTGTTATATATGCACTCTGATGTAATATATTATGTACTCTGTATGCATTTGTATATACTCATTGCGCATGCTCTGAATCATGGTCTTACTCTACATGTATCCATGCCGGCTGGTTGACTCTGGTGAGCTGCGTGTGAGACTGCATGTAGGGTGTACGTGGATACACAACACACACCATGTATCATGTAGCATGTATCATGTATACGCCTGTCGCAAGAGAAGCACGCAAATCTGCAAATGCACTGGATGTGCACCCACAGATTTTCTCACAGACACATACATGGGCACGGACGCAGACACAGAGTAATATACCTCCAAGAATCCGTCCAGGCTTTGCCTCACGTAGTAGCGTGCACGGTCAAAGTCGTCTTGCAGAATGAAGAGCAGTGCAAGGTCGTACGAATGTCGCGACTGAGACGTTCACACGGTACAGAGAAGGACATACACACACACACACACACACACACACACACACACACACACACACACACACACACACACACACACATACACACACACACACACACACACACACAAGCACAAATACATCACCCTTTGAGCAAGTATATATGTAAGCAGTGCTAAGCATACTAAGAGCGGTGCTGCTACTGAATAACTCCCAACCCGACGAGAGCATTACCAGTATCACTGCCAGCATGCATGTCTCCGGACTTTGGCCTCAGAGCCACCACCACCACTGACACTGTCACTGTCACCATCACCATCACCACCAGGATCAATGCCCCCTGTAGCACCATCACCATCACCACCAGGATCAATGCCCCCTGTAGCACCATCACCATCACCACCAGGATCAATGCCCCCTGTAGCACCATCACCATCACCACCAGGATCAATGCCCCCTGTAGCACCATCACCATCACCACCAGGATCAATGCCCCCTGTAGCACCATCACCATCACCACCAGGATCAATGCCCCCTGTAGCACCATCACCATCACCACCAGGATCAATGCCCCCTGTAGCACCATCACCATCACCACCAGGATCAATGCCCCCTGTAGCACCATCACCATCACCACCAGGATCAATGCCCCCTGTAGCACCATCACCATCACCACCAGGATCAATGCCCCCTGTAGCACCATCACCATCACCACCAGGATCAATGCCCCCTGTAGCACCATCACCATCACCACCAGGATCAATGCCCCCTGTAGCACCATCACCATCACCACCAGGATCAATGCCCCCTGTAGCACCATCACCATCACCACCAGGATCAATGCCCCCTGTAGCACCATCACCATCACCACCAGGATCAATGCCCCCTGTAGCACCATCACCATCACCACCAGGATCAATGCCCCCTGTAGCACCATCACCATCACCACCAGGATCAATGCCCCCTGTAGCACCATCACCATCACCACCAGGATCAATGCCCCCTGTAGCACCATCACCATCACCACCAGGATCAATGCCCCCTGTAGCACCATCACCATCACCACCAGGATCAATGCCCCCTGTAGCACCATCACCATCACCACCGGGATCAATGCCCCCTGTAGCACCATCACCATCACCACCAGGATCAATGCCCCCTGTAGCACCATCACCATCACCACCAGGATCAATGCCCCCTGTAGCACCATCACCATCACCACCAGGATCAATGCCCCCTGTAGCACCATCACCATCACCACCAGGATCAATGCCCCCTGTAGCACCATCACCATCACCACCAGGATCAATGCCCCCTGTAGCACCATCACCATCACCACCAGGATCAATGCCCCCTGTAGCACCATCACCATCACCACCAGGATCAATGCCCCCTGTAGCACCATCACCATCACCACCGGGATCAATGCCCCCTGTAGCACCATCACCATCACCACCAGGATCAATGCCCCCTGTAAGTTAGCACCATCACCATCACCACCAGGATCAATGCCCCCTGTGTAGTATTATTCTCAATAGGGACAAGGAGACATGGACGAGTAAACTAATGAGGAGCAAGAAATGCACAACCAGTAGGTAAGTCAAAAACAAGAGAAGTCCCGAGCCAGTGAAGCACATCAAAGTTCTGGCCTACGGGAAACGGCCTGTGTGACGTACATACAGCATGCAACGCATACAGTCATAAGTGTACAGTAGTGTACGCATAATAGAGTCCAGATATTACGACATCTCCCCTTTCAGGGCGCGCAGCAAGAGAGCGATAAGTTAGCAAAACAGGAATAATGCTGAAGACGAAAGAGTAACGCTAAATGATTAACGGAATCTGATAGGAGTATGAACGGCACGTCCAGAACGGGTAACTCTACCGGAACGCTCAGGGACGGGAGTACCTGGAGATGGACGTTGGGCAGGTGACGCTGGCTCACCATTGTCCACAGCGTCGTTAGCAGAACCTGCAGGCGGATCGACGATGAGGTCACTGCGGTTGCGGCGGAGAACCGAACCGGATGGCGTCTCCACGATAAGCGACCTGGTGGAATGCTCGGCAGTGACAATACCAGGCTCTTTCCTATCCGGAACAAAGACAGCGGTACCCGGGACCAGTGGCGTAGCATCGAGAGCGCGATGGCGGGAGTTGAAATCCGACGCTTGCCGGGACTTCAGAGAGGCGTCTTTAGCGGCAAACGCTGTGCGATCTACGAGGTATGGCCGTCGAACGTCTGCCGACATGGGTAAACGCGTCTGGATGCGGCGGCCCATGAGGAGCTCCGCAGGACTGAAGCCATGTGCTAGTAGACTGGCACGATAGCTCTGCAGAGCAACATACGGATCACCTCCCCTCACCAGCAAATGCTTTAGGGTCTGCACTGCGCGTTCCACTAAGCCGTTGCCTTGCGGATGAAGAGGGCTGCTCGTGCGCTGGGTGGTTCCTTGCTCTTGAAGCCATGCTGAAACCTCTGCACTTGTGAATGGGGGACCATTGTCCGAAACAAACACATCTGGATTGCCGTGACGCGCAAACATGGACTTCAGTTGCGTGATGAGAGAAGCTGCAGAAGTACGGGACATCTGAGCAAGCTCGATCCATCGGGAGTAGTAGTCGACGACAACTAGGTACTGAGAGCCTTGGAACTGCATGAAATCGGCAGCGACTTCCTGCCACGGGAACTCGGGAAGACGTGAGGACAGCAGGGGCTCCATTGGCGTTGGCTTGTCACGAGCGCAGGCTTGGCAATTGGACACGATATCAGCCAACTGGGCGCTTAGACCTGGCCACCAAACTGACTGGCGAGCCCTTTCGCGGGTCTTCGTGATGCCGAGGTGACCAGCATGGAGCTGCTGGAGGACTTCTGGACGGAGCTGGTCCGGGATGACGATTCTGGAACCGTACAGGAGCAGGCCATCTGTGATACAGAATGACTGCCGGGATGCGTAGTAGGGCTTAACGGACACTGGAGCAGACTGTAAACTTGGCCAACCGGACAGAGTGTACTGCACAAGATGTTGACACACTGGGTCTTGAGCCTGCTGGTGTTGAATCTCACTCAGTCTTGCATCGGACGCAGGGAGATGAGAAACCACACTGTCGAGAAAAGCTTCTGCGTCGTCGAGGAGGCGGACGTCATCAGCGGACAGAGGACGCGACGCAGGTGACCTAGATAAGGCATCAGCAACGATTAGATCTTTGCCAGGGATGTGTACGATGTCGAAATCAAATCGCATCAGGTTGAGCCGGAACCGGAGTACACGTGGAGGGATAGAGTCGAGAGCACTGGTGCTGAACAGGGGCACCAGAGGCTTGTGATCTGTTTCCAGCGTGAATCTCTTACCGATGAGGTAATCAGAGAATCGGTTGCAAGCCCAGGTGAGGCCAAGAGCTTCCTTTTCTATTTGAGCATAGCGACGCTCTGCCGGCAGTAGTGCACGAGACTGGAACGATACGGGTTTCCAATCGCCGGACGGCTGTTGCTGCTTGATAACGGCACCGAGACCATAGCTCGAGGCGTCTGCAGAGACAATAGTTGGGTACTCGGGAGAGTACAGAGCAAGAACAGGCGTACACGACAGAAGAGCCTTAATCTCTTCAAATGCCGATTGCTGAGGGGGTCCCCAGGACCAGGCATTGCCTTTCTTGAGAAGGTCGCGGATCGGCTGTGAGACGGAAGCAAGTGAGGGAGAGAACTTGCCAAGCTGGTTGACGAGGCCGAGAAAGCTTCTCACATCCGCGACATCCTGGCATGGCGTGAAGTCTTGAATGCCCTGCACCTTCTGGGGATCAGAGTGGATGCCGTCTTGGTCGATGATATGACCCAAGAACTTGGCAGAAGTGACTTTGAAGAGACACTTGTCAGGGTTGAGTGTGACGCCGTTGTCGCTGAGCCGTTGTAGCACCTGGTGCAGCCGGTTATCATGTTCCTCTTCAGTGCTACCGAACACTAGAGCGTCGTCCATCTGACATGCGGTACCAACCACACCGTTCAAGATCCGAGCCATTCGTTTCTGAAAATGTTCGGGAGCCGAACAAATACCGAATGGTAGACGCGTGAACATGAAACGCCCAAACGGGGTGATAAATGTGGTCAACTTCTGGGATTCCTTGGCCAAGGGCACTTGGTAAAACCCAGAGTTGGCGTCAAGCTTTGTGAAATACTTGGCACCGCCCAACTGACCCAGCGTGTGGTCTACCGCCGGCAAGACGAACTGCTCACGACGAACGTGTTGGTTGAGACGTGTGTAGTCAACGCACAGACGGACTGCCTCCCCTCCAGGTTTGGCGACAACAACAAGGCCAGCACACCAATCAGTTGGTTCGTCGACAGGGACGATGACGCCTTGCTTTTCCATCTTCTCAAGCTCCGCTTTAACAATCGGCATTAGCGGTATTGCCACATTGTCGCGCGGGCAGGACAGAGCAAATGGTTTGGCGCCTTCTTCGAGGCGAATGCAGTGAGGCTCTCCAGTGAACCTGCCGAGAGGTTTGAACAAATCGGGGTATGCAGCTCGTGCTGTCGCGGTGTCGCGAATACCGCTCGATACTTCAGAGATGTCAGCCTTGACGTCCAGGAGGTCCAAGGCGACTATTGCAGGGCGTCCTAGGAGGGCCTGCTTGAGGTTGTTGGCAACGAAAATCTCTTGGCGAGACGACTTGCCCGCATGTGTTACCACTGCGTCGAACACGCCAGCTACGTCGAGGACGCTTGAGTTAGCAGACATCAGGGTACGACGACTGGGTCGCAGGGCCTGCGCATCTAACAGGCGGAATACACTTGCTGGAATTACAGAGACATCGGCTCCGGTGTCGATCTTCATCATGACTGGGGAATTGTTGACTTCCACCGACACAGACCAAGGGTCACGTCCGGCATCGACGCTGCCGAGAAACATGCCAGGGGCATGCGCATCTGGCGGTACAGTATGTACAGCGTCACAGGATCGTTGCTTCTTCTGGCACACAGTAGCAAAGTGCCCTTGTTTCTTACAGAAATTACACTCAGCTGATCGAGCTGGGCATACTGCACGATCATGGTCTTCCTTCCCACAGAATTGACAACTCTTTTTTTGTTGTTTTTTCTTGAAATCCTTGGATCTCTTCGGAGCAGACTTTTTAACAAAGGATACGTCAGCAGGGCTAACACTGGCGGAGCGAGACCCGGTTAGCTGAGCCATCTGGGTAGCTGTAGCTTCATGTGTCCTCGCAACTTCCAGCCCTTCGTCAAGAGACGACAACTGGTCGCCCTTCTCCAACAGCTTCTCCTGTACCGTTTTATGTCGGGTGCCGACAATCAGCTGCTCTAGCAAACGGGTGTTGACTTCACCGGCATCGGCAAATTTGCACTTCACTGCCAAGTTCCGACAGCGACAGAGAAAATCGTCAGTGGTTTCCCCCACATTTTGCCGTTGCTGTTGAAGCTGGAAACGGGCCAGCCACGCGTTTACTTTCGGCTGCAGGTGGGCCTGAAAACGGGAAAGTAATTCGTCCACTTTGAAGCGGTCAGCTTCGTCTGCAAATGTCCACGAATTGTAGATGTCCACACCAGGTCGGCCTATCCAAAGGAGGATATATGAGCATTGCTCTTTCGCTGACTTCGCTGAGTACGGACCTCCGAAAATCAATTCACAATACTGCCTAAACGAGGCGAATTCCTCCGGGAGGTTGTCTGACTGCCATCTCATGGATGGAATAGAAAATCCAGCCATCGTTATCAGCAGCCCAATTCTGACACCATGTAGTATTATTCTCAATAGGGACAAGGAGACATGGACGAGTAAACTAATGAGGAGCAAGAAATGCACAACCAGTAGGTAAGTCAAAAACAAGAGAAGTCCCGAGCCAGTGAAGCACATCAAAGTTCTGGCCTACGGGAAACGGCCTGTGTGACGTACATACAGCATGCAACGCATACAGTCATAAGTGTACAGTAGTGTACGCATAATAGAGTCCAGATATTACGACACCCTGTAGCACCATCACCATCACCACCAGGATCAATGCCCCCTGTAGCACCATCACCATCACCACCAGGATCAATGCCCCCTGTAGCACCAACACCATCACCACCAGGATCAATGCCCCCTGTAGCACCAACACCACACTCACCACCATAGTCACCACCACCGATGTGTTCACTGCCCCTGCCCCTGTTACTGTCACTACCAACAGCAGCAGCAGCAGCACCACCACCATTGCCACCATCACCACCATCAGAATTTCAAACTTACCTCCAACACAGCACGATGCTGAGAGTCTTTCATAGCTGAACTGACAAACGACAGGAAGTTGGCATCGTGTTCTCCAGACGATGCCAGCTTCAACTTACTACGTAACAAGTATGGCAAGTAGTGCTCCTGGCAAACAAAACACACACACACACACACACACACACACACACACACACACACACACACACACACACACACACACACACACACACACACACACACACACACACACACACACACACACACACACACACACACACACACACACACACACACACACACACACACACACACACACACACACACACACACACACACACACACACACACACACACACACACACACACACACACACACACACACACACACACACACACACACACACACACACACACACACACACACACACAGAAACAAAAGAAGAACTCATCTAATTTCGGACAAACCAGTTTTTACTTTATTTCTACCTCATCATTCTCCCCTGGAACAATAATACCGGCATCACAATAGAAAGTTTTATTTGATGACAAAACGAACACGAGGCAACACTCCACTCGGAGCAGCCGCCGAATGAAGAGACGTGCATTCGCATAACCGAGGCCGAGCTTCTGCTGAGCTTTCATGAACCGTCGAGCCCAGATAGCGAACGCGCATTCACGTCCCAAAGATCTATGTACCTGTATGAAAGCATGAGAGGTCTACAGTGACTGCAGTTGTGCGAAGAAGTTGGTAAGTGAGCACCCAAGTGTTTAGGGCTAGACTCATGATGTGCGCTCAACTATCAGGTACCCCCCTTCCAATTCCCCCTCGCCCTTCCCCCTCCTCCCCATTCCCTCGTCACCAAGTTGTGCGTCCTGATGTTAACCTAGCTAGGGCTAGCAGCAGCATAGTTACAAGTACCTGATAGAATGCATCAGTCCAGATGTTGTCCAGGTTAGCCACAGCACCATCAGCCTCGTCGTCATCACCAATCTGCTGCATCACCATCTTCTCCAGGTCTTGCCATTGCGTCAGTTGATTTAGACTCTGTCACAAGAGAGACAAAGTTACACGGAAACACACAGTCGTACACGACGATGGATCATTTGCCTACAAACACGGCAAAAACCAAACATCATGGAACACCACTCTTCTTCTTCTTCTTCTTTTCATTAGGGGCGAAACAATTCTACCGAATATTCAAGTACTTGCACGGTTTTGGAAATTTTGAAACCTGCCAATGTGTCAAAACAGCTTTGTGGGAGTTATTTCCGGGTAGGGTTGAGCATTTCAACCAACTCTCAACCTTGGGGCTTATTACAGGACGGCGCTTATGTTCAGCACGACAATGATGTCAGGAACCACAGCAGCCTCACAACGTAAGTGCTACAAGCAGAAACTCACCGCCATGTAGGAGTCTTCCCAGAAGTCTTCTTCGCAAGTCAGCGGTGCACCGTCTGGCCAATCCCTGCTGCTCATAGCCTACAGCAAACAAGTGTGTGTGTGTGTGTGTGTGTGTGTGCACACGTGTGTGTGTGTGTGTGTGTGTGTGTGTGTGTGTGCACGTGCATACAGAATATTAATACCACAGAGCCATCAGATGCTGCACAGCAGGGGCGGTGGCATATTGGATGGAAGTGGGCGCAGGGCAGAAGCAACTCCTCCGACCAACGGTCTCGGATTCATCGCTACTCATGTTCGCCGGTTTGAAGGAGAAATGAATATGTGCATCCAATAGGAAAGCACCTTTGAAAAACGATCATGTATGATATACACAGACTTACAAGCATACAGATAAGTGCACAAAAGTATCGCAGGCTGGTGCAAGAGTCTATCAGACTCGCCTTGCCACAACCGGAGGAGCAGTGCTGCTGCCCTCAACGATAACGGCCCCAGGCACACACAATGACATCTGTACAGACATTCATGTATTGTCGAATCCGACTTATCCGACTGCTTCACACCATGAGCTGAAGTCAAATAAATAAAAAAACATACAGGCGGGCAAAGAGACCGCAGTTCTGCACATACATGCACGAACGCACGCGAACGCGCGCGCACACACACACACACACACATACACCTGTCCTGTCCTGAACATTGCCGTAAAACGGTCACATGTCCCCTCATACGAGGGGCCGACAGACATGGGGTAGGTCGTTGAATACGGTACGCAGCACGCTCCTGGTCCTGGTCCTGGTAAACACTGCCATTACGGTCACGTGTCCCCTTGCGGGGCCGACAACATGGAAACGACGAGCGACGGCAGAAAGTCGGCAGTCTGCCAAGAGATCAGGGACCATGTTCAATCGGCACGACGAGAGAGCCATCTTTGGCAGCTATGGATTTGGAATCCACGAGCAGAGCGCAGCACGCTCACACACACGCGCGCACACACACACACACACACACACACACACACACACACACACACACACACTAATACGCACGCACACACGCGCGTGCGCACACACACACACACACACACACACACGTGCACGCAAACACACACACACACACACACACACACACTAATACGCACGCACACACGCACGCACACACACACACACACACACACACACACACACACACACACAGTGATCACATACCTCGTTGTAGTACTGATGAGCCTGGTGATAATCACCCCTGGCCTCGGCGTCCAGAGCTTTCTGTGTGAGTGGTTTAGTACCCACCTCACTACCGAATATACCGCGTACCGTGTCCCAGTCACCCACAGACTTGTACAGTCTACACGGGGACACAGTGAAAATGGTGCACGTGACACATGGCACACACACACATACACATGCACGCACGCACACACACACACGCACGCACACACGCACGCACACCCACACACATACACACGCGCGCGCGCACACATATACACGTCAAAAAGGTAACCGACGACAGTCGTTCCAATACTCTGCATGCAATCTGCACATTCACATACATGTACACACACACACACACACACACACACACACACACACACACGTACCTGCCCAGCTCAATCCAGGTGGCGGTGTTCGCCGGTAGCATATTCTGCTGGCTGAGACGAGGACGCTTGGCTGCCGGCTCAATGGATGTAGGCATAGCACTCATTCTGATCAGCTGCCGCTCCAGAACAGCAATACCTGACAGAAGCAAACAGCAGGTGGACAAACATACAGTCGACTCCACTTATAACAAACTCACATATAGCAAATTTTGTGAAATAGCGAACCGTTGTCCATGTCCCAGTTTGAACCCACGGTGTAGGCGCGTTTCTATTTCTGTTACAACAAACTTTGGCTATGCTATAAAGAACTAATTCTCCTGCACGTTGGTGTTCGTTATATCAGGAGTTGACTGTAGTGGGAGAAGAATTTTCACACAGTAGAGTGAGGGCACAACACAGGGCATGACACAGGGGGTACAGTACAGGGCACAACACAGGGGGTACAATACAGGGCACAACAGATGGGGTACAATACAGGGCACAGCAGATGGGGTACAATACAGGGCACAGCAGATGGGGTACAATACAGGGCACAACACAGGGGGTACAACACAGGGCACAACACTGGAAACTGAGATCTGAAGGACAGAACACATCCCCCACCCATCTACCACTCACCTGACATTTGCTGGAGGCCAGCAAGAGCAGCGGCAGTGGCCGTGGCTGGGTCCAGATCCAGGTGTTTGCTGTCGTAGCTAATGTCAAATATAGCAGATATGAACGGAGCGTAGTAGCTGGTCGACGACGATAACACCGCATTAACACCTAGCGCAGGCACACACAGAGAGGAAAGCAGACAGACGGACATGTGGACAGACGAATGGACAGCTGACGGGGCAGAGACAGGTTAGTAGACAAACAGACAGACGGATAGATGGACGGAGAGAGGGGCATACCAACAGACAGAAAGACAGACAGACAGACAGACAGACAGACAAACCAACAGACCAATAGACCAACAGACCGACCGATAACGGTTGAGAAATGCAGAAGAAAATGGGACAGTTGATCGGACCGACAGTTGGGCAAATAAACAAAACGGACACCGAGACAGACAGAGGCATAGAGAAGTGGGCATGCAGAAAGAGAGAGGAAGAGAGAGAGAGAGAGAGAGAGAGAGAGAGAGAGAGAGAGAGAGATTGAGAGAGAGAGAGAGAGAGAGAGATTGAGAGAGAGAGAGACAGCACGCGAAAGAAAGAGATACAGCATGCATAAAACCGGATCATGTCTAGATCCAACGACATCACAAGCTAATGAAACACTCCCTTCAAAGCACAACAATATCGGAAATATCTTCTCCTACCGTCCTTCATGGCCTGGCGAGTGGCGTCTACATGTCGTGCTGCCAGCAGCTCTTCCACACGACCAAACACAGCACTAAACACACTGGTGAAGAGCAGACGGGCAAGGCTGGAGTCTCGCTACTCAAATGCAAGTGTACAGGCACGTACATTTCGGATACACATGGACACACACATACACGTGCACACACATATTCACACATGCATGCACAAACACACACACACACACCAAAGTGACCAAACGAGACAGCAGACGCACACACCAGACTACGCAATGAAATTAAAAAGTGATACCGACATGTAGAGAGAGTTCCAACACAGCATAAACATTCGTCAGCAAACAGAACATCAAAAAAACAAAACAGCATCAACCTGGCTAAAGCTCGAGTCTTTCATTTCACAAGGTACAATATTAAAGAAAGAGCAGTACCAGTGCAAATGGTCTAGCGTTACCTGAGCTAATGCTTGCAGTGGTCGAATGAGCTCCGAGAACTTGATCTGAATGTCAGGAAGGTCGCCGTCGCGATACTTGCGGTACATGACGACACGATGTTCTCGAGCCTCTTTCTGCTGTCGAGAACGCTCCTACGTGTGTACGTGCGTGAATGTGGCCATGGTTGATGATGGACAGTAGATAAACAGTGGAGAGCACAAGGCAGATAGAGACTTTATTAGAATATTTTCTTGGATGACCAGACACCTGCCCAATGAGTCGGCTAGCAGCTAAAATCGAACTCCAGAACACGTCCCTTGAAACAAAGCAGTTTGCGCAACACCCCCCCCCCCCAACACAGTTAAACAAACATGACTCCTGCCATTCTCCGCACGCACAGCCTTACCTCGCGGAGCTTCTGGCGTCTGGACTCAATGCGAGCAAAGACCTGGCCTGAAGTGCCGCGGTCTTTGAGGAAGCGTTTCTTCAAGGACATGATCTCCTGCTGTGTCTGCTGAGTGGTTTCTGAGTTGCACAGAGCAGCAAAAGAAACAACACATTGTTGCGCTGACAACTACCGTAATGTCGCGTATAAAAGCAGGTGCTTACGGCCGTATAAGCCGGGGTTCAAACCATGCTTCTCTTCAAAACATGCTTCTACGTCAACATCATCAGTCTATACTGTGCAGTGCATACTGCCATGCATGTACTTGCACGTGTACTTTACCGAGAGCGGCTTCTATTCAAATCATGCTTCTGTGTCACGGCGCGCTTCGAAAAATCGGCTTCTATTCGTGCTTCTATACAGGTCATGCTTTTATACGCCACACTACAGTATGCACACATGTACACAGCCTTACTAGATCTCGTAATTAGACGTGTGCTTGCCCACTACCTCAATCCAGTTTCTAATCTCTATTTAGAAGTTTAACCCTTTATTGGCCGATTAAAATATAAACAAGCCCACGCAATCGCCAAACCTGTAACTAAATTGGACGTAACTTTAGTTTGCACTGGACAAATTCCACGATCTTGGGCATCCTGGAAAGGCCTTGACGAGAGGAGCGCAATAAGCCTACACTCGACTCCACGGGATGCACTGGCCCAGCGCAGCAAGCCAGGGAAGGCCCACCAGCGCTGGGCTCACGCTCGAGATCTATCTCTATCCACCATTTCACTCCTGTTGCTAGTATCAAACTCAAAATTGTTGTAGACACTCCCGGGAACCTGCTTTTGAAGTTGAATCGGTGTAGCCTTGTCAACAGGTGACGCAAGCAGGGAAAATCCCGGCTGTTGACCCACGCATCGCACTCTGAGCACAAATTTCCCGGGACCAATATTACGAGTGCTATAACTTACGAACCGCTCTTTGTATGGCTTTGAAAATTGTTTGAGGCGACAGCTGAGAGTTTTCTCTTCGACCTACATATTTCGATCTCTCCGAAAGACCGAGATTTGACCAAGTTACGATAATTTCAAAATGCCTACCCCATCGAACATCGGTGTTCGATCAATGTATGGGCCAGCCAATAAAGGGTTAATCACTATTAGGAACAGGTAATCCGCATAAAGAATAGGTACTGTAAAACATGTCATTTTAGGTGCATTAAAATTTCGGTGCCAGGGACCTGCCAGGTTTCAGGTGTAATGTAGAATTAGGTGACCAGCGTTCCCTTCACATACAGTGCATACTCTAGTGCCTTTTACGTGTAATTTAAATTTAGGTGCCTGGTTTCTCTTCCGAAATCACCGAAATTAAAGTTACACCGAAAATTACATGTTTTACAGTAACCTGTATTTAGATGGTTTGGCCTGGAGAGCAGTATATAAGTGGTGCTTTTCAGGCACAATCTTTCTCAGCCTACTCAAGCTCAACTGATGAGGGGTGAATTCCCCGAAACACTGTGTATTGAGCAGGGAGTGGTGCTTTCTTGCAGGTTTGCCGAGTGGAAGTTGCGACTTGCTCCTCGTGTGCTCCGGATGGCAGTCGTGAGTCAGTTAAGTTTCAAGTTCGGCAAGAAGCGTGTGTTCCTAGTTGGAACAATCAACTTCATGACTATTACCGCCGAAGTCGCAACTTCTAAGTTCGTATTGTTGTCCCTCACGCGGACGTGCGACTAGTTGTTGGAGGTGACAGCGTTGCGAATAGCTAAACTGGCTCTCAACGTCTGTTTATCACAACTCCATGAGCGACTCTGACTCACGCTGCTACCTGGAGCTTCACGAGGTGTTTGTCACGCTGGAAACAAAGCGTCTCTGTAAGTTTGTATCCCTAGTGATGGTTTGGCCTGGAGAGCAGTATATAAGTGGTGCTTTTCAGGCACAATCTTCCTCAGCCTACTCAAGCTCAACTGATGAGGGATGAATTCCCCGAAACACCGTGTATTGAGCAGGGAGTGGTGCTTTCTTGCAGGTTTGCCGAGTGGAAGTTGCGACTTGCTCCTCGTGTGCTCAGGATGGCAGTCGTGAGTCAGTCAAGTTTCAAGTTCGGCAAGAAGCGTGTGTTCCTAGTTGGAACAATCAACTGCATGACTATTACCGCCGAAGTCGCAACTTCTAAGTCTGTATTTAGAATTTAAAAAAATATAAAACCTGCTCGGGTTCGCGTACAGGGCGGGTCAAGAACCACCTTTCCACTTCGGTGGGACTCCACCACCCCATGACCAGGCGCCAGATGCGACTCCAAAACGGTATCTAGAATAGGAAACCCGTAAATAGAATATACATATTCCCTCAACTAGTCACTACGTAATAGAAGAAGTATTCACAGTCTGAGCTCTTTCACCTTGCAGCTGAGCGGAAGCATCCAATGTCGGTTGCAGCTGCTGAGTACCGAACGATGGCCCAGCCGTCCTGGAGGCTGGCAATGGTCGACGTTGCATAGCGGCAGAGCGCCTGGCAGCAGCAGCACTAGCACTACCACTGCTGGCACCAGCACCGAGGGGCTGCGTGGAGAAGAGGAGGATGTTCTGAGAAGCACCACCGTCCGCGGACAGCGATGACGCTTGCATGCCACCGCCTGCCGCCGCGCCCGACAGGGACGACACATCCTGTGACTGGGCTAGAGGTGTAAGCCAACTGTACTCGCGCTGTGATGCTGGAGACACAACACACAAAAAAAAAACGAAACGAAAGTGCTGGCAACGTCGTGTGTAACGGCAACAGACATGGAGCATAGCTCTACAGCAATCAGGGATGAGTGCACACAGTGTGTATCTCTCACCTGCCATGTCCTGTGTGGGCGTGAACGCCAGTGCCTGCGTCTGGCGCAGCTGACCGGGCATCCAAGCGCCGAGTGTGCCGCTCAGAGTGGCACCGGCACCGCCACCGAGCATCTGACTCTGAGATGCGGCGAACATCGGCGTCATCAGCAGGTGACGGTGCTGCCAGGAAAGGTTCAGAGTACGTGCATCCTGAACAGAGTAACATCATAAATTAATAACACATAGAATCAGTGATTTGCGTGATATAGGTTATGCGATGATCGTGAACGTGTGGAATTCAGAGTTGCAACGAACCTGTCTCTCTCTCTATCTATCTGTGTAAAACCTGAGTACTCAACAATGTACATGCAACCTTATTATGGCTATGGTTGCATAGGGTTCGCATAATGAACAACAATTGGCCGCCTGCTACGGACAGAACATTGTTCAACGCCTGTCCAGACAACTCTCCAAACACCAAAGGCCCCAAATGAGAAGTTGCCTCCATAATGAGCACAGCAACCAGCTCTCGGCTACAAGTCTCACCTCAAAGCGGCACTCGGCTAGCGGAAAGTCAAACATAGGCCGGTCGAAATCCGGACTGCGTGAGGTCAACTCAAGCAGCAGATTGGTAGCACAGCTCAGGAACTGTGTTTCCGTGTTGACTGAATAGAGAACACCGAGTAGATGTGAGAGACGGTCCATGGTCTTGGACGACAGGCGAGTCTCATGATTCCAGAACGCAAACATGTGTAGTCTGTGTGGAGTGAATGAACAAGTGGTGGGTGCCGCACAAAGCACACGGATGCACACACACACATACACATGCACAAACACACACACACACACACACACACACACGTGCCCACGCGCATACACGCACACACATGCACACACGCACGCGCGCACACACACACACACACAACCGGAAATACTGAGTACGGATATGACCAAACCTTCTATGCTGATGGCGAGGTCTTTGTGGTCCACTTTCACAACACTAACACACACAGAAGTCTCTGCTGTGAGCACGGTGGCTCGGCAATGGCTTTATTATTGATATTATTATATCTCCTTCCTGATTTTTTATTTATTTTTTGAATAATTGTATGCATAGGGCCTGATAAGAAAAAATAAGCACAATACACTGCTGCTACTGTAGTCGCACAGCAAAACACACAGAAAAGGCATCTCGAAACCCCCACACACTCACCACACGGTCATCATCCAGCTTCAGGTCAATCACTGTATTCTTCCCCTGCAGACTCAACCCCCCTGTCACTAGCCATACAATCTGAAGCTGTATGTACCCATACAATGGCCCACGACGCACACACCACCCCTACGTTTTTTAACTAAAAAAGAAAAGCAGTCGTAACTGCAACAGCCACATGGCCAATAAGAAAACCAATAAGATATATCGATAAACACACACCCAAAAGTCAGGGGTGGGAGGGTGGGATACAAACTGCACCACCGAAAAGCCACTGCGAAGTGACAGGAATGCGGTCCAGCACAACATTTTTGCTGAAGCAAAAAGTTGTGGGGAAATCCCAAAATCGGTGCGATTTTGCATGAGCCCAAATGTTCAAGTTACCCACAAAGACACAAGCTTTCCAACTCTCTCTGGCCGTTGGAAAGCGCACCTTTTCTCATTAACCCCCAACATCCCACGTTGCATTTTTTTACGGAAATGACAGGAGCGAAAAGTAAGGAGCCATGCCACTCGACTATCATCATCATTTTGCTGCTTCAGCATTTGTGTTTTTCGGTGCCCTTTTTAACGGAAAATGATTTTTGTGTTGTATGTGGCTATCACCATGATTTTGCTGTTTTTAAAAGCTCCTGCTGCTGAAGTGGATAGGCGGATAGGCAGTAATGATGATAATACACAGTAGTTCAAAAACCATCATGTGACAGGCGGGCTTCTTCCAACGTGTGCTACAATAAATTAGTGAGACGAGAGACGATGCAAGCTCAATAGAGTTTTTTCACATCTGCCACATGACCATACAGAACAGTCGTGTTGGTTACAACTCCATTCATCCCTGCATCTATGGATCACATGATGGTGGCCATCTTGGTTCCACTGTCCACATGCTTTGATCACTTTCTGCATAAAATAGTCACATGACAAATACGTGAACACCACTCCGTAGAGCAGTTCCGTTACCTTATCGGTTCGTGTGCATCCGTCAGTCCACGCAGCAGGTGATCACGTATGGTTGACATGAGCTCACGCACACTGCTATCCGTACTGGTCTTCGTGGCAACGTGACTGAAACACAATCAAAAGAAGCAAATAAGATCATAGAAAGCAATATCACAGATATCATGATCACAGGTATCATGATTGCAGAAAACAAGATCACAGATAGTAAGATCACAGATATCGGCATCACAGGTAGTAAGATCACAGATATCGGCATCCCAGGTAGTGAGATCACAGATATCGGCATCACAGGTAGTAAGATCACAGATATCGGCATCACAGGTAGTAAGATCACAGATATCGGCATCACAGGTAGTAAGATCACAGATATCGGCATCCCAGGTAGTGAGATCACAGATATCGGCATCACAGGTAGTAAGATCACAGATATCGGCATCACAGGTAGTAAGATCACAGATATCGGCATCACAGGTAGTAAGATCACAGATATCGGCATCACAGGTAGTAAGATCACAGATATCGGCATCACAGGTAGTAAGATCACAGATATCGGCATCACAGGTAGTAAGATCACAGATATCGGCATCACAGGTAGTGAGATCACAGATATCGGCATCACAGGTAGTAAGATCACAGATATCGGCATCCCAGGTAGTGAGATCACAGATATCGGCATCACAGGTAGTAAGATCACAGATATCGGCATCACAGGTAGTAAGATCACAGATATCGGCATCACAGGTAGTGAGATCACAGATATCGGCATCACAGATAGTAAGATCACAGATATCGGCATCACAGGTAGTAAGATCACAGATATCGGCATCACAGGTAGTAAGATCACAGATATCGGCATCACAGGTAGTAAGATCACAGATATCGGCATCACAGGTAGTAAGATCACAGATATCGGCATCACAGGTAGTAAGATCACAGATATCGGCATCACAGGTAGTAAGATCACAGATATCGGCATCACAGATAGTAAGATCATAGATATCGGCATCACAGGTAGTAAGATCACAGATATCGGCATCACAGGTAGTGAGATCACAGATATCGGCATCACAGGTAGTAAGATCACAGATATCGGCATCACAGGTAGTAAGATCACAGATATCGGCATCACAGGTAGTAAGATCACAGGGTAAGCATTGATTATCCTAACATTCGATAGCCAGCACAGTGCAGGACACACGACAAGAAGTAGCGCCTTCGGCGGTAAATATAGCAAAGTCGGCTGCTCCCAATGCGGAGTCGCGGGAGCAGTGCTTTCTTGCAGGACTGCCGAGTGGAAGTGTTACGGATTTCGTCTCGTATTGATTTACGCATGTCGTTGTATTTGGTTCTTGTCTTGTGGAGTCCAGTGTCTGATGTCATATATGGTCTAGGTGTACGCGCGAGTATGGTGTGATGTGTGACGTTTATGGTATGTGGTGCATGCAAGAGTACGCGTTGTCAGAGTGTGAGGATGTGCTTCCGTCTGTGTGAGAGTGACTGTCAAGTGAATGCTGTACATGCGCAGTGCTAGTTTGGTCTGGGAATGAGAGTCATGTGTGATTCGTCCGTGGTCTGGTTGTCTTGGTCTTGGTCATGTGTTCTGTACGTATTCGTCCCTGATTGGTCGTCTCGAGTTGTCGTCGGTTTATTACTGCTTGTTCGTTGTTGTTTTCTTCGAGTCTGGACTTAGTCTTTTCCCGGGAGTCTTCCCGTTGTCCTTTTTGTCCTCACCAAGTTTCGTCTCTCTCCTCCTGCGCCCTCGTCATTTCTTGGTATAATATAAGAGTATTGAAGATACAATCAAGAGTTTGCGTTGTTGTGTGGCGAGGGCCAGGGGGAGAAGCATTTCCGTTACAGAAGGTTCCATCTGCTCTCCTCTGCATGCTCCGGGTCTGATGGGTTGTAAGATACCGGTAGTGCAGTGCGAGCAATCAACTTACCTAGCAATGAGCATGAACACAAAATCAAGTTTGTTCCACGTGTGCATTCATGAAAAATACGACCATAAAAGGAAGACTTACTGGTTGTCGTAGATCCATATAAGGATGTCGTACATGAGCTTGCGGCAGTCGGCGTTGGCATGTTGTGAGAATGCAAACACACTAGGCATCAGGTACTGCAGATTGTCCAGTGACAGTGATGGCAGCATGACCTGCACTAAACCCAGACATGCCTGCTGAGCTGCATCATCACTGTTGAAAACACAACACAACGAAACTAGGTTACCGGTAGGCGATTACGTCATCACTTGGTATGCGTTTGTGTGGATTGCTATGGCATGCCATTCACTGGTTTGCCACTCAATACAAAGCCTACGTCATGACGTCATTTACTGGTTGTCACTATAAAGCAGATCCAATGGTGTTGTTCACTGGCATACCACTCAATACAAAGCATACCATTCTGGTGATGCTGTGCACTGGTTTCCCACTCAATACAAAGCATATCTGGTGATGCTGTGCACTGGTTTCCCACTCAATACAAAGCATATCTGGTGATGCTGTGCACTGGTTTCCCACTCAATACAAAGCATATCTGGTGATGCTGTGCACTGGTTTCCCACTCAATACAAACCATTATTATGTGATGTCATTCACTGGTTGGCCACTTCATACAAGGCATACGCAATGAGACCATTTTGCGAGCACGATTGCAGGCTCCAGACCATATTTCACGACACATTCGGGCATGCATGCATATGAATACCGTGCTGGGCAGTGAAAAGGGGTCGATTCAGTTGAGCTGCAGGTTTGCCGGCAGTGAAGCTTACCGATGCTGCAGGAGAGTGGTGAAGTTCTTGCTCTTCAGCTCCACAAACAAGTCGTCAATAGTGCTGGCTCTCGACAGCAGCATTTCAAGACACTTCGTCTTGAAGTCGCCGTGTATCTGCGGTAGGCGATACAGCAGCTGCTGGGTGAACCTGGTCAACACAAGTACACGTGAAGAGAGAGAGATAGATAGATTTACGTTTTTGTTGGATAATTCGAGAAAAAACATTTTGGTCTCCATGCTTCAAAAGGACATGTGCAACAGCTAAGATGGTCATGACCACATTTTCATAAGATTCCAAAAATCTCAAAATTCATGCTGGGATTCCGAAAGGCTTTTAAAAGCAGATATCCTGCCATACATACATGTCCACGATGGGGGAGTGGCTGGTGTGGATGTGATGCAGGACGATGACGAAACGATCAAACGCGCTCTGCTGTATCGACTGCAGTTTGCGCACCACCAGCTTGAACAGCCCAGACTCCTGTACGTCGACCACCTGCGTGCATGCGGCGAAACAGACAGGGAAAGTGGACTTGTCAGCGGGAGCAGCAACACCAGGAGCAACAGCAGCAGTAGAACTAGCAGCATCATCATCGGCAGCGCCAGCAGCAACGGAAGCAGTGGTGGAAGCAGCAGTAACACCCAGCACCACAAACAGTAGTAGCAGCAGGAGCATCAGCAGCAGCAGCATCTGCATCAGCAGCAGCAGCATCTGAATCAGCAGCAGCATCTGCATCAGCAGCAGCAGCAGCAGGAGCATCAGCAGCAGCATCTGCATCAGCAGCAACAGCATCGGCATCTGCAGCAGCAGCCGCAGCAGGAGCAGGAGCATCTGCAGGGGCGTAGCCAGGATTGTGGCTGAGGGGGGTGCTCACTGGAAGTGTGGGCCTGCGCTGAAAGGGCGCGAAAAATGGGAGGGGGGGTCCGGGGGCCCTCCCCCGGAAAATTTTTCGATATTGAGTGCCAATCCTTCATTTTTGCATCTATTTCATTATTTTCCATTCCACCCATGATTCAATAAAAAGTCAGATAATCGTATGAAACGCACAGTACTTTGCTACAGAAGTTGGATGGTAAGAGATTGACAGGGTGTGGTTAGACCCAGAATATAATACAGACAATTGTTGAAGTTCGTTCAATCCACGATTGAATACATGTAATCACCAGGACACTGCTGCACATTATACCAGCCAGGAAAGGAAAATTTTATAATACAGGGGAAATCTTATTATACAGGTATTAGAGGTTACGTATGTCTGCCGACGAGTGCTCATGTTCAATCCGCCTCATGAGATTTGTATTTACAGTCCAGATGTGCCAGAGTGAGATGTACCACAGTACGCTGCATCATTCACTGTGCAATACATTCACCAGCTGCATTCGTCGTGGATGCAGGGCAAACATCACGTCGTCGTCGAGCGGTGCACCCTTCGCAATGTCCTCCATGAAGGTACCGATGTCATTTCGGACGACTGCTACTGGTACAGCCAAGGGCGACAACTGCGGCTCTTCCGAGTCTTCGACTTCGACAATTTCGCAATTAGATTCGTCAGATTCGGAAATGGCACTGGCACTGCTGCTACTGGTATCTGGTCTCTTCGACTTCCCTCGACTGAAATACTTCAAGATCGACATTTTCATAAGAATCCATTCGACTTGCGGATCACAAAACGACGTTGACACTTCTCTTTCACTTCTACCAAGTCTAGCTACACAAAGTGCGAGTCTATATACCGGTAGTTGTACAATGCGCAGTGCATCCGAAAACGACCAAACTCACATTCAAAGGCAAAGATCTACACACAACTATACTACCACGGTAGTACTAGTTCAAATTACAGTACCGGTAGTACTACATTGTACTAAAAATTAATAATTTAGCACTACTGCGCCTGTCACCGGCGAGAACATGACTGCATGTGCAGCCATGCATGCAGTCTCAAGTGCAACCTGCATGCGCTACTAGTAATACAGTTGGCCGGGCCCCGTCGTGCAGCGCAGCGTCGTGTGGCGTCGATCTTGTCGACGTCGAGTCTCGATCGCGGGCGGGCGTAGATCCACAGCAGTACGAAAATGGTACCTGAAATTTTTGAGGGGGGTGCTTGGGCACCCAAAGCACCCCCCCTGGCTAAGCCACTGATCTGCAGCAGCAGCATCTGCATCAGCAGCAGCAGCATCAGCAGCAGCAGCATCTGCATCTGCATCTGCAGCAGCAGCAGCAGCAGCATCTGCATCAGCAGCATCTGCATCATCATCATCAGCAGCAGAAGCAGGATCAGCAGCAGAAGCAGGAGCAGCAGCAGAAGCAGAAGCACCAGCAGAGAGGTGGAACTGACCTTCTCGACATCCTGCAAGTGTTTGAGATACATCCCTACAACAGCGCCACACGCAGCAAATACTTCTCGGCGGGGCACAGCTAGGTTGTCTGTCAATGCAGTGTCAAAACTATTAGAAACAAACCAGAAGACAAAGTGGCAAGTATTTCACAACGAAGTGAGGTGCTAGAAAGAAGAAAGGTCAAGAATTTTGTGCATACAGGTATTTTAAAGAAAGAAGACAGGGCAACGGGCCACACACAGACGCAAGCATGCGTGCACCCATGCCCCCCCCCCCCCCCACACACACACTCACTCCTCCTTCCATACACATGCACCCCCCCCCCCCCCCCCACACACACACGCTCCCCCACCCCCAACACACACACACACGCTCCCCCCCCCCCCCCACCCCCAACACACACACACATGGAAGGAGAGACTCGCATAGACTGTAGAGTAATACAGCAGCGGAACAGTCACAATCATAAGGTTGGATTTAACTTCTCACTTGGCAGCACTGTGCCTGTTAAGGACCTGCACACGTACCTAGATTGTGCGATCTTGCCAGTCGGTGATACAGGCGTCAGTCCGTTAGCCAGCAGAATACCAAGCAGCTGAATGCCGGCACGGTTGTCAAGACGATCCTTGTCCATGTTAGACAGCAGAGCACACACGGCTCTGTGGAATGTGGAATGTGGAATGGCAGTGATCGCAACACCATAGCATACCACAGCATGCAACACAACACAGCATTCCACAATGCAGCACAGCACAACACAACACAGCATTCCACAATGCAGCACAGCATAGCACAGCACAATGCAGTACAGCACAACACAACACAACACAACACAGCATTCCACAATGCAGCACAGCACAGCACACCACAATGCAGCACAGCACAACACAACACAACACAACACAACACAGCATTCTACAATGCAACAACGCACAGCACACCACATTACACCACACCGCAATTCAACACAGCGTGCAGCACAGCACAGCACAGCACGCCCCAAAGCAGCACAGCGCAGCATAACACATTACACCACACAGCAATGCAACACGACGCAGCACACCACACCACAGCACACCACACCACACCACACCACACCACACCACACCACACCACACCACACCACACCACACCACACCACATGACAGGAGAGAATACCGGTTAGAACAGTTACGTGCAGGAAAGCAGCAGTACACAGTCTGTTCACGTGCCCTGCTTTGAGCTGGACTCGTGGCACATCCAGACTGTGTGTGAAAGCTGGCCTTTGTCCTTCACAGTGCAACATGTGTTTGAAATGGTTGTCCAGCACATGGCGGGAAGGTGCCAGCACGGAGGACTCCCATAGCAAATTACGCTGTCCCGCATTCACAAGTAGAGTTGCACATGTCGGTTCATATACACTTGATACGGTTCTCCCACCCCTGTCTCTCACCTCAGACCTCAGACATGCCCATCGCGGAAGCGATGATAGCGAACAGCTATGTTAGACATAGCAACTTGTCTCTCACACTAACACACTCACTAACACTTACACATGCCCATCGCTGAAGCGATGATAGCAAACAAGCTATATTCGACAAAGCAACCTGCGGGCGACACTCACACACACTCTCTCTCTCTCTCTCTCTCTCTCTCTCACACACACACACACGGACGCGTACACACATGCATGCCAATCCAACAGTGCACGTGGATCTTCAGCTGTCACGCGACTCACTCTGTTGGAACGGTGATGCACTCCTTCCAACACTCGACCAGAGCCTTGACGATAGCCAGGTTGTTACGTAGCACACTACGGTTGCCATGGTTAATGTTGCGCATCAGAAAGTCCAGGAGACGCGATGATAGTTCACGTTCCGTGTGAGACTCCTGAGGCAGAATAGCAGAGAAAGAGAGAGAGAGAGAGAGAGAGAGAGAGAGAGAGAGAGGAGGAGGAGGAGGAGGAGGAGGAGGAGGAGGAGGAGGAGGAGAGAGAGAGAGAGAGAGAGAGAGAGTGAAAGTCAGTGCAGCCCTGTTTGATGACACAATTGGCAGAGTTAACTGGATCCTAGGCTTATAATAAACCAGTCGGCCTACACCACTGCCTACACCACTGCAATCACAAACTCCATCCTGTCTGTGCCGCTATCAATTCACCCTTTACTGAAATCTCAGCATCGGCCAATTGCAAGAGTGCTTGCTGGTCCTTGTCAGATTTCATCCATGCACTATGGGCTCCACACTCCCGTACCCAAACAGAGGTGCAATATGCCACTAGAGCTTGGTCATACACCCGGTGATTTGATGAATTCCAAGGCTCAAACCTCTCTCCCCCCCCCCCCCCCCCATTTTACAAGCTTCTGCAAGTGGCTACAAGTCTCATTTAGAAATGGGTAAGAAAAGGAGAAGGACAAACATGTTACCAGTTACGGCTAACTGTCCACCAAAGTAACCGGATCATATACAGTCAGCGAGTGCGACAAAATGCTTCAAAATGTGTGCGTGGGCTAAAAACACAGGGTGAACTAACGTTTGGAATAGCCGTATTGCTCCAGGAGAGCAACGTGACAATGATGTCCACCACCATGTTGTTGATTCCACCACTGCCAGCACCGGAGGCACCGGCACTAGCAATGCCGCTGGCGATACGATTGCTCAGGATCAACTCCATCAGTGGGCACAGCCAGAAGCGCGCGTACGGCTCAAACAGCTGAACACCACGCCACACACACGTACACACACACACAAACACACACACACACACAAACACACATACACACACACACACATACGCACACACGTACACACGTACACACACACACACAGAATACAAGAAGCCACTAGAACCCAGCCACACCATCAGTTGTTTCCATAGTGTAGCGGTTATCACGTTCGCCTAACACGCGAAAGGTCCCCGGTTCGATCCCGGGTGGAAACATCAATTTCTTTTTTTTCTTACAGCTATGAATAAAGGTGGCAACAGTCCATTCAGAAAAAGATGGACTTCTAGCTTTTGGCCATAAATGGGTCAAACGTTGAGTTTTTTTAGAATTTTTTCTGCAATCCCCTATGAAATCCTCTTTCTTTTTTCTATTATGTTTCTGAAGTCTATTTCTCCAAAAAGCAAGCTGTAGCAAGAATAGGATTTCAGCCAGGTTTTGCCCCAAGAGCACTGAATTGGGGAAAAAAACATCAAAATCCAGGCTGCTTGACCTTGCCTGCAACAGTGTGTTAGCGCGTAGTGCGGTTCGAACTCCAGTTCAGGTACCCTTTTTGGACCCTTTTTCAAATTATAAAATTTCGCAGCACTGCACTGTGTACGATAAACTCTTGAAAAATCGCCAAATACAGGTGCTTGCCAGAGCCAGGGCCCATCTTTTTGTGAATGGACTGTAGTCAAAAATGACATAAACAACAAACAAAAAACGCTCGCCCAAACTCGTGTGTTATTGCACACTCTGGTTCAAGTACTTTTAGCAGTACCACGGACCGCACGACGTTGAGATGCAGGTTCACTGTACAGTGTTGTAGTAGTACGACGGGTGTGGGACACGCAACTCAAGTGTGCGTTGTACTAGTACGACGCTGGCGGTAAAGAGGTTAAACACCAGCAATTCACCCATAAAACGTTGGTACGACTTATACTACGATGGTCAAAATTAACGGTGATAAATCGGGTAGATGATGTCTGTTTTCGTGACAAAAAAAAACTGGATGCGATTTGTACTCCAGTGCAGCTTATACTCCAGAAAATGCGGTGCCTTTCTTTACTGCCGGCTATCACCTCATTCGAAGGCGAGGAAGGCCAGGACCAAAACACAATTTACGAATGTCAGGAGAGAGTGCTGCTCACCGAGGTGGGTGCGAAACCAGCACGCGGAGGAAAGCACCATAAAAGCGCACTTGGATGTGCTTGGGCCGGTAGTAACGGAAGCCGTGGAAGCCATCCTCAGTTTAGCGAAGGCTCTGGAGGAGAAGACTCAGCTGTTCGAGAAGCTGGATGTCGCGGACAGAGAGACTTCCGCAGGTGGTGCCACTTACAGCACAGAGACGACGACATGGAGAGACGCTGAGTGTTGGATCGCGGAGTGTTCGTAGCTTGGTCGAAAGTGACGGCCCAATCGAGACAGCGACAGTCGGTACTATTGCTTCTGTCGTACTGCCCCGAATGCTGGGTACCCTATGCAGCAGGACATTACTGTTGCGAATTTCGATGCGCTTATTCTTTTCACCCGCTGTTGTCTCTGGTCTCGCTGTTGTTTCGTCCTGTCCGGTGTCAAGTATGGTCTTCTGTGTGTACGGGTGTGGTGCGTTGTGTGCAGTATATGGGTGTGATGTACGTAGTATATGTGGTTCATGCAGGAGTATGCGTTGTGGAGTGGCGGAATCTGCTTCCGCCCGAGTGAGAGTGTTGGTGGACTAGTTGTTGCGCATGCGTGGACTATGTGGAGCATACGCTGTGAGAGTAAGGTTCGGGTGCGAGAGAGTGGTGTGATTCGTCCACGGAGTTGTTGTTTTGGTTCTTGTCACGTGTGTCGTACGTACTGGTCGCTCATTGGTCGTTTCGAGTTGTTCACCCTTTCTTCTGTTTATAACTGTTAGTTGTTTATCAGTTCGTTGTCTTTTTCCCCGTTCTCTCGCCCAACAGATTAATACTTCTTTCAACCGATATTGATCTAAAAGCAACAGTGTAATATTCTTGTCCGCCCGGAATGAGTCAGAGAGTTGTTGTGGGGCGGGGAGCGGGGGAAAAGTCCACTTCATTACCGCCCTCTCTATCTTTCATCTTCACTGCATTCGGTCTATTCTGGGAATTACCCGACAGGCTGTCTGGAGTGACCGGTTATCTAACACTCAAGTCCTGGCAATTTGGAGTGACACCAAGCAGGATGACATTCCGACTCGCCTGCTTCAACGGCGGATAGAATGGCTTGGCCACCTTGCCAGGATGGACGACGACCGCATTCCTCGCCAGCTATTGTTCGGGTCCCTGCTACCTACGCATCCTGCACGCGGTCCCCGGAAGAGTTGGCGCGGTGCTGCCTGAACAGACATCTGTTATCTACATCTTCAAGGAGATTTGTTTGTCAAGAAAAGTCCAGGAGATCTGGCTAAGAAGTCACTGAGAAACAGCACCTCAGCGACACCACTGATGCCTTAGGTGATGCCTTAGGCATTGGCTGTGTGAGATTCATGGCCTCACACAATACATCTTCTTTGACACCCACCTACACCAACACACGCCTACATCGTGCCTGGACATGGCCATCTCTAGCTTCAGTCACAGTAACATCACCATCGCAAGCCTGCCTCCCACGGGTGTCTCTGATCACGTTATCATACAAGGCAGCCTAAGTACACAACCCACAGTAATAACAATTGTTGAGTCCAACAAGAGACTATTAACGGGAACAAGTAGGTTGGTAACGACATTTATTAGAAACGGGACAAGAGACCAAGACGAACGAAACGACTACATGGTGATTATTGAAGAGAGTTGAGAGAGAGATTTGAAGAGAGGCAACGCAATATATAGGGCCTGGGTAGCTATGGCAAACATGGGTGCGCAAGTAGCTACCCAGGCCAACGGAACGAAAGGTGAGAATGACGTAGTACGGGCGGAGGTACCTAACATAATGATGACAGCTGTGCTAAACAAGAACACACCTCCAGCACGTACTGGTTGTGGAGCGAGGACCACATAGCCTCCCTGCTTGAAGCTCTTGCTACCTGCAATCTGCAGTACGACCAAAACCCCACTCAGTGACCCTCAGCCAGTACACTCATTCCGGAACTTCTGGCGAGACCAGATACTGCAATTAGCCGTGCACCACTGTCCAGTGAGCAGGAGCAAATACCGCCAAAAGACTACACCCACTCGTCCCGGGATGACCAAGGATCTCCTCAGTGAGATGAAACCCACTCGTCCCTGGATGACCAAGGATCTCCTCAGTGAGAGCAAAGCGAAACACAAGCAGTTCCGCACCTACCAGGCAACCCAATTAGCCTCTGACTGGAAGCTCTTCACTGCTCAACGAAATCGAGTAACCGCTCTTTTGCGACAAGCTAAGTCTGACTTTGTCCAACAATCCACGTGGACGGGGACAAACCTCCACCGCTAAGTGAAACACCTCAAGAAAGCTCCGAAGCAAACCGTTCCCACACCAATAACAGCGAACTCCACCGCAACCACGGCCATGGAGAAGGCAACAGCTCTCAATGAGTTATTGATCTCTCAAAGCCAGCAGTCCATCAACAAGACCGCCTGTGCTACACCAGATATCAACACAACAACTGATATAACTGATTGATGTCCTCAGTACACTTGAACCAGAAAGGGCAATGTTCAGGACAGGACAGCACAGCACAGTGTGTGTGTGGGGGGGGGGGGGGGGCATGTGTGTGCATGAGAGTGCATGGAAAAAGTGCTGCTTCCCCATACTGGCTGACTTTGAGAACTCTTAACCACAATATTGCTCCCACAAAAACCATCAGTTGTTTCCATAGTGTAGCGGTTATCACGTTCGCCTAACACGCGAAAGGTCCCCGGTTCGATCCCGGGTGGAAACATCAATTTCTTTTTTCCACTTTTCATTTATTTCTCCATTCAAAGTTGTTCTCTAGTATGTGTGACCCTAGAAATAACATTGGCATGGAGAATTATTTTAATAACTATTTACTGAGTATGCATTTTGTTGTACTCCTGAAAGTACGGAAAACATAATTTTCCCAACTCCAAGGCCCCATAAGTACAACAAATGCATAAGGATTCCCCGTGTGAATATCATTTCTGGGATCTAGGTATGCTAGAGAACGACTTGGAACACAGCAGCACTTCTTTTGTTAATGGCATGTCGGTTTTCGTCTCCCACGGGCAAACATCAGCACAACACACATACACCGCTACACAGCAATACACAACACACATGCACCACCTTTCAGCACAGCACACAAGATACACGCACCGCCACTCAGCACAACATACACACACACACACACACACACACACACACACACACACACACACACACACACACACACACACACACACACACACACACACTCAGCACAACACACACACACACATGCACCGCTACTAACTTGTGGCCGATTGACGATGAGCTTGGCGACGAAGAGCAACACGTTGGTCTTGCTGGACGTGTCAGACAGGCGCTGGTGAATGGCTGACATCCAGGACGGCATCTCCAGTGCAATCTTGTCCTGCAGCAGCCATGAGAGATGGATGAGGAACACAAGCAACACAAGAAACACAACACTCTCTCCTTGTTGGCTGCGTGTTAATCCTTCCTTTTTCTCTTTTTCTTCCTTTTCTTTTCTTCTCTTGCCGTGGTTGGTTATTACCCTTCTAATGCAGTTATGTGTGGCGATTGGTCATGGACTCCCAAGTTAAGTGAAATAATAAAATAAAAAATATATAAAAAACACTACCAGGAACACAAGCAACATGAACAAGAGACCAGAAAGTCGAGGAAGAGAACAAGACGGAATTGAGGCTTACACACGCTTTAGGTACCAATGGTTAAAAGGAGCACGTTGCAAGTCCATTGCAGTCGTACGCACGGGAATGCAGTGCAGTGAAGCTCTGATATGACGCACCCCAATGGGCAGCAGCAGGAGGAGTGTACATAGTATCCGAGGCACTTCTCAAGTTCTCATCCTAACATAGTTCAGTGTACGGGATCACTCCCAGGCGCGTGCCCCGTATGGGTTCCTGGGTGCCCGAACCCCCCTTTTTCGCTCAAAATGCCGGATTTTGCTTCATTTTTTGAAAATTTTCCCGGGGGAAGACCCCCGGAACCCCCCCCCCCCCCCATGAAGGCCACCGGCACACGCGCCTGAGGCTACACGCGGCTCCGAACAATATCCGTACTAAGCAAGAGTATCAGAGTAAGTTACTAAGTGAGTTCCACTGTAATAAGTCAGCCTATTGGTGATTCCCTGCAGTCCATTATGAAACGGATGGGACCATGGAGATTAGGAAGTCCGCCCCTGGGCTGAATTCAGCCTCAAAACGTGGATTCCATTTACAAAAAGGAGTTCGGGATCAGCCAATCTATGCACCAACACAGACCAAGATATGAAAAACCTGCCCAGCATACGTAAAACCTGCCCAGAATATATAAACCTGGCCAGAATACATAACCCCATACCTCAGGCAATTCTGGATTGATCTTCTTGACGTGCATGTGGTCCAGCAGTGACAAGAGACTATTCATACACTCATGACGGTTCAGCTCATCCATCTCCAACAACTCCAGCTCCAGGGCACTCTGAAACGTCCAGAAAAATACACACACACACACACACACACACACACACACACACACACACACACACACACACACACACACACACACACACACACACACACACACACACACTACTACTACTACTACTACTATTGACAGCTGCCAGAAATGGCCACGCCGCTCCCCAAAGGGAGGTACTGTCAGAGAGGTTAGGGGGGAGGAAGGCAATGCTCCAAGTGGCGTTCCAGATCTTGACGCCTCCGGAACCGTCGGTTGTGGCAAACTTGGCAGTGAAACTTGAATTGTTGGCGTTCAGCCACAGTAGGGCGCTTTGGACAGGTTCCACAACGGTGACGCTTGAGACCCGCAGCCGATTTAAATGAACGCTGACAGTTGGTGCAAGTTACACCAGGAACAAGAGGAGCAGGGGCAGGGGCCGGCGGCTGGTCGACATCGCCTAGCCGACACTTATGCACCGCAAAGCCTCCTCTGCTACGTAGCCATCGGTTGCATGTTGGACACTGTACTGATCCAGGCTGCTCCGATACCGGGAGCTGACGGATTGCTGAACACTTGTGACGGACCATGTCGGAACTACGGCGGAACAGACGGTTGCAGGTTGGGCACTCGATGCTCTTCGGGGCGGGTTCCTTGTCCTCACCTGCTGCTGTCACCACTCCACGCCACTCTCCACGATCGCTTGCCAACTCAAACCAGTTACGCACTCCAGCCACAGATAGGTCCGTGTGAATGGTGTCCTTCCAGCGACGACGAGGTCCACAGAATGGCCGAGACTGAGGGAGACAGGCAAACAGCAACTGCTTCGGTACTCTGGTGTCATCAAGACGAGCCAGGTGCCCAAGCCACTCCAACCGTCTCTGCTGCACCATGCGTGACAATGGTGTGGGATCACCCCACTGTGCTCGCAGTTCTTGTGAAGAGATGCGCTGTTCCCACTGTCGGCCTCGCGATACGCCAAGGATGGAGCGAATGTTGGCATGGTGAAACCGGTCCATTCTATCTAAATCTGCCTTCAACGGCGTCCAGCATTCTGAACCATACAGAACCGTTGACAGTACGCAAACGACATACAGGTGGCGCCTGGTAGGGAGGTTCAGGCTCCGGTCATGTAGGATGCGCCGAAGACCACCAAAGGCCCCTGCACCCTTTGCTAGACGGCTCCGAATGTCCGCTTGCGACCGCGAGTCTGGAGTGATGGTGGAACCAAGATAGGGGAATGAGGTGACTGCTTCAACCCTATCACTGCCAATGACCAAATCAGAGCAATCAGCAGGGCAAACTCCGAAACCTGCAACGAGAAGCTTGGTCTTGGTCATGCTCACTGTGAGACCCAAGCTGGATGCGACCTCACAAAAGGCACACAGGGATTGATCGGCTGCGTTGCGAGTTGTAGCGAGCAGTACAGCATCATCCGCAAACTCGAAGTCATCAGCATGGCCGGACTCGGAGTGGGGACGACGCCTAGTGACACGAGGGAACAGCTGGCCATCAATTGTGAAGCTGAAGTCCACACCAGACTCTATTCCACGCTCAACGAGAAGGGATCGCCAACGCTCAATAACTAAGCCGAAGTACAAGTTAAACAGTACAGGTGCCATAACGCACCCTTGGCGCAGCCCATTCTTGACAGATATCGGATCCGTGCAACCACCGGCAACGCGAACGCAAGCTGACATGTCTGTATGGAATGATTTGATGATGGCCACAGTCGGGGGCGGCACACCCAGCCGCAGCAATGCCTGCCAAAGAGCTTCGCGAGGGACAGAGTCGTATGCTTTGCGGAGATCCACAAATACGCAGAAGAGCTTCGATCGATGTTCGTACGACTTCTCGACAAGTTGACGGACAGAGAAGATGGCGTCCGCACAACCACGGTGCCGCCGAAACCCGCATTGGGATTCAGGCAGTTCCGCCTCAGCAATACCTTGCAATCGGTTTTGCATGATCCGAGCAGCCAACTTGCCGACAACCTCCAGCAATGCGATCCCTCGCCAATTATCGCAACGAGAGAGGTCGCCCTTCTTTGGAATCGGTACCAGCAGTGCATCGCGCCAGTCCTGGGGCACGCAACCCCCCGACCAGACAGATTGGAGTAGGTCCAGGAGGAGTGGATGGAGGACAGGCACACCAACCTTCAGCAGCTCCGGCACAATCTGTGACATACCACCAGCTTTGCCATTCTGTAGGTGTCTAATTGCCTGAGTCAGCTCATCCTCCGATGGTGGCAGCGAGAGGGAGTCCTCGACCTCACGCTGAGGGATAAGTTGGAAGACATGCGGATCGTACACACTGCAGACATTCAAGACACCCGAGAAATGCCCATGCCATGTGCCCTGCTGCTCCTGAACAGATTCGCAAAGAACTCCATCGGCATTGCGGATGGATTGGACAGACAGGGGTTGCAAGCCCCCAAAGCAGCGTTGCATGTCGCGAATGGCAGACCAGACAGCTTTGCCACTGAAACGTCCACGGTGCACCACCGCCGCTTTGTCCATCAACCAAGTTGTTTTTGCCTTCCGGATACCAGTACGAGCCCGGCCACGCGCTTCTTTGAATGCCCGGTGATCAGAGTCCCTGCCGCTTCTCAGCCATTGGCTATACAGGGTATTACGAGACTCCAGTAGAGGCTCCAATACAAGGGCATTGTCACGGAACCAATCTGGCATCCGCCGCTTGTCCCGACCAACCACCTGCTCCGCCGCGTCAACAACAGCCGACTTCACGGTACTCCACTTACAGTCCACAGACGAGGCGCGGTCATACGTGGCTAAACGAGATTCAAGACTAGCACAGTACTCAGCACGTACAGTAGCCACACGCTCAGCCTCCTCTTCACTCATGAATGGCTTCCGATTGAATTGGTGAACAGCAAACTTCCGCGGCCTGGAACGTGCATCATGATGGTACCGTTGCTGCACAACGTCAGGTAGCCGGTATTTCATGCGGACAAGACGGTGGTCTGTGCTACACTCTGCAGTGCGCATCACTTGACAGTCCATGCAACGTTTACGGTGTTGTTGGCGCACGAACACATAATCTATACAATGCCACTTCTGTGATCCAGGGTGTTGCCAGGTGTACATGTGAATGCGTTTCTTGGGAAACAGTGTGTTACATACTGTGAGCTGTTGACACGCCAAGAATGTGAGTAGTCGATGACCAGCATCGTTCACATCACCAACACCATGTGATCCATGCACTCCCTGCCACATCTCTAGTTGCTGTGGGCCAAAACCAACACGAGCGTTGAAATCCCCCAGGACGATGACGTCATCAGCAGAGTTGACATCGCTGAGAGCAGACTGGAACTGAGCAAAGAACTCTTCCTTGTCAGCATGGGGGGATCGAAACGTAGGAGCGTAACATGAAATCACTGACATCCACCCGTGCTCAAATCTCAACCTGGCCGTCACGATGCGCGACGAGACGGGCCTCCACTGGCAGCCTGCACGTTCAAATGCCTGCTTGGCCCTCCGACGCAGAACCAGCGCAACACCCTCGCCACGACGAAAATTTTCGTCAGGTACGGGGCGACCAGAGGCGAGTACAATCGAATCGCCGATGTTGAAAGAGTCTCTCCCAAACCATTTGGTTTCCTGCAGGCCAGCCACTTCCACGTCACACACACACACACATGTCATGGCCGCGCTCGGCGGGTTTGTGACTTGGCTTAGATCAGTCTAGTGGCTACCCAGGTAGACGACCAATATAGTCGCCATCCAAGTTGCTAGCTCACATAGAACGACAGGTTTCTGATTCCACTTGAACAGTGTTTATTTGAACCATTGCAGTACTAGATCGAAAGATCAAGTGTGTAGAGTCAAAAGACCAAAGCAGGAGAGAGTCGGAGTGACTCTCTCAGAATCGAGAGGAGTAGTGAGCTCCCCGAGAATCGAGGATGAATGTTAGCAAAACAGCTCCTTATATATGCTACATTATGTGATCAAAAGTATACAGTGGCAAGAATGCGTAAGGATTATTTCTATATTACAAACAGTGGTGCAATATGTGCAATCAGCCAAACTAGAATATAGTACAAAGAATGATCAATCAATACGGGGAGCTCGCTCACCCACATTACATGAAAGGACTCCGAGGCTCTTCGTGCAACGGGGCCTGGAGTATGCTGTCGGAAGTTGCTGCAGCTAGAGCACGCCGCCTCCGTACGCTGCCTTGGTCGTTGGTCACCCTTCATCTCCTGCCCGTAGGCTCTTCCCTCTCATTACCCCGTAGGGTGCTTCACGGTCAAGCCGTGACCTCTCCCAAAAAAGGGATAACGGAGTCCGCAGTGCGCGAAGCACTTGCAGGACCCTTTACGTCGTACGACGCGAGAAGAGGGGCCTTGCTTGCTCGACTAACAAAGGTATCAGCTCCCTTGCAGGACTAAGCAGGGTCCCCTCAAGCTCAACAGTGTAGTGAGTACAATGCTGACCACTTGTACTGAAGGTGTAGCCGCCGTACGACAACACTTGTGACTCGAGGCCACGAGTTGTAAGCCATGATTGCTCAACTAACGAAAGTGCCAAATCCTTCGCGGGACTAATCATGGTTCTTACAGAACTCTAGAATATTTCGGAGCCCAGCTTTTGGCTGCTGAACTCAATGCATGGTCGCTTTCACGACGAGTCTGATCCGGGTCATGACACACACACACACACACACACACACACACACACACACACACACACACATGTATTCATGTAAGCATGTGAATACACGCACACATGTGAACATGTAAACATGCACACAAGCACACATACGCACATGCGCGCGTGCACACATACACTATTATTCACAAGTTTGAGGGATTGAAAAGGGAGAAACACACGCACGCACGCACACACGCACGCACGCACACACACACACACACACACACATACACACACACACACACACACACTACTGCCCACATTATTAATCCCTCAAACATTATGAGACAATTCAAAGAGCAAGCCAGCACTTTGTAAAAGCGCCGAGATCACGTTACAGAAAGATGGTCATTGCGCACATGCAAGTGTGAACATCTCTTACGTCCTCGCCACCGGAAGAAGCATCGCCAGCAATAGCGGTGCTACCCGCAGCGCCTGGTGGACTAGTGCCGTCACTTAGTGATTGGGGAGATGAGGACGCCGACGAAGCTGCGGCTGCACGGGCCCATGACTGTTAACAGCAACGGAGAGAGTAGAGCAGAGCAGAGCAGAGCAGAGCAGAGCAGAGCAGAGCAGAGCAGAGCAGAGCAGAGCAGAGCAGAGCAGAGCAGAGCAGAGCAGAGCAGAGCAGAGCAGAGCAGAGCAGAGCAGAGCAGAGCAGAGCAGAGCAGAGCAGAGCAGAGCAGAGCAGAGCAGAGCAGAGCAGAGCAGAGCAGAGCAGAGCAGAGCAGAGCAGAGCAGAGCAGAGCAGAGCAGAGCAGAGCAGAGCAGAGCAGAGCAGAGCAGAGCAGCGCCGTGGGAAGAAACAAATCAGCACACATTGACATATGTGTTAGCACAGATGCACACGCTGAGAACGGTCTGTCGTGATTGGCAGCAGCATGTACACAAGTCAGTATTATGGTAATACATGTGAAGTTTTTTATGGTACTGCACAGATACCCGCAGGCTTGGCTTCCAGCTCTATTTGACTACCCTTAATCAAGAATATTTTGTACATGAAGAAACGCGTCTGTTTTCGTCTAAGACCCATTGATAGGCACAATATGTTTCTACTTATTAACTACCTGACATACATTCTGTACATCAAAACTGATTTACTTGGTGGTGTGCGAGTAAATTGTATACACGCAGTCTCGGCATAACAAGTATGAAAGTAAAGTTTAAAAGTCAGTTGGATTTGCGGCGCTTTGCCTGACGTGGTGAGGCACACATCACGATGTTACTGTTGCTATGCACCGAATGTCGAATGACTGCTCAACTCAAGCAACTGCCTTGAAAGACACTGTTTTTTTTGCCAAGTGTCACTCCCGTCAGCGTCAACGCAGCCGATTTCCCCGCGCCAGACGCAGCTGCGTCAGACGCTCAAATTTCCCGCGTTTTCGTCAGTTGCCATGGAAAAGCTCATGATTCTGACGCTGACGCAGCATTTTTGCTGTAGTGTGACCGAGGCCTTCGGAATCAAGCTAAGTTTGCAACTTCACTGACGAGGATGACCAAATCAGACATCAGCTGATTCCAGCCATGTCAGACCCGAAGCTGCGCCAGAAACTCCTGGAGGAGAAGAATATCAAACTGAAGGATGCCCTGGAGAAAGCCAGACAGCGGGAACTGGCGACTGTACAAGCACGGAGTATGGACAGCTCTTCAGAATCGTCCATTCACCAGCAACGATCGTCATCAAGACATCAAGCTAGCTCGTCAGGCAGACGTCGTCAAGCTGGTACGGGACCACGTGGAGGTGGCAGTACCCAGTCAACAGCATCGAAGAATGCTGACTCGAAGTGTTTTTCGTATGGCCAGAAGGGTGATTATTCACGTAGTCCCGAGTGTCCAGCACGTGGAAAAAAATGTTCGAATTGTGAAATAGTTGGACATTTTGCTGTTGTCTGTTGGTCGCAGAAGAAGAAAGACAAGGGAGGACAATCACAGCAGTGCAGAGTGCATGATTTGCCTGCTGACGCAGAGCAACAGGACGAGTGTAAGCAGAGCTCCAGTGACCAAGGCAGCAACTCCTACTCGTGCGAAATGTACAATGTCGGCCGAGTGGGTAGTAGCACCAACAGACCAGTGTTCGTCGATCTGGAGATCAATGGAGAACATCTTCTCATGGAGCTTGACACAGGAGCTGAGCACACCGTCATTCCGAGAAGCTGTGGCAAGCTAAGTGGTCGGATGTGTCGTTGTGTAAATCGGATATTCGTCTGTGTGCATTTGGTGGAACTGACATACCTGTTCTTGGTGAAGCACGTGTTACGTTAGTGTCAAGTGTAATGAGCAGATTGTTGATTATTCGTTCTCCGTTGTCAAAGAGGGCTCTTGTGCACTGTTGGGTCGAGACTGGTTGAGATGTATTCGTCTTGATTCACAAGCCATTTCGGCGTCCTTGCATACTGTCAGTCGTCAGCCACACTCTGAGTCTGCAGAAGTGTTTAGTGAGTTTTCCGACGTGTTTTCTGACACTCTTGGTTGCATTTCTGAGCACATAGCAGAAATTCGTTTGCGAGATGGGGCTGTGCCCCGATGTATCCCTGCACGCCCAGTACCCTATGCATTGCGTACTCGGGTAGATCGTGAACATGATCGCCTAGAGCGTGAGGGCATTATCAAGAAAATTTCGCTGAAGTTTCCACGTGTGTAGTTTTGGTTTTTGCTGCTCTCGCCATGTTGTCTGGATCTTCTCAGACTCCATCCTCTACCATGGAGCCTACTGACAGTACAAGTAGTTCCCCAACGTCGCCTTCAGCTGTTGGACTCGGCCTATCCCTCAGTCGGGCCTCGGCTTCGAATCGCACACAAATTCGAGTTGACCTGCACATGGACTTGATCCTGCTCAGTTAATCGACGAGCAGATCGTCCTCGTCAATGTCTCCACAGTCGTAGGAGATAAGAAGTAGGGCCAAAAGGTCCTCACAGTCGTCACTTGCCATTCCCAACAACTTTGAACAAGGGCTTCATGATTAGATTTTTTGAACTGTGCATGTGCACGCACTGCAAGATTCGGACGCAAAAGGTTTTCGGTTACGGCGCCTTTGACGCTCTCCATTTTGTTTTGCATTGCAACCCTTGGAAACGAAGTCGAATCAGATTTTCGGAATGCAAAACACTGAAATTGCCGTTTTTCGGCACGCACTTTTTTTCCGGAAAAGCACAGTCGAAAAACATTCCGAAATTAGGAATGCAAAAGGTCTCTATTGTCCGTAAGCGCAATGGCGACATTCGTTTGTGCGCTGATTTCAAAGTGTCCATCAATAAAACACATTGATCCACAGCAGTACCCCATTCCAAATCCCACAGATCTGTTGTCGTCTCTGGTTGGGGGAAAGAGTGTTTTCCAAACTTGATTTACGGCAAGCGTGTGCACAGCTGAAGCTCAGTGCAGAAAGCGAGAAGCTGTGTGTAATTTTGACACATTGTGTGCAGGCTGAATGAGAACCACAACACAGTTCACTGAGTGCGTTCGATTATGCCCACGAATCGATTCATGAATCCATTCGTGAATTGATTCGCGCTTTTCGCATTACCCCATGTGAATAGGGTGAATGGATTCCGAATCGATTCCAGAGCTCATGACATGAAAATCGAACGACTTGAATGCATGCGAATGGATTCATGAATCGATTCAAGTGCATAATCGAACGCAGCCACTGTGGGCGTCGGCACAGATCAGATCATTGCATGCAACTCCCGCATCACCGAACCAAGCAAACAAAAATCTAAAAGTTATACCGGACTTCCGCATACAAAAGCACACGTGCTTTGTAAGTCCAAATATCACACGTTCACGCACATGTGGCTTATATTACGATCGTCAAATTAACGGTGATAAACTGGGTAGATGTCGATTTTGCGTGACAAAAATCTGGGTGCGGCTTTTACTCCAACGCGGCTTGTACTCTGGAAAATACTGTAAAGTCAGTTTGTTGTTTGTTTGTTTGTTTATTTTATTTTACTTCACCAAGTGAACAGGCATTTCTGCCTTCTCACCAGGTCCGGAGACCTAGTTCCGACAAAATGATGAAGAGTGAATGAAAATGTATGCATAAAATGATTAAAATCATGCAGAAGGTTATAATTATGAAAGCGGATAAAAATGATTGAATCACGAGACATGGGACAGTTGGCACTGGGCAGTTTGTTACATATATACGCAATTCGGTTCCCTGGGCATGAACACCTCTGCCCATTGTGCATTGAGCACAATTACAGTGACAGCGCCTGCTCATGTGTGTCCCATTTCTTTGCTCCACGCAGGGTACGTTATACCAAGAGTCCATACTCCCCCAGAGTGCGCAACTTCACTTATCAGATCCGGGACGGCGAAATCCGCGTTGCACGTCATAGTGTGACATCATGAGTAGGGGAAGTGTGTCTGTGGTGGACCGCGTCGACGGAATGACGCAAGTCCGACCCAAAAAATGACGTACATCACGGATTACACCGTCCCACAACCCCACCCCAGTTGCGCACTCTGGGGGATTATGAACTCTTGGTTAGGGCGCGTTCAGACTACCGTGAATCCTGTCAAACCGTGAAAGGCGATAAACCGTGAAGGACATTCACACTACCGATAAACTAACGTTACCGGTACGTAAGTTTTGCAGTTCTCACCGCGGCACTGAGAAGGGATTTTCCCTTTTTCCCAGACTGAGCACTCTTTTTACTGCCGGAAAAGTTCTACTGCCACAGCAGCCGCGGCAGTAAAACTTTTCCGCCGGTAGCGTGCCAGTAACGTCACGTGATCAAATCACCTCGGAAACTTTTCCATTCCGTCACTTTTCATCGGTAGTCTGAACGCGCCCTTATAGTGCTACACATTGCACACCTGTACATATAGGCAGTTACCTGTGATGTCTTTGTGAAGTCATACTGGCTGACCTCGTCTCCCAGGCTACTGTCAGCCAAGTACTGCGATGCTATGTAGCGTGGCAGGAAAGCTAACAATGAGTGGTGAACACATGAAGCGCGCAAACACACCACACGCACGCACGCACACACGCACACACACGTACGTACGTACGTACACACACCCCCACACACGCACGCACGCATGCACGCACACACGCACACGCACAGAAAGGTGTGTCGGTGACCATAAAAATGACAAACCTGCACTTGATCCAGTCCAAAAAACTATGATGGAGTGAAGCAGGTGAGTCGGATTGGCGTGACCCCAACATGAAAGACTATTTCGACAAGCTGTTGCATGCACACGAGGACGATAACCTCATTAGATGGTCACACGCTATCATACAGTGCAGTCCCGTACAGCGTGAAGCAGCTGCTGTCCGCGGATGTGAGTACTTGTGGAGCATATTTCTGAGTGAATATCTATAGGTCTAAGTCCCACAATCACCAAACAGTGCTTTATATTGGCCAAGTCCTACTGAAATTGTCACAAGTCGCATGATGTTTGCAATGTGCAAGAAACTCGGAGTTGCGACACACTCTGCAAGTCTCCTTTGTGACTTTTGCATGTCTGTGTAAGTCTGTGTATGCTGTGTATGCTGTGTATGCTGTGTATGCTGTGTATGCTGTGTATGGTGTGTATATATGTGTATATCTGTTGTCTGATGATTGCCTTAGCATTTAGCTACGTGCATGAAACGCAGCGTTACAACGTATGTATATATAATTGGTGGAACCATTCTTTTTGACCTTTGTGGTTACGCTCCGCCATTGTGGTGTTGAGCACTGTTGAAACCTGGGTATACCCACTTATGTTTGTGTATGGTGTGCATGGTGTGTATGGTGTGTGTGGTGTGTATGTGTGTGTGGTGTGTATGTGTGTATGGGGTAGGACAGACAACACTTACCCTGTCCAAGACCGCTGCTCTGCTCAACGCGCTTCTGTCGAATGACGGTGAGTCGACTGGTGGCTTTCTTTGCCACTGGAGCCTGCCAGCGAACGACATAATCACAGTGCGTGCATGCACAACACATACGTCAGCACAACACATACATCAGCACAACACACATACGACATCACTAAAATTAATGTGTGAGCTATGTGAAACAAGTTACTAGTTGTTACTCCGAGTTTCATGCCAAGGGAGACCATCAGACAGCAGCAGCAGCAGCAGCAGCAGCAGCAGCAGCAGCAGCAGCAGCAGCAGCAGCAGCAGCAGCAGCAGCAGCAGCAGCAGCAGCAGCAGCAGCAGCAGCAGCAGCAGCAGCAGCAGCAGCAGCAGCAGCAGCAGCAGCTATACCGCAGGTCATCCACATACATACACATGTACAGTCATGGTATTAGATAAACCTAGTGTTGTTGTAACACGATTTTTTAGTTTGACAGCATATTACGAACACGGTGTTCCACCACCTTGTAATATGCTGTCAAACTAAAAAATCATGCACAGCCATGAACATGTACACTGAGGACAAAATGAAACAAGTTATTACTTGTTACTCCGAGTGTCATGCCAAAGGGCGACCATTAGACAACAGCAGCAGCAGCAGCAGCAACAGCGGGAGAGACTGCCTGTGTGTCGTATATGTACACGCACACAAATACATTACAGCTGTCAGCCTGGCTGGCCAGAATTTGACTGGACCAACTTTCAAACCATTCTTAGCTATCAGCAAGCGCATGGCAGAGCATGAGTGGTCAAACAGAACACGTTTATCTCTTCCTTACCTCCATCTCTAGTGAGAAATCATACTGACGACCGACATCGATAATATTGTCCCAGACAAGTTGATTCTGTGGTAGATCACAAACAGGCTTGCAAGTGTAAAAACACAACCACAGATTGCAGGTGCCCCCTGCTTACCAACACACACACATAAATAGCCCCCCCCCTTCCCCTCCCCTTCCCCTCCCCTTCCCCTCCCCTTCCCCTCCCCCTTCCCCTTTCCCTCCCCCTTCTCCCCAAATACTCTAAGGCTTCAGCCACACAAAACAACCCTCCCCTCCCCAAACACAAACACACACACACACACACACACACACACACACACACACACACACACACACAAACACACACACACACACACACACACACACACACAAACACACACACACACACACACACACACACACAAACACACACACACACACACACACACCAGCAGCAGCAGCAAACAAAAACGTCACAATGTACATTACTAGCAGTCACCACCCACCTTTGCTCTATCCTCTTTGAAAAGGAAGACATGATAGAACTGCTGTTTGGTCTGCGTGCACATGATAATGGCAACCAGACAACGATGAGCAGCACAATGGTACTGACGCCGTAACTCCAGCAGCACCGTCTCACCACGCATGTCCTCACTGCGAGCTGCATTGGCAGTCCTATACACACAGAACACAATACACAATGGAATACATCGTGAGAATAAAGAATTCAATACAACACTTAAAACACTGCGAGCTGCATGGGCAGTCCTACACACAATACACAACACACACTACAATACAATACAATACAATACAATAGGAATGGGTTTGCTCCCACACTGGAGCTCGCGCTATTCCGTACAATACAATACAGTACATTAAAACCCTGTGAGCTGCATCAGCAGTCCTACACACATAACACAATACAAAACAGTACATTAAAACCCTGTGAGCTGCATCAGCAGTCCTACACACATAACACAATACAAAACAGTACATTGAAACCCCTGTGAACTGCATTGACAGTCTTACACACAACACAATGCATTGAAACCCTGTGCATTAGCGGCCAGCCCAACAGAGCACAGGTAAACTGGTCCTTATTGATACAATTGCACACATGAGAGCATCAGAATGTGCGCGTACACGTACTTTGTGATCTTGACAGTGAGCTCGTTTCCCTTGCTGACGGCGTCTCCATTCAAGAATGCTTTCACCACTTCACTCTTGGTCGTGTTGAGCTCATCAACGGTCAGACGAGAATAGAGTAACTCCAGCAAGTAGTAGGAGACAATCTTGGAGACGAGGTGTGAGCGGAACACACTCTCTGTGGTCTAAAGAGTACATGGAACGTGCGCGGTCATGGTGCATGCACGTACACACACACACACACACACAGACACACACACACACGCGCACGCATGTGCGCACGGACGCACACACACACACACACAAAACACACAAACGCATGCACACACGCACGCACGCACCCCCCCCCCCCCAAAACACACAAAAACAAGGAGGAAGAATCACAAACAATACACCAGAGTACAGAGAGGTTGTGCACACGCAACCAATGCATCAGAGTGCAAAGTGTATGTGCATCTACATGTACAGGAATATGTTGCTGTGTAATATTCAACATACCTTGCTGATCTTTGCCTCCAACACTCTCATGATAGCGGCAATGTGCTTGATGAAGAAGTCCTTCACAACTTCCTTGCTGCTTGCTTTCAGCAGTGGCAAGCACATACGCAGGCCAACAGACTGGCGCACGTCCGAGCGGTAGTCGTCTTCCGAGAGGAAAATGTTGAATAAGACGGTGATGGCATCGCACGCCTTTGATGCCGACGTCCTGAACACAAGAGAGACAACAGAGTCAGGAAACAACGAAGAAAAAGGTACCGGCTTGATGTGATGGTATGCCACGAAACGTTGGTGGATGATGAAAGTGAACAGAAGCACATCCACCTATATACCCGTATAGCCCAGTCAAATAGAAACTGGGTCGGAGGGAAACATATTAGCACACGAAGAGACGAAGCCAGTTGAAAATGATTTGAGAAGTAGTGGTACGAAAGGCCTCATCAGATTTTCAACTGGCTTCGTCTCAACATGTGCTAATAGCCCGGTCAGTAGAAAGATGATCCTTTTGGGTCAGAGGTTGACCTTTTTCAAAATGGTCTTTGGCCATGCAGTGAGTGCGTTCGATTATGCACGCGAATCGATTCATGAATCGATTTACGAATCGATTCGCGCTATTCACATCACCCCATGTGAATGGAATGAACGGATTCCGAATCGATTCCAGGGCTCATTACATGAAAATCGAACGACTTGAATGCATGCGAATGGATTCATAAATCGATTCAAGTGTGTAATCGAACGCACTCACTGTGGAATGCTATTCCAATTAGAATATATATGAGATCTTTTCTCCCAAACGAACTCTAACGAAGTTAATTTTTTGGCCGAGTTTTGCAGGTTTAGGCCGGGTTTAGCGTTGACAAATGTATATACACGCTAGTCCAAAATCCACTTTCCTTTGATTTAGAGTATGGTGATGAGGCCTTTTCCACAGCATTGGGGATTTAGTGTTTTAGCCCAGTCCGGCTGGCAACGGCTCTAGTTTTGGTATTATGTCCATGTGTATTATTGGCTGGTCAGCATCTGTGTCTTGCGGTAATGTCACCTGGGTCCTTTTTAGTAGTTCTGGTTACACTGCTTGTGCTGTGGATTGCCTCGTCTGGACTCCTTTTGGTTGGACTCAACCTTTTATGTCTGTGTGTGCCGTACTCAGACTGGCAGTCGTACTCGCGCACGCACATTCACGATCCCGTATTTATGATTGGCTAGCTCACTGCTGTACAGTACCGGTAGCTTCCTTTTCTGGACGTGTTCTAGTCTGCTGCTTATCTTGCCTTTTGCCTTTGGTGCTTTTCCGTTTTAGTGTGTTCTCTGTTCGAAGCGATACAGTTTCGGTTGTATTTATAGTTTCTTGTTCTTCTTCGTATCATGCATGTAGTGTAGTACAATCAAGTAATTCAGTGCTCGTCGAGCCAACACCACATCAAGTCCTAGCCATGAGAGTGTCGATCCTCGCCGAGGTGCATGATCTGTAGCCGTCTAGACATATTTAGGTAGCAGAGGCTGGTTTGTCGTAGTTAGGTTAGTATTCAGTGGTCCTCGCCTGAGAATGGCATCATCAGGGGAATGCCGTTTGGAGCGGGAGATCGAGCTCGTGAAGCTGCGGAAGTCGGCAGCCAAGACACAGTTCACGAATGCAACAGTACAATCCTAGTACATCAGTGTGTTATGACTGACCTCTGTGCAAATGCAGCCAGCGCTTGCTGCACGGCCTCCTCGTGCGCATGCTCCTCTTCACGACCAATTATAGTTACCAACAGCTCCAGTAGCATAACGCTACCGGACTTCACCAGTGCGGATAGGATCTGAAAACGCAAACGGCCGCCGTACCCGCAAACAGCCATACGTGGACATGAGCATAGAGAAACGGACAGTCAACTTTTAGAACAAGTCGCATAGCTAAAAAAAAAAAAAATTCACGGTTCGCGTGAGACTCGGCCAAAGGCCCAGTTTTCCGCATCCGCAGGAACGCCACCACCCTCTTGGATCAAGGCGCAGATGCAGCTCCTAAGCGGTGGGAGGTGAGTAGATCAGACCCACCACAAAGTGGTCAAAGACCGAAATCCCATTCACTGCATCCATGTTTCCCTCGTGCCAGGCCACGAGTTCCCAATTAACTGTGGGTCGCAGCACGGCTGGAAAAAATCCTTCCGCTTCCAAGCAGGACTTGAACCTGGTACCCTCTGTTTCTCAATCATGGTCTTAGACCATCCCACTATGCCTGCCTGTCGCATAGCTAGATATACACTAAATGCAGTTATAACCAAACGCTACATTCAAATTGTAACATGGAAAAATATGGGCACAGGTTATGCGATCGATCACAATGGACCCCCACTTGCCATTTGTACAGATCCACGAAATCCCGTAAAATCCCGTAGACCCGGAAGGGTGTTGAATGTGTGCTATGCATGCGCATTTGACCAATTTTCGCGTCATAATTCAATGACCAGCAATCGCTTTTCCACCTTCTTCACTTTGGTTAGAACTAATGACTAGCTAGATCTTTGTCAGAAAAGTTTTTCGTATGAAATGCCTTCAGGCCCCATTTCTTAGTGGAAATAGCAGAAAACACAATAGGGTCCTGCACATTCAACACCCTTCCGGGTCTACGGGATTCTACAGGATTTCGTGGATCTGTACAAATGGCAAGTGGTCCATTTACAATTTGTTTCCTTGGCTCACCATCTGAGTTCTTAATGCACACCTGAAGAGCCGTCATGAACAACACGGCGAAACGATCGTCGTGTGATACATTCAAATTCACTACCGCAAAAAGGGGATTGAGTAACAGGAGAAGATACAAGAGAGACTCCCCCGATTTACGCTAAGGCCCGTGGAGAATCAATAAATACAACTACAAAAAATAAGTACAAATACCTTGTCAATCGCGGCGATGTACTCGTTGTGTTTCGGCGAGCCCTTTAGATACTCGGACGACGACAGGGGAAAGCACTCTGTGACAAGACGATTCAGACATGTCCTGGGCAGAACACAAACATACACACACACACACACAACGAGTGACCATTATGATGAAAAAGGACCATTTGACCATTCGACTGCAGACTACCCACCTCATGAATAATGACCTCGGGTAGAACAACTCACGCATAACAACTCACGGATAACAACTCACGGATAACAACTCCCGGATAACAACTCACGGATAACAACTCACGGATAACAACTCACGGATAACAACTCACGGATAACAACTCACGGATAACAACTCACGGATAACAACGACGACACAATCTACAGACTTATTTGAAAAAAATCAGATTTTTCATGAAAATGGCGAGGCCAGATGCACGTGGTTGGCCGGGCCATTTTCATGAAAAATCTGATTTTTTTCAAATTAGTCGTATCAACTCAAACCGACTTGTTTCATGGAAAGGGACATGTTTTGAGAGATTCCACAGTTACCATTTGACTGCAGACTTTCACCCTCACGAATTACAGAAACTCATGAATAACAGGAACTCACGAATAACAGCACGTTTCTCATGCAAGATCGACGGTCGCTATTCGCAAGGTCAGCTGTACACGAATATCAGCCCACACACGTATTGATGCAGGTATCCATGCAGATAAAAAAAGCTCAAGACACAACGCTCGGCATGTCTTACTTGAGTTGGGAGACACACCCGCTTTGCTGCAGCGTGGCGAAATGTGACAGCAACTCCAAGAGAGAAGTCTGGGAATGACGACAACAAAATTCAAGAATACCAACGTATGAAAGTAAGAGAATGCATCAAAAGTTAGTTTTGCCTGTTATCCCCCCACCACCACCACACACCCTGCAGTGTACAATGTGGTCAGATATCAAGTTGCAAACAAATAATTTAGAGCAGTGTGCATTCTGGGCGGTCATTAGTCAGGTAAGGGAAAATTTCAGCGGCAAGAAGGCATGAGGCCAACCTCCCCAAAAGCTGAAAATTACAATCATCGAATCATCATTCTCGGATATTGGGGCCCGATCTCTGACCAGCGCCTGCCTGACACGAGCACCCGCATCATTTCAGGGCTTTTGCGTGGATTCTTTTTTTTCAAATTCGGTGAAAATCAGGGCTCGCAAACCACTATGCACATCGGGCAGCATTGCCGAAGATAGAGTACATATTGGTACTGGTACCCATGATGATTCATAATACTCTACTTTCAGAAATTGTAGGTGCTCAATATTTTCGGTATGAGGGCAAAAGGCCAGGTTAGGTGAACAGAAATTTTAGGTACAGAGAAGCAGTTCCCTATTGGATTACTAGTATGTGTGTTAGTGTTTGTTTGGCGTGTTGAAATTTTAGGTATGAACCAGATGCACAGAAAATTTGTGAAATTACAGTACTCTGGTGGACTAGACCCTGGACTGTGCTGTGGATTCATCATACTCTGGTGGACTAGACCCTGGACTGTGCTGTGGATTCATCATACTCTGGTGGACTAGACCATGAACAGTGCTGTGGTACATATACCTTGAATGTCAGTGTCAGTGATTTCTCCGTCAGCAATGATGTGTACATAGAGTACATGTCCTTGAAACCGGCCTTAGTCGGCGACAAGACAGCCTGGATACACGCACACACACACACACACACACACACACACACACACACACACACACACACACACACACACACGCACAAGCACACATGTCCACATGTGGACACATACACGCACGCGCACACACACATCCGTTCATACCCAACATGTGACAGTCGGGGACTGCAGGCAGACACCGGCATGTGTACATGTAGATGGAATGGGGCTGGAAAGCAGTAGTGACATTGGTCATTTACTACACAATACCTCAGTAACACCGTGTGCTCGTCAGCTGGGATCAGGATTACGCTAACAGATGTTGCTCAACATGAATTGCTGGGGCGGATCCAGGGGTGGGGGTTCCGGGGGTTTCCCTAAAATTCGCAATGTACTACTGGAAACCATTATGCATGTACGTGTACTTCCTCCGCGTCATCGAAATTGTCGCAGTTTGACTAGTGACTTGTCACTTGTTACTGACAACTCCATAAGCTAAGCCATTCAAAACTTATTACACAGTATGATAGTCTGAAGACTAGAGTAACGTTCCAGGACAGTTGGACTGAGAGTTTTCATGCAGAGATGAAGTCCTCGTCGTCGCTGATGTCAATGGACGCAAAAATATTGTTCCGAAATATTTCAAGGAAGGTTGAAAGTTGGTCGCGCCTCATCTCAAACGCTTTGACTTTCTCCACAGGACAAGAGCTGCTATGCTTGTCGTCTGTTAGCTCTGGATGATTTCTACTTCACCACCAACGAAGCCTAGTAAGAATACACGATCGTTGCGAGGTCGGTTGATTACCGTCGGCGTAATCACCTCGATCTTGAAATGAACTTTTTTTAGCCGTGGCATGCCCATTTATTTTAGCTGTTTGGTCACAGCTCATGCAGCTCAGGTAAGTGTACTATCGCGTCCAGCGCGCCCTGTTTTTCAGCATCACTGGTATACCGTGGTACGGCACCTGCGCGTGCATCACTAGCGCTAGCACTTCGTGTAGAGTCTACACGGCTCTTGCAGGTACAATCATGTACGAGTCGTACTGAGTGTCTCAGCCAGAGCGACAAATTTTATCGCTGTTGCAGGCATTTAGTTTGCTGACCCCTCGATGTTTCTCCAAGCGCTGCCACTTGTTCCACGAAGTCATTCTCACCCCAGCTAAGGTCAAACAGTGATGAGGCTTGAGTGAATGGCCATAAGCACGAGAAATGTGCAGGCTGCAACGCCTGACTGATCTCCCCCTCCCTCCTCCCTCCTGTAGAGATCTCTGAATCCGCCCCTGAATTGAATTGCGGATCTCACCGCAGCGTCTAGAGACAGCATTCGTCCGAGTAGCACCACTGCCATCTGCCTGGTGTCTGCAGCTCCGTTCTCAGCATTCCACCACTGCTCCAGCTTGCTCCAGTCTCGCAGCAACCAGCCACAGAGATTTGATGAGTGTCTGCAGGCGAGACAATATGAATATGAGTGCAAGGACAGGAAATAATGTTGGTACAGAGAGGGAGAGGGAGAGGTAGAGGTAGAGGGAGAGTGAGAGTGATGTTACGAATTTGTATTACAACTATGATTTACGCATGTCGTTGTATTTGGTTCTTGTCTTGTGGAGTCCAGTGTCTGATGTCATATATGGTCTAAGTGTACGCGCGAGTATGGTGTGATGTGTGACGTTTATGGTATGTGGTGCATGCAAGAGTACGCGTTGTCAGAGTGTGAGGATGTGCTTCCGTCTGTGTGAGAGTGACTGTCAAGTGAATGCTGTACATGCGCAGTGCTAGTTTGGTCTGGGAATGAGAGTCATGTGTGATTCGTCCGTGGTCTGGTTGTCTTGGTCTTGGTCATGTGTTCTGTACGTATTCGTCCCTGATTGGTCGTCTCGAGTTGTCGTCGGCTTATTACTGCATGTTCGTTGTTGTTTCTTGGAGTCTTTTCTGGAGTCTTTTCTGGAGTCTTTTCTGGAGTCTTTTCTGGAGTCTTTTCTGGAGTCTTTTCTGGAGTCTTTTCTGGAGTCTTTTCGAGAGTCTTTTCCCGGGAGTCCTCCCGTTGTCCTTTTTGTCCCTTCACCAAGTTGGTCTCTCTCCTCCTGCGCCCTCGTCATTTCTTGGTATAATATAAGAGTATTGAAGATACAATCAAGAGTTTGCGTTGTTGTGTGGCGGGGGCCAGGGGGAGAAGCATTTCCTTTACAGTGAGAGTGAGAAAGAGGGAGTGGGAGAGGGAGAGAGAGAGAGAGAGAGAGAGAGAGAGAGAGAGAGAGAAAGAGAGAGAGAGAGAGAAAGAGAGAGAGAGAGAGAGAGAGAGAGAGAGATGGAATAGCAGGGGCACATGCGCACTACAAGGTCACACTACACTCTACACACAGCTGAGTGTAATCCAACGCTGGGTACCAGTACTCACTTCTTTCGCAGTGCACGGTTGAGACTGACATGATCCAACACAGCCAGTAGAATACTACCAATCTGATGGCAAACCAAACAAACAATACACACGCAATAGCGGTATTGGGACAGGTGGCCCATAGTTGTTACCCTTTACAGCAGGGCCAGAAGCAATGCAAAAAAGAAAGAAAAAGAAGCCACCACCCGGATTCGAACCGGGGATCTCCTGTTTACTAGACAGGCGCTTTAACCCCTAAGCCATGGCGGCACCCACGGATGTGTTGTATGGAGTTCCTCGACTAACAGTTTTCACCATTTAGTCTTGGGGTGATTTCCCCATCGTAATCCAAAGTCAGTGCACACCGACCAACTAAGGTCCGCGTCAAACCGTGTCTTCGCAGCACGAATACGACCTTTCAACATCATGCATTTCTGGCGACTGCGCTTGGCGGCTTAGAATCTTGCAAGGCACACACCTTGTGGCTTTTGCATCATGTCTCACTACCGGCAAGAGTACATGAAAACCAGAGTGTGCAGCTCGGATGGGTTGCTGTCACGGCGAAATTCCGTGATTACATCATTTTAGTGATGTAGTGCGTACAAACAGGATTCAAGCAGGTCTCTTTCTGCACAACTGCAGCTCAGTTGTACGCACTACGCCATTTCCCGCCTTAGATCTGCACCAAATAAGATGTAATCACGGAATTCCGCCGTGACAGACAGAGACAGCAGAGAAGGCCCCAAGCTGCACACTCTGGTTTTCATGTACTCTTGCTACCGGTACATTCAAGGCAGGTGTTCTCGTTTACCTGACCTTCACTAAAGAGATACCACAATCACTCTCGTCACAACTACATACATGCACATGGGGCGCTGCAAGGCCCGCTTCAATGCGTAGTGTGACTGATTAGGGTCGATTGCCTCAGCTTGTGTAGTCGTGGCACCATGCAGCAGGTACCCAGTGTGACCAAAGGTCCTAAGGTTACCGCCTGCTCATAGAGAGTGAGGGGAAATGCACATGCTATCCTTGCTGACATGCTAGGCAATGAAAAACACCAGCATGCATGGAGTCTCAGTGCAATAGCAGAATATGCAGTGGCCGTAGTCGCATGCTAATTCAGCACTCATTGACCCAGGTCACTTGATAGTTCAGTACTTGCTACTCCAGCACTCGCTAATCCAGAACTCGTTCATCTAGCTCTCGCTAATCCATCGCTCGTTTATCCACCTTTTACATACAAGCCAGCATGAACCATAAACCAGCATGATTTTCAGAAACCCAAACGTCCCTCCCATTCACGCACACCGAGCTGCAAAATAGACTCAGCATTTAGCGCTCTTCCTACTCCAGCCAAAAGTCCACCTAGCGCCTCCCAGATAATGCCAGAGTACCGTAACAAAGGGGTCAGCATATTATACACATCCAAACCAATTTCACAACCTTGAGCAGAATCTCCGGTCATAATTATTACAAAAAGTAGATTTAATATTCCCCACAGAGACTCTCAGAACGGTACGTCGGCAAAAATCAAAACACTGCTGCAATAAAAAAAAGAAGCCACCACCCGGATTCGAACCGGGGATCTCCTGTTTACTAGACAGGCGCTTTAACCCCTAAGCCATGGCGGCATCCACGGATGTGTTGTATGGAATGTCAACACTACAGTAGGAGCAATGATTGTGACAGAGATGCAGACAAACCGGACGTGGCACACCTATCATCAAAAATCCGTACTGTGTTTGTGTCTTTACATGGTGGATGAAGTTGGCTGCTTTTATGTATAAGATATTGCACAGATCGGTCCTTGGGAGAATAATCCAGGGGAGGACTATGAAGAATATTCTCCTCCTGAGCCAGGGGATTATCAGCCCCTGAACCCCTGGCGAGTTGGTCTATCGTTGAATCTAGCGATACCTGCCGACTGACTGGTACTTGACTGACTCATGGTTGTCATAGGGAGACCACGTTCAACTGCCTTCGCCTTCCACCCAGAAAATAAGCAAAAAAGCACCACTGTCTACTTGATATGCTGCAGTGTTTCAGGGAATTCACCCTTCACTAGTGCAAATCTGTGCTCTCGGAGCAAGCGTGAAGTCACAAAATTTTAGCTTCCGGAGGAAGTACATGTAGCTTGCATGCAAAACAATGCCAGCAACTGGCAGTATGCATTAGCACAGATAGCATTTCACCTACACAACGTTTATGGGGTATTCACACGACAGGTACTTGCACGTTTTACAGGGAGTGGCGGACGAGAAAAGTGACTGTGTGGATTCACACAGATGCACTTGACGACAGGCACGTTTGCATTTTTGAATGCTTCACCGACCAGTAGCCATGGGTATTTCAAATTTTCAAAACACACATACGATAATTATCATGCTCTAAAGAGCTGCGTAAAAAATCAAGTCTTGTTTCGCGCTTTTTGGTGTAAATGTACTCATGCACGCCACGATTACCGACCAGTAGCCATGGGTATTTCAAATTTTCAAAACCCACATACGATAATTATCATGCTCTAAAGAGCTGCGTAAAAAATCAAGTCTTGTTTCGCGCTTTTTGGTGTAAATGTACTTGTGCACGCCACGATTATCGTGAAAGTGGACCCCCAGCTCGCTTTCACTTTTCAGCCACTTTCAGGCACTTTTCTTGTTCACAGGTAAAATACCATAGCAACTTTCCGGTGCAAGTGGATTTGCCTGTCGTGTGAATACCCCATTATGGAACGTTAGCAAAAAGCATCACAAATGCACCGCTAAAAAAAGAAAAGAAAAAAGAAGCCACCACCCGGATTCGAACCGGGGATCTCCTGTTTACTAGACAGGCGCTTTAACCCCTAAGCCATGGCGGCACACACGAAAACAGCAGCAGGAACTTTATGCTCTAGCACGACCCGCCGTTCCGTGAATCGTGATCCACCTACTGTGATGATGTCATCCACGGAAAGGAGCACCAGCGCCCGTCCCACGGCCAACTCCTTAAATGCTAATAGCTGTACAGTCAACTTTGCCAATAACGACTGGGGATATAACGACAATTCGCGAATAACGACAGAATCTCCATGCCCAGATCAAAGTCCCTTCTAACTGTAACACATAAAATGAGACTTCGGGTATAAGGACACTTCGCGAATAAGGACACTTTTCTGATGCCCCGCCGAGTGTCGTTACACGCAAAGTTGACTGTACGTGTTCGCCACAGACACTGATGCTCCCTGCGAGGGTTACGTCGAAGTGAGCAACTCATTCCGTCCCCGCTACCTTCCAAACGTCGGCATGACAACCTATAGTAAAAGGAACATTGATCTCATGTACATCGAGCCACGCCACCAGCAGCAACACTTCCACCGGCTGATGTCATGGAGGAACTCAGTGACAGCAAATAAACTCCTTCGGAGAATAAAGCAGCAACTTACAAGTTGGGCCAAGAGTGCAGAACTCCAAGAGTGTGCAACTGCCTTCATAACTTTTTTGTTTTTATTTATTCAGAGTCGAAGAACAAACAAGCAAATTTGCCTAATTTAATACATGATATCGACTAAAAGAAGAATAACTCCTATCCAGTACTGCGACGGCAGAACTTCACATCACGCGACATGGTTCAAATGGTTACGCCGGCAAACAGTGCAAAGTGACCAGAAGAGAGTGGAACCCAAAGCAGGGTTGCGCATAGCTATCATGCACAGGGTGCAAATGATGTGTACGGCTTGGTCACGTGATGTGAAGTTCTTCCGTCGCAAACCTAATACTGTACATGTAGCTGGAGGTGCACACTCTTGGGGGTTATGTACTCTTGGGGGTTATGTACTCTTGGGGTTTATGTACTCTTGGGGTTTATGTACTCTTGGGGGTTATGTACTCTTGGGGGTTAGGGCCTGGTCAGACTGCGGCAAAATCGAAATAATCCTAGGATTATAATCCGAATCTCCATAGTAACTTGCCGCCAGAGCGGCAAAAGCGAGAGTTGACGCTCCAAAAAAAAGCAAGAACGGACCACGCTTTTCCGCTCCAAACAGGATTTGACGCTGATATGCCATTGACGCTGATAATCACTGATTTTTCATCTCGATATCGAGGAGCTAATTGGCCACGGACAACAACAAAACTCATAAGGATGGTTGCAAGGATTGCACTGAAGGTGTTGGCGATCCCCAAGGTGAAGGAATTTGACGTCGTTCGTGGAGATTACCACTTGACGCTCGAAATGAAGTTTGAATTTTCACTCTCCCCACATGTGTAGTGTGATCGCGATACAAATTCTGGACGCTGTTCTTTTTTCGTCAGGCAACCAAAATTTGCCGCAGTCTGACCAGGCCCTTATGTACTCTTGGCTGTGCATAAAACCGCAGCCTCTGAGAATTTTTACGAGCACCTGGTGTCTGGCCAAATCATGGAACGGAAATGCCAAAAAAGAAGAAAAAAAGAAGCCACCACCCGGATTCGAACCGGGGATCTCCTGTTTACTAGACAGGCGCTTTAACCCCTAAGCCATGGCGGCACCCACGGACACATGGATGCAGTACAGGGCACTTGACCAGCTCTCCAACTGGCTCTACACTGAACCACAGCAATTACAATGCGTACACTACCCCAGCTACAATAGTGTAATAGTGATCAACAACAAAAGGTGCCTGCGAAACGTTCATGTAGGACGTATTTTCTGCACAAAGTTCAGCAAACTTAGTTAGCTTGGAACAAAAATCCTACGGACCTTCCTGATGCAGAATGTCCGTCATTCGTGGCGAGTAGAAACAGAAAGAAAATCTTTTCTTCAACTGGAATTGCATTTTCATCTGATCAACTGATCGATGTTCATAATTCAGCTCGTATCAATTCCCCAGTGTAACATCACCACTTCTTGGGATGACGTTATGTTCGCTCAGGATGACACCAGCAGCACACAGCCCTACACCTACATGCATGTGAGTGGTGTCCAGTACATCACACACCACTCCAAAGCACACACACACCAGAAAGACATCATCTGTCCTGGCATGACATCATGATGACATCACAGTGATATCACAATGCCATCACGACTAGGGTTGGCCCGATTCTGCGCGTTTTTTGTGGAAAAATTGAAATGCAAAATGCGGCCAAATCTTATCGAAATGCATATCGTCTTTTTATGCTTTTCTAAAATTTTCTAAAAAATTCAATTTTTTTAGCCAAACCGCGGAAAAAATGCGTTCGTTACCATGACAACAAAATGGTGACGAATTTTTTTGAAGAGTACAACGTTTATAAGTCTTCTTTCATTTGCTCTCCTGTACTAACTGCTGTTGTTGTCTGATGATATACCGCTATGGCTTCCAATCTTACCACCGTAGTTGAAACAGCCGATTCTGATGGCGAGGACTCTGAGGAGGAGGGAGGCGGGAACCGGCCACAACCAGCAGTTCAAGCAACATCTTTGCTCAGCCGTCTGCGTCCACCCTTGTCCTCGGATTTGAGCCGCAGACGTGCCAATACGTCTAAAACGAAAGGAAGGTACAAGCCTCCATCTATCAGCTCAGCCCCCAAACACCGTGGCCCAGAATACCGCATAGCTCAGTTTCCAAATGAGTGCCTGGATGTTCGATCAGGGAGACTGTTCTGCACTGTTTGCAGCCACGAGGTCTCGATGGTGAAGAGCACTCTCAAGACTCACCTGATATCACAGAAGCACAAAGACTCCAAGTCAGCCAACCGCAGTCGGGCAGGCGAGAGGAAGCAAACATTGATCGACGGCAATGCCTACCTGACTGCCAATAAAACCAGCGGGTCGACATTACCAGATGACGTGCTTGTCTTTCGTCTCCAGGTGCTCAAAACGTTCATGAGTGGCGGTGTACCAATCAGTAAGATTGATCACTTCATAAGTCTATTGGAGGAGGGTGGCCAGCGCCTCACAGGTCGTCAACATCTTGCAGACTTTGTGCCGCTTATCCGTGACAAGGAGAGAGAGCTAGTCAAGAGATTCATATCTGGCCATCCGATTTCCATCACCTTTGACGGCACAACTACCACTGCCGAGGCTATGGCTATCATTTTCCGCTTTGTGGATGACAACTTCAACGTGCAGCAGCGACTGGCAGCGCTAAAGTTAGCCGGCTGTGCAATGTCTGGAGAGCAGGTTGCGCACACTTTGCTGAGCGTTCTCTCTTTGACCTATAGCGTGCAGCCTCATGACCTCATTGCAAGCATGAGGGATCGTGCATCAGTGAACGATTGTGCAGTGAGGACTATAAAAGCTTTGTACACCAACATAATGGATGTCGGGTGTTTTCTCACACCCTGGACCACGTTGGTGACAAGATCAGTGCTGACGATGCCAAGCTGTTCACCAGCATGTGGGTGCAGCTCTTTGCGCACAGTCCCAAATGCAGGCTCGAGTGGAAGGCTAGAGCAAATGTCTCCGTCCGATCATACAGCAAAACTCGATGGTGGAGCAAGTGGCAAGTCATGGAACAGCTCCATGATCTGTTCGGTGATGTTGTGGAGTTTCTTCTTGCTACCCCTCAGTCTGATTCCTCAGTGACCCGGCGGAGACTGAAAGAAAAGGTTCAAGGTCTTGAATCAAGGGCCCGGCTCCAGATGCAACTCGCTGTTGTTGTTAAATTTGGCAGGCCTTTTGCCGATTCCACTTACCGCGTCGAGGGAGATGGTGCCTTGTGTGTACAGGCCTACCAAGGGCTAACGGCATTGTCTCTCTTTGTCAATGCAAATCCTCTTAACCTGCCGTCAACATCTGCTGTTGCAAGAGGTCTCGCTGCTGGCAATGGAAACCATGAGACTACCTGGATGGACTTTGCTCTCCAGTGTCCCTACCTTCTGCAATTGAGTATTTCAACAACAAGTTCGGTGAAGGTGGTTCCCATTACAGCTGCCTCCAAGCATTTAAGGCATGTCGACTATTCGACCCCGTCTCACTGGATGCAATTCGCCCAACCGCAGAGGACGTTGCAGCAATCGCAGCATTCCCGTTCGTCACCCCTACTGATGTAGCCGGCATGCAGGCCGAGCTGCCAAATGTCCTCGCTGCTTGTGAAGATGTCACCCGAGTAAGCATCTGCAAGTGGTGGAAGGCCCATGAAGGCACGTTCCCGATATGGACGGCTGTACTCAAGAAGTGTCTCCTTGTCCAGCCAAGTTCCGCGGCAGCACAGCGTGTGTTGTCCTTGCTGGAAAATTCGTTCAGCAAAAACCAGGCGAAGGCACTGGAGGACTACATCGAGGGATCACTAATGCTACAATACAACCATAAGTCAGACGCTGAAGATGTCGAGCTGATGGATGTGTAGCTACATGTGGTCCACACTTCCTCAGAGTTGCTGTGCGCATCTGAGAAGACTTTCCTTCTCCTTCGAATTTGTGATTGTGGTTTGAGACACGTATGATGCATTTACACTCGAATCTCCGGACAGCTAGCTGTTTCGACCTGTTAGGTCTCGACAGCGTTTACATGTAGGTCACATCATCTCGAAAACTCATGCCAATGATAACATGTATTAAACGTTATGTTCTATTCTGGCAGCTTTTGTGGTATGTTTGCAAGGTTAGTGTGTTGCCTTTGTGATCAGAGTTTCTTTCTACTACCTGTATACTGGGTGCCCTGCCTGATCCAGTGTCTCCTCATGCGTATTCTGCTTCGATTTTGCTTCTGCTTCTATTTTGCTTCTGCGCTTTGGTCTACTTGATGGAAACAGTGAAGAATTTGGCTTGGATTGATGTGTGCCAATGGGGATTAGCCAGGAAAACCGCCCTTTTCTGGGTCGAAACCGTGCAGAAACAGGCAAAATTCGAAAATGCAAAAGTGGGGTAGATTTACCCCAAAATGCAAAAAAAATGAAAACAGAATCTGGACATCCCTAATCAGGACTCACCAGAATGGGGTAGTCCGCTGCCTTTGTCATTAGAAGAGGTATGAGGGTCTTTGCCTGCTCGGTGAAGTGTGTACATAGTGTAGTGGAGAAAGTCTGCAGAAACACCATGCTCTTGCGTGTGACGCTCTCTGCAGTAACCCAAACACGCACGCACACGGCCAGACACACACAAACACACGCACGTACGCATACACGTACACAGACAGAGGGAACACACATGCAGATTGCCAGTGCTCAATTTCATCCCTGGGTACCTTGGGTGCCCAGTGCACCTGTTGCATTTTTACTTTGTCTCCTTGCTGAAACCAACAGATAGGCCAGCAACATGGCACTTCACACCCACTACAGTGCATTCAGAAAAAGATGGGCCCTGGCTCTCGCGAGCTCCCGTATTTGGTGATTTTTCGTGATTTCATTGTACACAGTGCAGTGCTGCGAAATTTGAACTTTGAAAAAGAGTCCAAAATGGGTACCTGAACTGGGGTTCGAACCCCACAATGCACTGTTGCAGGCAGGGTCAAACGGCCTGGATTTTGATGGTTTTTTCCAATTCAATGCTTCTGGGGCAAAACCTGGCCGATATCCTATTCTTGTTATGGCTTGCTTTTTGGACAAATAGACTCCAGAAACATAATTGGAAGAGGATTCCATAGGGGATTGCAGAAAAAAATTCTAAAAAAACTCAAAGTTTGACCCATTTATGGCCAAAAGCTAGAAGTCCATCTTTTTCTGAATGGACTGTACAATACACCACCATCAGTCCCCAGGACACACACACAGACACACAGACACACGCGCATACACACACACACACACACACGCTTGCACCATTTGACCATTTGACGCCCATCGCCAGAGGCGATGATAGCGATGCTACAGCAGAAGCCATAGCAGCTTGTGCTGGGATTGCACCATTCAACAGCTTGCAAGGCTGAAGAATTGACCGCCACTATTCAGCCTGGTCTACACCACACAGCTATGAAGTGGTGTTTTTCTGGTCAGTGAATCCCTACTTATTGGTCTTTTTCATTTTTTTCCCGCACATACACCACACCACATACTCTGGCATGCACTGGCTGTTGGTAACCACCCAGGAGAATGAAAGAAAAGTCAGGAAGAGTGTGAGAAAGAGAAGAAAGACGTGTATGACCATAATTGTCGGGAATCGAATCCGCAACCTCTCGATCGGAAATCGCTGCACACACCACTGCACCATATGGGACACACACTTGCACACAGACACACATGGACACACATGCACCCCCCCCCCCCCACACACACACACACTGAGACACAGACACAGAGAAGAGCACATACCTGCTGGTCCAGTCGTCAACGTGGCCAATAAATCACCCGTATCCAAGCCCAGCACAAACACAAGATGGAGAATGTTGTTACACAGGGACTTGGAAAGCGGAGAGAGATGATGACCTCCACTTGTTGACGCTGAGTCGTCCATACCACCGATATCAATACCGACAGGTGTAACTGTCTGCATGTAGATAAAAATAAATTCAAGCAGGTCTCTTTCTGCACAACTGAAGCTCAGTTGTACGCACTACGCCACATCCCGCCTCGGGTCTGCACCAGATATGATGTTCTAGTTATCCCGGAATTTCGCCGTGACAGACACCCATGCAGGAAAAGTCAGAAGCTGTACACTCTGGGTTTCATGTACTCTTGATGAAACATACATGATGGTTCTGTGCCGTATTCAGTAAAAAAACAAAAAAAACACAAAAAAAAACATAAAATACAGAGCGAGATAGTGGTAGCAACTTCGGCAAGTGGCAAGTGTAAAGTCAAGTCAGCGGAAAAGTGTGAGATCTGGTGTGCATGGGGAGCAAACACCTTTCCAGCTCCGGTGTGGGGAGCAAACACCTTTCCAATAAAACCCAGAACTCAAATCAGACATGAAATTATCTCTTTCCTGTCCCCCTTCTCCACCCCTTCCTTTCTCTCCCTCCTTACCTTCATGACAAGCAGCAGAAGATCTAGAGCTAGCTGGGAGACGTCAGAAGTTACACCCTGCACCACGGGCAGCAACAGCAGCAGCAGCAGCAGCAGCAGCAGTAGGGGCGAATACGGACACCACACACACACACACACACACACACACACAGACGCACACACACACACACACACACACACACACACACACACACACACACACACACACACACACACACACACACACACACACACACACACACACACACACACACACACACACACACACACACACACACACACACACACACACACACACACACACACACACACACACACACACACACACACACACACACACACACACACACACACACACACACACACACACACACACACACACACACACACACACACACACACACACACACACACACACACACACACACACACACACACACACACACACACACACACACACACACACACACACACACACACACACACACACACACACACACACACACACACACACACACACACACACACACACACACACACACACACACACACACACACACACACACACACACACACACACACACACACACACACACACACACACACACACACACACACACACACACACACACACACACACACACACACACACACACACATACAAGCACACACACACACACACACACACACACACACACACACACACACACACACACACACATACAAGCACACACACACACACACACACACACACACACACACACACACACACACACACACACACACACACACACACACACACACATACAAGCACACACACACACACACACACACACACACACACACACACACACACACACACACACACACACACACACACACACACACACACACACACACACACACACATACAAGCACACACACACACACACACACACACACACACACACACACACACACACACACACACACACACACACACACACACACACACACACACACACACACACACACACACACACACACACACACACACACACACACACACACATACAAGCACACACACACACACACACACACACACACACACACACACACACACACACACACACACACACACACACACACACATACAAGCACACACACACACACACACAATTTTGATTGCACACACCCTCGAAATCCACTGGAATCAAATTGCCATGCAAACGTCTCTTGTGAAACACAATCATCGGATACAGTAACTGATGAAAAGATCAAATACAGGCACACCTCCTTAGGACAAATACCAAATAAGCAATGCATATCGTTCATACCGTATGCAAGTACACAGTGACCACACAGTGAGCACACAGTGAGCACACAGTGAGCACACAGCGAGCACACAGCGAGCACACAGCGAGCACACAGTGAGCACACAGTGAGCACACAGTGAGCACACAGCGAGCACACAGCGAGCACACAGTGAGCACACAGTGAGCACACAGTGAGCACACAGTGAACACACAGTGAGCACACAGTGAGCACACAGTGAGCACACAGTGAACACACAGTGAGCACACAGTGAGCACACAGTGAGCACACAGTGAGCACACAGTGAGCACACAGTGAGCTGGCCATAAGGGTAACAAACACAAGTTATTGTGCACCTGAAGTTTATCCTATCACAGGCTATCAGTGTTCTCCCTAACAAGGCTGCACTGAACATCAATCAAAGCGAGTGTAGGTCAACACTGGCAAGTTACCTTTCCAGATAAGAGTGCGTCTTCTAGCAAGCCAGCTTCAAACAGCTGCCGATAGCCGGTGATCAGGCAGTTCAGATGAGAGTGGTCGAGGCTATGATCGGAGTTCAGATCGGCTGTGAGCACTTGCGAGGATATGTCCAAACGTCTGTGTACAGTGGGACAGTGGTACAGTGGGAACATGCACACATGCAGACACATGCACAAATAAGCAACCAGATGCCAGTAGGTGCAAACGAACAAACAGACACACACACACACACACACACACACACACACACACACACACACACACACACACACACACACACACACACACACATACACACACAAACATGCATGCACACACACACACACACACACACACACACACACACACACACACACACACACACACACACACACACACACACACACACACACACACACACACACACATGCATAATCGGTTGCCTACGGCTAAGTTGGACTTCTATGCCTGCATGTAATATGAATGCGAGTGTTAGAGCACATGCACCGAACATGTGTGCGTACGTGCGTGCATGCGTGCGTGCGTGTATGCGTGTGTGCGTGCATGTGTGTGCGCGCGTGTGTGTGTTTGTGTGCAATTCATCAGCCTTGCAAGCTGTTGAATGGTGTAATCCCAGCACGAGTTGCTATGTCTAACATAGCTGTTCGCTATCATTGTTTCTGCGATGGGCATGTCTGAGTGTGAGTGTGCGCACGGCATGTGTATGTGTCTGAGTGTGAGTGTGCGCACGGCATGTGTATGGGTCTGTGTGTGAGTGTGCGCACGGCATGTGTATGGGTCTGAGTGTGAGTGTGCGCACGGCATGTGTATGGGTCTGAGTGTGAGTGTGCGCACGGCATGTGTATGGGTCTGAGTGTGATTGTGTGCACGGCATGTGTATGGGTCTGTGTGTGCATGTGCATGTGCAGGCATGCATACAAAAAGAGAGCAAAGCGTCACAAGCTCAAGTTTGGAGCACATACCGTGTCGCCAGCAGCTTCCCCATTGTCCGCGTCATCAGTGTGCGCTTCTCACGTGGCAAGTGTCGTGCCATCAGCGTACACAGTTGTGTAGTCTGCAATAGGATAGGTACCGGTAAGCAGGGGCAGGCATGATTGAAGAGACAAACACACATGCTACCAAATATGTGGAAACTCCGCGTTTGTGTGTGTGGCATCAAACACTGACCTGCCTCGCTGATAATGACCATCAAGGTTCCTCAACTCAACACCCAACACAGTCTCTTCGCTGCATACGTCACTAACTAAAATTAACGTGCTCATCAAATGTTTGCGCATGGCCTATGATCATGGTGAAACCAGTTTACATGTTGAGTGTTGGATTGAGCAACCCTGACGTGTAAATGGCTGCAATGGAGTCTGCGCGCACTTAGAAAAGATATTCTGCTCTCGTTACTTGGCTTGTACGTTGGAAAACAACGCGAGTGACCAGCGCCTCATGTCGAAATTTGGAGGTTTACGCAAATTTGTCAACCTCTCTAATGACCATCCTTTTTCAACTCCATCATTTACTTTGGCGAGTACTGAAAACACGGAATAATATACGGAAATGAAGGTAACTACCAACAACAATGCATGGAGACAACAGCCCAGCTCTGTAGAAAGACAGGGTTTCTGTGCACTCCGGGGCTGTTGACAGACAGGTAGATCCGACGGAGCAATGGCTACGGCCATTGCCTTCACATTTCCTTCTTTGACAACCAACACGCACATCACTAGTTTCTAGACTCTGTCTCATTCATCATTTCGTGGGAACTGTGTCAATACGCCCTGTGAGAAGGCAGATAATGTCTGCGCCGATGGTGAAGTAAAATAAAGCTAATCAAAACAAACAAACATACATACAAACACACATATTGCCATCGCTACTATTTCAGCAAGCAGCTAAACTTTGATCTCTCTTTATCCGATCCCCGTGCCTGTAATTCTTTTTCTCTTATTGGCCACAGGCCATCGTGAGAATAAAAGATTTCAAACACAAACAGACAAACAGACAAACATACAAACACACAAACATACACACAAACAAACAAACATTCCACCCTCACCTCCTCGGGCAGCTGGTTGACAATCTCAATATCCGACATGTCGAATCCGACTGAGTTTGGTTGCAACACACAACGTGCCGTCAGCTCAAACAGCTCGGTGCACCAGACGCTGGAGGGTAGCGTCTGCCAAGGAGTGTGCGAGTGCGTGTGCGAGTGAGTGCAGGCGTGAGTGAGTGTGTGTGCGAGTGCACAAGTGAGTGAGTGTGCGAGTGAGGGTGAGAGTAAGTAAGTGAGTGAGTGAGTGAGGGAGTGGGAGCGTATTTGTGTTTGCGCGTGAGTATGAGCGTGCACGGGCACGTAATTGTGCATGAGAGTGTACACAGGAGTACGAGCATTCAAGTTGTGTATGAATGCATGAGTGCATGAGTTATCAAAGACAAGACAGACAGAACACACCGTCATACATATGGCAGTTTGCAGTAACTCAAAAGACTATTCTATGACCACTCAAAGGTACTCTCACCACAGTGGAGACTAGAACAGTCACCACAGTAGAGACTAGAACATAAACATCATTCACTAATCAGTGTCTGCTCTAGGATACCGTATTTTACCGGTTGTAAGTCGACCCCGGTTTAATATACTTCCTCCGTATACAAAAACTTCGTGACTTTTTTTTGAAAGCTGCGCACAGCTCTGGAATTGTTCCGTTTGACTCGGAATAACACTCGTGGCATTGTCTAACCTGTTTACAAGCTATATACAAAGAAAAAAGCAACTCAGACGAATGAGATTGAGTTTTTTCAGTCTTCGTCGCTCATGTCATTGTCACCTGACGACGCTGACTCCGCATCGCCAACAGTCGCCGCTTCCGCTCGCATTTCGTTCAGATTCTTGTCACCTGCAGTGATGATCCGACTCTGGACTTTTGACTACGTCCTCTTTATCTCTAGACTAGAGCTGTGTACGAATCTGTGTCGACTATATTCAGTTGTTCCAACCCGCGACCTCCATTCTGCCGTGAAACGAGTCGTACAAGCACATCCACACGCTTCGCATTTTCTCGCCAGGATAATCCTCCCAAGCATTCTACAATGGCTTCGAGGAGGTCCCTGCGATTCCCCTTGGCGACAAAGGAGACGTCTGACTGGAGAGAGGCGAAGAAAGCCAGGCCATCGACATTCTAATCCTGAGTCTGCGCTAGTTGCACGACGACTGAAATGTTTCATCTTGCCGTGCGAGCGAAACAAATCTATGTTCTCACGCTGCGCACCGCAAGAACGAGCCTGGCCAGTTTCAGGGCAGCGAGTGCCGCGTGACTCCGTGTTCTAGCCACGAGCTACACTTCGTCACTGTGTCAGTTTCGAGCTAGTATAAGTAGTAAGTGTTAGTTTTTTTCATTTGACTCTTGAGTTTCTGTCGGCAACGTCCTCACACGCATGGCGTCCGTGGAGAATCTGTTCGGGATCAACCAAACTAACCTCGACATGGACGTGGGTTGTCGATGACAGCCTTTGGCGCCGTTCGTCGAGCAGGTTCTTGCTCAAAAACACCGTTCAAAAAAAGTCACGAAGTTTTTGTATACGGAGGAAGTAGGTCGACCCCCGTATCCGGAGGTCTCAATTCTGCGTTTTAAAGTTTTCACCCAACGAAGCACTACCAACCACGCCCTGCTACTAACACATCAACAAACTAACACATCAACAAATCATGTAAACATTCCTTATTGGAGGGTATAAAGTCCCAATCCTTGAAAAAGGCCAATAAACTGGCAAACATGTGTACACATGGTGCACTCATGCATGCAGGGTAGGTCATTTTTTGTAAGACTCTGATAGTTCCCGGTTATAAGTCGAATCCCGGTTGTAAGTCGACCCCCACCCTTTCTCCTTCTATTTTTAGTCGTAGAAGGTCGACTTACAACCGGAAAAATACGGTACTGGGTCAGCCTGGTACTGCAGTAGGTACTGGTTCTGACGACGTCGCCTGACAGCACGATAGTACCCAGCCAATACTACAGTTCCACTTGGTGAAATCCGACCCAGAGTGCATATTTGGCGCCCCTCATTTTGGACGGCCCTTGATGCCCTGGAAGTGGCACGAATGCGGCTGCACATATACATGTACAAATACTATAAGGCCATCATTTTTTATAGCTATGTTTCGCGTCGTCCGCACG